GTTTCAGGATTATGTTAATTTTTTGAATGACAACGAGTACAATCTTGTCTTTACTCCTATCTGGAATAGGGATGAGATTAATTTTCTTGATCTTTGTTTGTCTCATGATTCGAGACATATAAAAAGTAAATGTTTCTTTAAACCTACTGATGGTAATGGGTTTGTTCATCGTAGGAGTGGTCACCATGAACCCTGGCTCAGGGGGATAGCCAAAAGCCAGTTTACCCGCCTTAGACGAAATTGTTCTGATAAACAGGATTTTTTCGCCCAATCATTACATGTTAAAAGGAAGCTTACAGATAGAGGATATAATGGAAAGAGATTGGAGAGAGAAATCCGTCGTATTGGCGATATAGAAAGGAAAACTTTTTTGGAGAATAAATCATATACTTCGGGAACTGGGGATGGTTTCCGTTCTGCATTTATCACCCATTACAATATTGATTATAATAAAATTAAGAGAAGTCTTCAAAGTTCTTGGCCAATTCTGTTACAAGACCCTATTTTGGGGACACATTTATCAGACAACCCCTTGGTAATTTACAAAAGGAATAAAAATTTGAAGGATATGTTGGCACCTAGTTATGCCATTAAACCACCATCAGGTCCCACTTCTGCTAGTTCAGGTTCATTTCGAGGCTGTGGTACTTGTAAAGCTTGTACCACGGTGTCCATAAAAAATACACATTCATTTCTTAGTTCTACCACGGGGGAGAGCTTTACACTTAGAGATAGTATAAATTGCCACACGGACTTTGTGGTATATTTGCTACAATGTCCGTGTGGCATGCAATACGTGGGACGGACTAAGAGGATTTTGAAGGTTCGCCTATTAGAACATCTTAATAATATCAGAAAGAGACTGACGACACACTCAGTCCCAACCCATTGTACATCATGTCCCCTTTTTTCATTTAAGGATTTTAGATGTTGGGGAATTGAACGAGTCCACCCCTTTTGGCGTGGGGGCAATAGAGTTCAAAGACTAGCCCAGAGGGAGACGTTCTGGATACATAAATTACAAACCCTCTCACCTAAGGGTCTCAATATAGATATTGATTTAATTTGTTTTCTAGATTAATATGGCCCAAAAGCTTCAGAACAAAGAGTTAGGATATGTGTGTTTGCCTTTAATTTGGGTTGTTTCTACAGTTGAAAGCTAATCCCCATTTAGAGAGAGGATTTATATATATATCAAATACCAAGTAGTTATTTCATATCCCTTATATTTTATTTTACTTCCTTTTGTACAATTTGTGATCTATTGTCCTATATGACCAAAAATCACAAAAAAATTACAAAAGACTATAATAAAAACACAATAACCGATTATTCTAATATAAATAATGGGTTTGCTCTAAGGATTTTTAGAGCTGGTATAAATTGAATGTGGTAGATTCACTAAATAAAGTTTATATGGGAAGTAGTCATTTTGTAGTATCCCCTTTTTTTGTAACCATAGCAATGGATTACCTTAATGTGTTTAATAGGCTTATCTCAAAGATTTCTATGGGGAGCACAAATAATAACACGACAAATTGAAGTTTAAACTGATACAGTGATGAATTGATTACGGTGTTCACTTTGATTAACAATGTATAAAGTTTTATAAAAAAAAATAAAATAAAAAAAAACTCTCAAATAACAGACATAGGAAATATGATCACTTTGTAATATGAAGCCTTAGGCTTATAATATATTGAGGTATTATGATTACTGGGTATAATATGAGGATTAACATTATGTTGTGTGATGGGATTAATGAGGAGGGTGATACTCAACAGATATATATATATATAAATAATGGCCAAATGTGTTAAACATGGTTAACAGTTTTTTTTCTCAAGCAGAATGGGGCTTTTTATTTGTCCTGTGTTCCATTTGACCTTTGAATGACCTGATCGCGTCCGGTTGCCATGGAGACGTTGCTGTTGGAACGCATGTGGAACGCGGACGTTCCCGCGACGTCACTTCCGGTTTCGGCAAATTATGACTACTTCCGGTATTTGCCGAAAAAGGCGCGAATTACAAATTATAGAAAATGAATGGATGAAAAACAGCTGCCACAGGAAGATCAGTCCTCCAATTAGAACCAAGGAGGATTTACACACCTACTGGATCCACCAATAGACTTTAGGGATTAGCCCTATTTAAGGACACAGGGAGGGGGGATTTGTATAGGATATGTTCATGTATTGTATATTGATACATTGTTATTATTGTTTTTAATTGTGGTCCCTGAGGAAGTTCTTATAGAACGAAACGCGTAGGACAACCTTTTGTTATTTGTATCCTATGCTGAATTGGTGACTACACTTTTTATCTAAATAAATTTTTTATTACTGAACCCTGACCTGTGGATGTCTTTTGGTGGAACAAGGATCCAGAGGTGATAAGGAATACCAGCTAGCCCCCCATTTCATTGGGGAAGGCACCTTAAGAGCGCTTTTACTGCCTACATCCTGTGAGTGCACAAGATTACTGCGCATGAAATATTGTGTTTTATAACAATATCACACTATGTTTTGTTTTATGCTTTCTCTGTAGATTTACACAGCCATATCCCGAATTTTCTCTGTTTTGGTTTATACATTATATATTCTGTCACATAAACCAAGCACCATGACCACTTCAAATCACTGAGATGGTCATGATACTTGGAGTAGCCCTTAAAATAGGGTTACTCCAAGCATCAGAACTATTCTGCTTTGTGGAAATGCCAAATGAAGCAACTATCAAAATGCAGGTGTCAAGATGATAACAAAGAGACAGGACAGAATATGAACTATTAACCACACATTTACACAAGCATAGAAAAAAAAAACACAACAAAAACCCTTACACATTTATTTAACCCCTTAAGGACTGGACTGTTTTTGCGATGTTGTACATTTGCGACCAGGAATATTTTTACACTTTTGTGGTGTTTGTGTTTGGCTGTAATTTTCCGCTTTCTCATTTACTGTTCCCATACAAATTATATATTGTTTTTTTCAGGACAAAAGGGGCTTTCTTTACATACCATTATTTATATAATCTCATGTATTTTAATTTAAAAAAAATACAAAAATCTGATGAAAAATTAAAAAAAATACATGTTTTTTGACTTTTACTTGAAAAATCTTTTACTCATCTACAAAAGCGAATGAAAAAAACTGCTAAATAGATTCAAAATTTTGTCCTGAGTTTAAAAATACCTAGTGTTTACGTGCTTTTTTGCTTTTTTTTGCATGTTATAGGGCTATAGGTACAAGTAGGATATTGCGGTTTCAAAACATACATTTTAAAATTTATCAATAGTGACATTGTAACACTATTATCTGTCATAAATCTCTGAATAACACCCCACATGTACATATTTTTTTTAAAGTAGACAACCCAGGGTATTCAATATGGGGTATGTCCAGTCTTTTTTAGTAGCCACTTAGTCGAAAACACTGGCCAAAGTAAGCATTCATATTTGTTTGTGTGTGAAAAAGTAAAAAAACTAAATTGAACGCTAATTTTGGCCAGTGTTTGTGACCAAGTGGTTACTAAAAAAGACTGGACATACCCCATTTGCAATACCTTGGGTTGTCTTCTTTTGCAAATGGTATGCCATCATGGGGGTAATTCTCATTCCTGGGCTACCATACGCTCTCAAAGGCAACGCAACCAACCTGGCCATTTTCAATGTAAAAATATTTGACCCATATATTTGACCTTGTAACTTTCAAAAATGCTATAAAACCTGTACATGGGGGGTACTGTTTTACTCGGGAGACATAGCTGAACACAAATATTAGTGTTTAAAAACTGAAAACGTATCACAACAATTATATCATCAGTAAAAGTGCTGTTTGTGTGTGAAAAATGCAAAAAAAGTAACTTTCACTGACAATATCATCGCTGTGATATGTTTTACTGTTGTGAATCACTAATGTTTGTGTTCAGCGAAGTCTCCCGAGTAAAACAGTACCCCCCATGTACAGGTTTTAGGGTGTCGTAGAACGTTACAGGGTAAAATACAGTGCTAGCAAATTAAATTCTCTGGAATTTCGGCCTGGGTTGGCAGGCAGGTCCCTCAAATTGCAATCAATAAAATTACTGAATTATGTAAAATATTACATAAATACGCACATAGAATTTAAATATATATGCATATTTATATATTTGAAGTCTACTTGTATATTTATATAATTATTTATGTAATTTTGTATATGGACGTATGTATATTTCTTATTATTTTTATTTATTTTTATATACATAGATATATATACAAATTCATTTTAAGTGTATTTTGATATAAATATATATATATTAATTTTAAAATACAGTTAGAATAAAATTTCATATAGCTATATAATTTTTTTTTAATTTTTTATTATTATTTTAAAAAAATGTATTTAATTTAAATTACTTATTATTTATATTTTATAATAATATATATATACAATATATATAGTTATTATATATATTATATATATACGTGTGTAATTTAATTATAAGTGTATTTTTATATTAATATAAGTACATATTAATATAAAAATACACTTAGTATGACATTATATATATATGATATATAGACATATATTATATAGATATAATATATGTCTATATATCATATTTATACATATATAATTATTATTTTTTTTATTACCATTAATTATTATTATTTTTTTTATTACCATTAATTTTAATTTTTTTTCTGATTTTACAGTTGCAGGGAGACTGCCTGTCAGCACAGGCAGTCCCCCTGCAGGCAGCACTATGGACACCTATTGTGACCATGTGATCGCTGTGTTAAGCGATCACATGGCCACAGGGGTCCTAATCTGCCGTGGGGAGACTGTCTGGGATGCAGGCAGTCTCCCCACAACCGGAGGAACACTGATCGCCGCCGGGGGAACGACGGCGATCAGGTAAGTACCCCCAGACCGTTAGGACGGTTCAGGACCGTCATCGGTCGGCAAGGCAAAAATGCCGATGACGGTCCTGAACCGTCCTCGGTCCTTAAGGGGTTAAACAACAAGTAACCAAAATACAAGGCAATAAACGTTTATGGACACTTTATTAAGGACACTTATGAAGAACCTCCAGACAGTCTAGAATTCATGATTGCAAAGATAAATAAAAAATCCTGGAAACATTTCATATGGATTTTGATCCATGCTAACTCAACAGCACTTGGAGAAAGCATAAGTTAACATAAGCTTTTGTGACCTGGCCTTTTATCCTGCTGGAAGCAGCCATTTTGATATAATGGTTAGCACAACGACTCAGGGATGAAAAATATAGAAACATAACATTTGCTGAGTGTCCTCCACATGATTACACACCTAGCTTGTAATGTTGATGCAATGCAGGATGGATTTGAATGGTTTTTGCCAAATTCTCAAGCTGCCAACTACATGGCCAAGAAGAAATGGAGATGCATCAGACTAGACAACATTTTTCCCAATCTTCACTGAATGCATTCTGGGGACACCATGTCCACTGTGTCTTCATCGTCCTGTTCTCAACTGATACAAGAGTAATTTACCATTATCTACTATAGCTGTAGCCCATCCACTTTAAGATTTGACATGTGTTCAGATTTTCCTCTGCTATCGCACATCATTTAAAAAAAATAAAAATAATTTTATATATATATATATATATATATATATATATATATATGTATAAATATATATATATATATATAAATATATTCCTTAATTTTATATTTTTCTGAATAACTGGCTATGGATTGTCTAGTGCTGTGTTTCAATGTATATTGCTGATAGTCTTTCGGCCAGCAGCCAGGAACTCTGGCACGACAAGTGCTATGTCACTTATGCAGTGAACTAATAAGAATGGATGCAGTGCTAAGAGTCTGTGTTGAAGTTAAAACAGGCTGCAAACACTGGAAAAGTAAGGTCCATCTAAACCACAAGAAAGTAAAACAAGCTAGTACTCATTTTGCTCTGTTGTAGTACGCTGTATCTAATGCTTGAAGACCCCACCCCTCTCTCCAACTCTTTAGTTATGCCAGGCCTTCCTGCCCTCACTATCATTCTTCTAATGTTCCTGAGCAACTCAAAGCATTTTAGAGGGAAAGAGCTTAATTACCCTACAATGCAAAAGCCAAGTTGTCCCAACAGAGCAAGAGTTATATTAAAATCTCCACACTAATTGTTTAGACGAAGGGATGTCAGCTCTTACTCCAAATCAGAAAGAGAAGGTGGAAAGAAATTGTCATCCTTTGAATGAATTTCCAAACCAGTCCAATGCGCTGCACTTGATTTTCCTGTTCTGCTTACCCCTAGTTGGACGAACCAGACCTTATGTTATCACATTCTTCACTTCGGCCTTGAATGATCTATTGACCTGAGCGATGCATTGACGATGGGAAATTGTTGGCCCTTTGGATCTATTGTAACAATTTCATTCCTCTGGTATGAATCATGCATAGTAGTGTGGAATATCTGTTTATCAGTCTTTTTATTTTTTGTTTATGGTTTGTTGTTTGTTTATTCTTGTACTACGGTCATGCTGAAAACATCTCATTCATGAAATATGGTAAAAAATAAAAATTACATTAAAAAATTTACACACAAAATGTGCACGCTATTTGATGAGATAACAGGTTGATTTATTCATCTTTCTCTCCATAGTTCATGGCAAATTCAAATTCCTTGTAACAAATCATCCCATCAGTATCTTGATCCACTTCCCTAAAATAAGAGATATCCAGGTTAAGTCAAATCCTTGAAGTTCATTTTACTGGATGAATGGAAATTAGTTTTACAATATAATGATTTTATTTAATCTTACAAGTAGAGATTTTGCCTGTACATACATACACACATATTAGATATAAACAGTGCACTGTGAGGACTTTGTAGTGAAAGTACCTCGCTGCTTAATTTACTTTAAGCAAGAAGCGAACAGATCGTACAGTGTGACATCATTGTTCAAGACATATACATATATACACATGCACACACAAGCATATTACACGATAGGATTACCACCATTGCTTTCAAATAACCAGTAAATATAAACAAAATAAATCAGAGAACTCGGTCTGACATTGATTTTTTTTCTCCTGACTTGACATTTACTTCTAATTTAAAATGCGTGTTTCGTGTTTGGTTTCACCGGGTACCTTAAAACCAGTGACAGCGACATCCTTCAGTAACTCAGACGTCTTGTCATTTTGATCTTTCAGAAGTGTCCAGCTATAAAATCACCAAACACTGCAAATCTACTTATATTTATAGCCACTGCATCCATTGCATCATACAGGAAAATGATGCTCGTGGAACTGTCACGGTTGAGAAACAATTGTTCGTTAATAAACCAATGCTTAGTGTATTGCATTCAATACACAATATGCCAAATAAATAGTTAAAGCATCACTGTGACCCCACCACTCCTGAAAAATGAGTATTTTTTAAAGATAGCATCTTTATGAAATACTCCTACGATCTTTGTTGGAATTTCACTGAAAATCCAACTCAGTCAAAAGATAGGGACTACATTGTCTCTGCATACTTCCCTGACACTTCTAGACTCTAGGCAGGGCTACCACACTCTAGTAGTGTCAATCCACCAAGCCGTCATTAAAATAAACAAACAAACTGCCAATACTGGAGGGAGGCGGGAGGGAAATTGGAAGGGGAAGGTTTTCTTGTCTCTGAAGATTTCTACATTGGTTGCCAGCGTGCAGTGCGTGCTGATCACAGTCAGAATTTATGCACAGAATTGACATTAGGCAGATCGGAAGAGAGTAACATATTACAGTGGTAAGCATAGTTTCACCCAACTTCATAGGTAGTTTATGTTTTTGTTGTTGTTGTTTTAAAGAATAAGCAGGGGCAGCTATGTTCACCATCAAACTATAAACTATTTGTTAAAGAAGCAGTGAAGCAGTTTCATTTATATTTTCTGATGAATGGAACTTGCTGTCCAGTGCTGAAATAAATATCCCATAAACCCTTGCAGAACTAGGACAGGCATACTACTTCCTAATTTAGGCAGAGTTCCCAGCAAGATATATATTATATGATCTGGGCCAATCATGTTTTTGAATTCGGTATTGCATGCATTGTGACATCAGTTACTCCCTTTCATAAAACAGTAATAAGGCACAGATCCCCTGCAATGTGCTAGTCTCAGTTATACCTGGCAGGAATGCCCCAGCCTGACTGAAGTTAGTGGGACTATTCCAAATCCCAATGCATATTTATATAAATGGAGGTTTTTAGATCCACTCCAATGGTCATTAGATTGAAGCCCACCTGGCACATCGAGGCAAACATCTTAGGTTGGTCCTACACTAGCAATTCACCTTGTTTGCTAAAGCTTAGGGTAAAAAATAATCTCTAATGAGATAGAAAGGGGTATTTTTTTTTTTCAAACCACTACATACTTATTAACCCTTAATAAGGAAAACATGAGATGGGCGGCAGCTCTGTAACATGGATGTGTGATACAAAAACACAAAAATAGGTCCTGGGCCCACTACTCCTGGGCGGCAGCATTGACCACAGTAGTCATCAGCCCCAATACATGGCACACAGCCATGTACCAGCTGCTGTAACTGCAAACTGGCCAAAAACAATTAAAATAAAGGAAATTTTTTGGGTGAGGGGCATTTTATTAGTTGTACAATTAATAACTAATTTGTTTGGAAAAAGAGAGAAAATGACAGTGCCTCAGCGCCACTGAAAATGTTTTGTTATTATTTGCACAATCATACAAAAGACTGTAACTGAATAGGAAGTGCTGAACAATGAGAAAAAGAAAAACATGTGAGGAGCCCCTGCCAGGGGAGAAACAAGGCAGCGACTGAAGATGTAGCAATGACATGCTGTCTTCTCTCCTGATTATCCAGCCACTTCTCCTCCTCCTCTTGATGGGATACCTGTGGGGGCTCTGTGGCCATTTAGCAGTACATTCCTAAATTCATTCCATTTCTAGAACAGTTGAGAATGTTTCGGAACCTATGCCGGCATGAAGGTTGCAATCAAAAGAACAATAAAATGGTATAGTGTGTTTTGCATGCCACCAGCAGGAGATAAAGGAAAAATTATTCTTATCCGCGTACTGCAAAAGAGATTGCTTCAGAGCACAATGAAACCAGCTTAGATAACCAGCCATAGTCTGAATATATAGGAAAAAATATGGTCTGTTGCTCAACTGGATGAGGTCAAGAAGACATCATGGCCAAAGTGGTCACTGAGTAGGATATTTCTTCACCAATTGGATGAATTTTCTTTTTTTATCCTGTGGCATTATTGTGTCCCCAATGATTACAATCAATATTTATGTTTGAGCAACAGTTTGAGTGAATGTGTCATGGCAGATTCAATTTAACATAAATCCCCCCAATTGCATTGAATACATCATATATCACAGAGCTACATGTATTCATGTATTCAATTTAAAGTTTTGCAATAAAAACTCTCCTTCCCTCTGATCCAGCGCCACCATATCATAAACTTTGTGGCTGTTACTCTTCTGTAACATCTACCTCCGGTCCGCTATTGCTTCAACAGCAGTCTTCTGTCATTTGCCCTGTTTGCCCTGTCACTCCGCTCTTTTACTCCCTAGCCAGCACTAGCAACGTCTCCTAGGTAGTTACCTTAGCAACAACAGTGCATGCACTGTGGTTGTTATGTGTGGGAGAAGAAGGACCGCCTGTGGGAGGTCTCTTCTGCTCTGCCTTGTCCGTCAATTCTTTGGCCTAGAGTCTATTCTGAAAATTAACTGATAGGTGAAAGGAATAGATTTTTCTTTTGAACTATACATTTGTTGGCAAAACTGATCTTTTTCTAAAGAGTATAAGTAGTAGGTAATGTGGCAGGTTTCCTTTAAAGCAGTGATTAGCAAGCCAGTCCTCATGGCCCACCAACAATCTAGGCTTTATGTATTTCCCTTATTTATTTCAATGCAGATACTGACAAACTCTGGACTGTTGGAGGGCCATGATGACTGGTTTGAGAACCAGTGCTTTAAGGCTTTAAGCAACTCTGATTTTAGCTGTCTTCATCCTGAGTGCTCTAAAGCTGAATTCACCAATCAGTGGATACAATTCCTCCACTGGTAGAGTGACCACATCATATCACAGCCATCTTCCTTTCTTGCAAGCCTTCATTGATGCCCTCTAACACACACTCTTGGAGATATAAGACATCACTTAATCTTTTCTGAGATAAAACAGCATGTAAAGCACAGGATAATCAGTACCATCTCTCTCATTATACAACACAGTACATGCCCTTTCTATTACCAGGGATATTAAGTGATTTATCAAATGAGATGAGATAGCATCCTTTGTTAGGGGAGGATATGGCTTATAAATTGCAAATTTGTTTTCAATTTGCAGAGAGAGAAAATAAAGGAAAGAACCCCCAAAATATTAGAATATTGTATTTGCGCAAATTGAATATTAAGGCTAGAGTTGTTTCTATATCAGGAAACCAAAATCCTTGACAAGGATTTACTTTAAAGGGATACTATAGTCACCAGAACAACTACAGCTTATTGAATTTGTTCTGGTGAGTAGAATCATTCCCTTCAGGCTTTTTGCTGTAAACACTGTCTTTTCAGAGAAAATGCAGTGTTTACATTACAGCCTAGTGATAACTTCACTGGCCACTCCACAGATAGCTGTTAGAGATCCTTCCTGGGTCATGGATGCCTAAAATGCATTCAAACATTCAGTATCTCCTCCCTCTGCATGCAGACACTGAACTTTCCTCATAGAGATACATTGATTCAATTAATCTCTATGAGGAGATGCTGATTGGCCAGGGCTGTGTTTGAATCATGCTGGCTCTGTCCCAGTCTCAGCCAATCCTATGGGGAAGCATTGTGATTGGATCAGGCTACCACTTCTGCTGATGTCAGCAGACTGTTTTTTTTTTTTTTTTTTTTAGGCAAACAGCATGCAGATCTACAGCTTCTGGCTTGAATACAGTAAGATTTTGCTATATTTATTGAGGCATGAGGGGCCCAGGGGGACTAGGTGGTGGTTTTAACACTATCGGGTCAGGCATACATGTTTGTGTTCCTGACCCTATAGTGATCCTTTAAAAAAAATCTCTCTTAGCATTTTATCTTATTTTTACATTTTTACGTATTCATTGGTGTCTATTTAACATTGCCTCTATACTTGGAGCTATTCAGCTCAAACTATACAGGTATTTGGTTATTTTATTTCTTTAAGCTACTTTTAATTTTTCTTTCACTAAATACATTCTCAAGTATGGATTCGCCAAAGCCAACCAATTTTTTTTCCTGCACAGTTAAGGTCACACCCTTGTTCCTGCATAGTCACAATTAAAATCATAGTAATTTTCCTCCACAGCATTGTTACTGTATAGTAATAGCCAAGGCCATAAATCCTGTTCCTGTGCTGTTCTAGCCAAGGTCACTGTCCCATTTCTTCATAGTCAAAGCCAAGGTTTTAATTCTGCTCCTGCGCAGTCACAGTCAAGGTCACAGTTCTGTTCTTGCGTAATCAGTCGACTTCCTGTACAGTAACAGCCAAGGTCATAGTCCTATTCCTGTGTAGTCATAGCCAAAGTCATGGTCTTTTTCCTGCATAGTCAAAAATCAATGTCATAGTCCTTTTCCACAACATTAACGGTTGCTGCCTTGTTACTACGACTATTCTTGCACAGCTACAGCCAAGGCCACAGTCCTGTTCCTGTCCAGTCACCGCTAAGGTCACAGCCCTGTCTTGTTATCACAGCCCTGTCTTGTTACAGTTTAGGTCACAGTTCTGTTCCTGTCTAGTAGCAGCTAAGGTCAGAGCCCTGTTTTTTGTGTGGTCTTAATATTGTTTATGCTAAGACAATCTTTCTCTGTTGGCTGCACATTACCAATACTGCAATTCCCATTTTGCATGGCTTTACATGGTCAGTAGGAAATGGAGCTCTGGTACACCACTGGAAGCTCCCTACGACAGATTATATGCCCCAGGGCTCATATAAACGGTAAACTGGATCAGGGAAAGTGGGTAAGCGGAAGGAACAGGCATCCGTCTTATTGCGGTCAAGCAAAAAATCTAGCCCGGAGAATCCTTTAAAATATCTGTAGTTTTCTATTTTATCACATCTCTCTTCCAAGGTACATATATTACCAGAATGCCTGCTGCTCTGCTTTCCATTATTAAACACTCACAATAATGGAATTTCAATGGCGTCTAACATTATGACTCAAGCATAAGGATTAATAGAGTGGGTTTGCCTGGCTGAATTTTGTTATTACACAAAGGCTCTGTGTGTTGTCTGCACTCTTGCGGGTGTATGTTTGTGAGTGGAATCTTACGGTTATATACCGGTATCTAAGGAAGAGTCCTCAAAACTAAACTGACTATTCCACCAGTTATTCCACCAGGCATCTATTTAATTTCATGTGTGCTAGAAAAGCGCACACCATATTGCTCGATTACGAGCAGTCGCAAACACAAAATGCACAAAAATCAATGTAACATTTTGTCTGAATCATTCCTCTCGACACGGATTAAATATTAATCTGTTTTTCCAAATCGCAAGAGCAATGGGAATTCACTTTTATTTTTCACATTGCTTCAAAACAAACTAGAACAGATTAAGTAATGTTAATGGTGTTATTTCCATGATTCATCTACTTCACTAAATGTTCATTTTTCACCATGAAATTATTTTGCCAACTGTGCTAGCAAAATATTATAAATGTGAGTTAGCGAATCCGTGTTCTCAGGCCGTGAAAAGATCCTATTAGTACACAAAAGAGGAGTCTTTCATACATTACAGCCAGGATGCTAAACGGAACAGAAACAAGACAGACGGATAATTGTCAACTCGAACGCAGAGTTTATAACAAACGCATCAGTACTTTGTTGCCGAGTAAAGGGTTAAGGAATTTAATTTCAATTTGCTATATCAGATACAGAAGGTGAAATGGATGAATTCGCAAATTTGTGTAGCACAAGGTTAATCCTTTACCGTTTGAGGTGCTCGTGGCTTAAAAATAAAAATTCCAATTTTCCTGCTCGCTGCTTAGAAGTCTGATTAAGGAGAAAGCCTAAAGTAAAATGTTCAAATTGTATATTTCAGCAAAAGTAAATATGTTTACCCTACTAAAAAGTTTAACGCACCTTCTCTTTTACCGCTTTTATCTCCATTCACAATTTAAAAACATTTATGGTGATGTTTTTCTAATTGCTTTTCCAACATGTTTATCTTATAGAGAACTCTACCACGACATGGCCAAACCAATGAATATTGTTGGACTGACGTCAGTGCCGAAACCACCAGCAATTACCAACTGATGCCTGATCCCAGCATGCCGTTGGGATCAGTTGTCAATGAAGCCATAGGACCGCTGTGATTGGCTGTCATTACTATAACCTGTGGCAGGCATTCGGGCTGCTTCTTATCAGCCACACAAGTATTTCCTTGAGTGACCTCGACATCGCTGTTATTGTGCTGCCTCAGGACTAATGCATCAAGAAGTAGACAGGCTTTGTGGCAACCTTTGTTACCAGTACTCAGTACAGGAGCCAGTATGAAGTGCATAAATGGCAGTACCATATCTTCTACAGTGCCCATCATGAAGGCACTAAAGGGATGCTTTAGTATAGATAATTCACTAAAATACTGTCAACAAATTAAATTAACAAAAATAAAAAAAAGAGGAAAAACTTGAAGACTCCTCCCACACCAGGACGAGATGCTCCACTTAGGTGCATGCGAGGGGGTCTGATATTGTCTCAGTAGGATTGTGGAATAACTCTTAGCACCATGCAACGATGAACAGTGATTAGTGTGCTAACACCCGAGTGCTGATAAACCTGTAGAGAGCTGCTGAATTTAACGGTAAGCATACAGAGAGGTATAGATTTCTGTTGAAAGTGGACTGTCCTTGGAACCGGTTAATTGCTTAGTTCAAACTAATTTAATTGGCTACCTAAAGAAGTCATTAGAGACAATATTATCTACATTTACACAAACATAAGTGTCATTTTATTTAGCTAAACTGAAATTTGTATTTCTCAAAAGAATATCCTAGAAAATTTATTGGGCTGCTAAAAATAGATGCAGAAAAAAAAGTTAGAAAATTATGTTTTCTGAATACAGTTATAAGTGTAATGTGGAATTGTGTCTTTACAGACACACTCACACAAACAAGAAGGCAACCTGTTTCCAAACTCAGCACAAAGTGTTCCAAGTGACTGTTAATCACTTCAAATGGAAATTAATCAAACAATTTCACAGGGCAGTTGGCGTGTAACTCCAGAGACGTCTTCTCTCCTTTATTTGTAAGGAGGCTAAATCACCGCTGAGAGCATTTCCGCACTGAAGTATCATTCATAGATCTTCAAGTTTAAACAAATGGACAACGGAAAAAATATGAGTGCTTGTAACAGGTGCATAAGAGCTATATAATGTGAAGCAACGTTACGCACAGAGAAGCGAGGATTCAGGTCTATTCAAACTACTTTAGGAGATAAACCTCTAGTACCATCTTAAACTTGATTATACCATAAAGATAATAGGGCAGAAAGGCTAATCATTTAATCCTCTAAGAACAGCAATCCTGAGAATCTGTGTTCAATAAGCCTGACAGTATTGTGATTGAGACGGTAAAAGGGAAATAATGGGCCCTTGAACTGCCTGGAGGTTGAGCAATGCTTATGGGGCATTTGGAGGGTTTAGAACGGTTGAATGCATTATCCAGAACATGCAAATTAAACATTTCTACATCCTCTGGAAAAGAAAGAATATTCTTAACCTGGATCCAGTAAATAATTTAATGATGTGGATGCAGAGACTGAACAACGTATTAAAATAATATTTGCCGGGCCCCACCTTCATGGCACTGTTGTCTTCATTTTTTTCAAAGTCATAGGTTGACATGTCATGATTCCCTTTTATTCCAGAAGTTTGGTCCTTAAGGGGTTAAAAAATTTGAAGTACAGGTGTTTGTTAACAGAGCAGCAGCTTGTTTCCAGCCTGCAATGTTCAAAAAAACAACAACCCGAAATATTAGAATAGAAAAGTTCACAATTAACAATTTTGGAGCCAAGTTCTATAAGTTGAGCCAATAACAGGAACATTGTATTGATGTCCATGGTGGTTGCGCAACTTTCACAATTTGCTCAAAAATGGTTTATACTACAGTATCTTGATTATGCTAACAAACTGACATGTCACACTGGGGCTAATTCAGACTCTTGGCCCCATTGCTTCTTGCAGTTCTATTTAAAAGCTTATTTAATGCTTATGTCAATTGCCAAATTCAAGTAGGCCCATCCTATGTTCTCAGTTGCACCCTGCTCCTAGCAGCAGAAATGATGAATGGTCCAATGATGCACTTTAGTGCAAAGTCATCATCATTATCACTGACTATACACTGAATCACTGGTTAAAAAAAATGATATCTCTATCCTTTTCACTACTTGTCAATCAATTCAAACTGTTGTACCTGGTGCAAGAACATATCAGCTGTGTGGGTGCTTGGAATATATCTTTAAGATATCAGTCTTCTAGAACAGGGGTTTCTCAGGAGCTACCATGACATTAAACAGTTCTGAAGATATTAACAATAACATAATATTATGAAAGAACAAAAAAACAAACATTGGGGGTTGTAGGAAAATGCTCTCTCTCACACAAGGCAGACAGCAAAGTTGTCAGATAGAAAACTTGACTTGTTTGGGACTTTTATAAAGCAGGAATATTTATGGTTTTCATATAAATGTTCCTTTGAGAGAAAGTTTACAATGTAATTGCATTTAAAAGTAGAATTCCATAGCTCATAAAGATTATTGATTTGGATACTGTAATATTATCTAAGCAACACCATCTGTCCATGTATAGGATAGCACGAACAAATGCTGAGGAACTCCACACTAGAGAGTACTTTTAGCCGAGGGCAGGTGGAGGCAAACTGTAAACATGTGGAGGCTGGAATATCCACAAGAATGAGGTCAGGGCAGCATTCAAACCTTGAGAACAGGCATAAATGAGGCATAATGAGTATATTTCAATGGACATCTATGGGCCAAAGTATTCACTACTGAATTCTCATTGATCTGACACAAAATACAGCATTTGTTTCACATCAGAATCCTTAAAGGCAGAAAGGAAATGTTGTTTCATGTAGGTAAATATTTGCATATATTTTGCTTCTTAGAAATGATCTTCTCCTAGTTGTTCAACTGTTAAAGCAGCTCTGTCATCTTTGGAAATGTTTGAACATTCTGACCATGATGGTGACATCCTCACTCAGAATGTGCCAAGTGAGGGCAGCGGGGGTATACTGCCTGACGCCTTACATTGCAGGTGCTACCATCTTCTGTCTTCAGCTCCTGGCACATCATCCTAGCTGACAGAGCTAGATGGCACATGCTCCATCTTTTGCCAATCAGTCGACCATAACATAAAATAGCCGCTAAGGGCTAGGTTAGTTGCGATAAGTCCATCTCTAGCAACATTTTTTTTTTTTCTCCTCAATGGTAAAATAATCCAGCTTTAAAATGTTCTTCAGACAAAGTTTTTGTATTATAAGATTAGTCTGCACTTCTCTATGTCTTGATGTTGAACTAAATAACCCACCATCCCTTGCAGGTGGCAGCCTATTTAGTAAGGTTAAAACCATTTTGTTACTATGTGCTCTTGGGAAAGACAGATAAGATAATTAAATTTAATGAAGTGCAATGCTGAACTAAATCTGTGGACATGACCTCTATAATATAGGGATGTATTACAACTGCCTAACGCAAATATATTGACTCATAATAAAACGTACTTATATAGACATTTAGAATACGCTGACTGTATTATGACCTGTAACTCGACGTATATGTTACCTTGCTTCTGAATCAGCAGAGCACCTCTTGGAACATATGACCTACTATGATACTTTGAGTATTTTCATATGCTTCTATTATGTATTGTTTTTTTATTATTATTTCTATGGAAATATGGAAATCTTTCTTCAATAAAAAAATAAGATATTGGAAAAAAAAAAAAAAGTGTTGCAATTAAAACTGCAATTGCCAAAATTCTCTGCCAGTCTATCAAGAAGTCATTTCAGACTGAATAAAAGTAAACTACTAACAATTTCTAATTGCTGGTTCGCTACTGTTCTCGTATGGCCTTTCTCTGTTGCTTATTTAGGAACACTATAGTCACCTAAATTACTTTAGCTAAATAAAGCAGTTTTAGTGTATAGATCATTCCCCTGCAATTTCACTGCTCAATTCACTGTCATTTAGGAGTTAAATCACTTTGTTTCTGTTTATGCAGCCCTAGCCACACCTCCCCTGGCTATGATTGACAGAGCCTGCATGAAAAAAAAACTGGTTTCACTTTCAAACAGATGTAATTTACCTTAAATAATTGTATCTCAATCTCTAAATTGAACTTTAATCACATACAGGAGGCTCTTGCAGGGTCTAGCAAGCTATTAACATAGCAGGGGATAAGAAAATCTTAATTAAACAGAACTTGCAATAAAGAAAGCCTAAATAGGGCTCTCTTTACAGGAAGTGTTTATGGAAGGCTGTGCAAGTCACAAGCAGGGAGGTGTGACTAGGGTTCATAAACAAAGGGATTTAACTCCTACATGGCAGAGGATTGAGCAGTGAGGCTGCAGGGGCATGTTCTATACACCAAAACTGCTTCATTAAGCTAAAGTTGTTCAGGTGACTATAGTGTCCCCTTAATGAAACCATGATGATGGATCTGGACTCGATGACCGATAATAAAATGTGACACTTAAATGATAATGAACTATGAAATCCACTATTTGTATCACAAGGAGGAATCGAGAACAATTCCCTTTTAATACATATTCTCTTCTGTTTTAACCATTTAACTCAAACTTGTTGTTTTGCGTATTTAGATGAAGATTCTAAGAATAAAATATTTAGAGTGCTCTCTATGAATATTGGCATTCTAGGTAAATAGGAGTAAAGAAGGCTGTGAAATATTGTCTTTATTCTTTAAACGTTTCATATTTTGTTAAAAACATACACAAAAAAAGGTATCTAGTTCCAGACAAATTACACAAGATATGGCCATCAACCAACAACATATGCTGGAGGTGTGGGGAGGAGGTAGGCACAATGATACACGTCTAGTGGACATGTACCGCACTTAGACCATTCTGGAAGGCAGTAACACACTTGATGCAGAAGATGTTACCCGCCCCAAGGGTGGATACCGCACAGATATGTCTCCTATTAATCCTACCAGAAGGCATACCGAAACACATCAAGGTGATACCATACACTAATTTAAGACAACCTGGCGATATCTAGATTGTAGAAAAAGGCGTTGACCCCGTCAATAGCCGATCTTATAAAACAGGTAGACTAAACTGGGCATACAAAATGATGATAACCACACAATTTGGCGTACGCAAAAGGTGTCAAAGAGGCACAAGACCTATGGGAAACACACACAAAAGATTACCAGACTACACATCTGAAACCCAGTGAACGCTGAATTAAGTGACGCGTAAGCCATAAATAAAAGGGTACCTAGATGAGAACCAATGAGTATGAAGTGGTGACCAAACGATATATGGCTACCGAAATCACATTAGACAGAGACCGCCACCACACCATAACTACTCGGGCACCCTTGACCTTAACATCACGCTAATCCCATATGCTTGTGAAGTATTCGTGGATGTATTCGTATATGTATAACTATGCCTTGTCTCCATTTGTATATGTATAACTATGCCTTGTATCCATACAAACTGTACCGTCCCATATCCCCCTGTTTTTTTTCTGTATCCCCCATGTTATAACTTTTGCATATGAAAATAAAAATAAAAATGGTCAATTGAAAAAAAAAAAAGAAACATTCACAAAAATACGTTGCGGTCATGGATATCAAATGATTGTAAACACAATAAAGGTTCATAATCCCCTCCCCCAAAAAAATATTTTTAAAAAATCTGGCACAGTTATTGGCACCCTTTCAGTCCATACATTGTGATACCTCCCTTTGCAAAGATAACAGCTCTGAGTCTTCTCCTATAATGCCTGATATGGTTGGAGAATACATGGCAAGGGATCAGAGATCATTCTTCAATACAGAATCTAACCAGATCTTTCAAATGTCAAGGCCGACACTGGTGGAGTTCACCCCACAGGTTTTTTTACGGGTTCAAGTCAGGGGACTGGGATGGCCATGGAAGGACCTTGATTTTGAGGTCAGTAAACCATTTTGTGTTTATTTTGGATCATTGTCCTGCTGGAATTTTCACTTGCAACTCACTCCTGTCACCCACATGCACAGCAGATTCCATGAAATTCTCATTTTCGTCCAAATCTCAAATAGTTTTATTTTATTTACTATATAGAGCTTCCATACTTCTACATGTAGCTCACATTATATTAGTAAGAAATTCTCACCTTCGATCAATGCCGACCTTGAATCAATGCATCTCTATGAGGAAAGTTCAGCGTCTCCATACAGAGCTTGGAGGCGCTGAACGGCAGTGTTGCACACTGTGCAGTACTGTCCCAGGAAGCACCTCCAGTGGCCAGATGAGGAGAGGCCACTAGAGGCATCCCTAGGCTGTAATGTAAATATTGCATTTTTTCTGAAAAGGCAGTGTTTGCATAAAAATGCCTGCAGGCACTGATTATCATCAACAGCGACAACTGCATTAAGCTGTAGTTGTTCTGGTGACTATAGTGTCCCTTTAACCTTTATAAACAGGGACCTAAAGTATGCTAATCATTGAATTTCACCTGCTTGCTGATGCCATGCGTCTCAAATGTTTGCAATATAATGTATATGAACAATAATCTAATATTTTTGGATGCCGGAGAGGCATCTGCATATATAGTTGTTGAATTAACACTGCTGTATCCTAAAGCTAATTGAGTTTAGTTCAAGCAAGATGCTGGCTAACCGTATGACCTTGACCTCTAGTAGACCTCTCACTCACATAGCAGCAGGTTCTGCCGTTGGTGAGGTTGTCCAATTTTGTGTAGTTGTATAGATTTTCTTTTCTTTTTTAAATCAGTTAAGTGCGTATAGAATTATTCCACTCGACATTTATTTTTACACTAGATTACTAATAATTACATCAGTTCTCATGCATGATTTATCTGTCTTTATACGTATAAATATTTATTGTACAATGTAGGTTGCCCTATTTAGAGAAAGCTCCCAAAGGGTTTATCAGAAACCCTTCTTATATAAAAAATTTATCTTTGTAATACTAGCAGTGCCGCTTTTTAAAGTAAAAAAACATTCAATTACTAACCATGATGAATTGTTTGAACCCACAAGAGAGGCAAATGCAAATCGGTATCTTTTGGCATCTGGAAAACAAAGTACCTCTAACTCCAGACTATATACAAAGATAGATGCCTAATTCAAACAAGTAATGCTGTAAATTCTATGAAACCTGTGGTTATTAACCACTTCAGGATCAATGTATGCTGTGATAGCAAGGTACTCTTAAAAGCAGATCAGTCACCTGTGCTTTTTATAACCTAATAGCCAACTAAAACATGGCCTGTGCAAAAAACAAACAAAACAAAAAAAGGAAAATGTTTCTGATTTTTATAAAATCTTGTAAAATTAACTTGGTTTTTCTCCAATACATGCATGTATGTAACAGAGTTGTCTGTTTGTTGATTCCTGCTAAGTTCAATTGAAAATTCAAAGGCACTTGAGAAATTGAATTTTATAACATGACAGGAGGCTTCCTATTTTGCATTAACTCTCTTTACTAAACTCCACAGCAGTAAAGAAAAACGTAAAAAGTAACATTAAATCACTGAGCAGCATAGTATATATAAGGGTCATGCTGCCTGTACACTTCCTCTTTCTTTACTGCTCCACGCAGACAGGTCAGACTATTTGGCTCCTCCAGAGCCTTTTTGCATTATTCTGTATTAGTCTGTTATACTTATTTAATTACTTTGCCTTTAATTAGTTTCTGTTTTTGCCTGTGTGTATATTTATATATTGCCATTCTAGGGCTGTGGGTAGGATTAGCCCTTTTTTAGCTTCTCCCTCCCGGCCCCTCTGCCGGCCCTGGGACTCCCTGGGCTCCCCCCTGGGCTTCCCTCAGGTTTCCCTCCGGTTTTCCTACCTTGGGGTACCCTCCTGGGCCCCCTACTCGCGACCGGAATTAATCGCGATCTTTTTTGCCCTGGCCGGCGCCCGCCCGCGGCCGGCCTTAAATTTAGTCCCCGGCTTGCGGCATACACTCGCGGCCGCCATTTTGGATCGCGGATACCGTGAGATTCACGCGGCCATATTGTTTTTCCTCATGGATCTCTCAGTGCTTGCTGTATTAGCTGCCTACCACCTGCTTTTGTGCTGGACTGAAGCCCTAGTGTGAATTCCTGCAGCCTATACTCTGTGACTGTGAGTTTCATCACTGTGAGTGACAGGATTACTTACACTGCATGCCTATACTCTGTGAATGTGATTTCATCACTGCAAGTGACAGGATTATCTACACTGCATGCCTATAATCTGTGGCTGTGAACTTCATCACTGTGAGTACCAGGATTACCTACACTGATAACCTATACTCTGTGGCTGGGTCAGTCAGGTCAGTGCTGCTGCCTGCTTATTATTGCGACCTGCACTTAAGGGTACCAACCCTGTGCAACCGGGGTGAGCCCCCATTATACGTACTTGTGTACCACGCTGCTTATTGGGAGACTAGCTGTTGCAGTTCTCTCTAACTGGGTGAGCCCCAGTTTTTATAAGGTCACCAACTATACCCTGCTGGGGTTTTTTATACTGGGTGGAGTGTTACCCACCACAGGTGCCACGTCAACTGACCCTACGCCTATACATTTAAGACCTGGGTGCCCCTTTTATACTGTGCTTATCCGTGATTTACATCAGCCTACCCTTACCATGGAAGACTCCCAGAACGTCCCTGTGGACTTCCAAGCAATGATCAATGCAGCGGTCGCTGCTTCGGTGGAGAAAGCACTCTCCAAGGCACGTACTACAGAGGCGCCCAAGCCTACCCACAGGCGACCTCGCCAGGACTCAGATTCGGATGTGTCCGACTATCGGACCAGGGAGGATTCCCGTCCGAGGAAACGCGATGAGAAAGGCGAAGATCAGACACTAAAACCTCTTAAGGGTAAGGCGCATGCCAAGCGCAAATCTGCCAAAGCTAGTACCCCGACCCCGCGTCAGGATTACTCTTCGGATGAAGAGCAAGGGCCTTCCCATTCCATGTCAGTGCTAGATGAATGGCAAGCTGACGTCTCTGATTCAGACGACGCTTGGGGTTCGGACGAGAAATCTGTCTCTGCTCTCATGCGGGAGACTCTTCTGGGTGCGGCCCAGACAGAGGGTACTGAAGACACTGCGGATGCAGAACACCCTCTTGATTCGGACACCATTTTAGATCCTTCGGGTCAGGCGATGTTTGATCCCCGCAACATCCGCCACCCCAGATCGGGAGATTGGTCACCCCCAGAACACCTCTCCAGGTTCATGCACCTGTGGCTTCGCAAGCCCCTGGAGAAAGAGGTCCGCAACCGGCTCAGATCCGAATGCCCACGCCCTTCCCTGCCAGATAAAGTGGCTCACACTCCCGAGTTTGATAAGGTTATGACAACCTTCATGATGCGTAGTGGGAGAGACCCTCGACGAGGGGTAGAGAAAGGCCTATTCGGCGCACAGGATAACCTGCTGGACTCCATTGGCCCTCTGGCCCGCATCATGTACCTGGCAGATGACGCCCTTGCCAGAGCCGATTCCTTCTCGGCCGAAGACATCAAAGAATGGGCACACGACGTGCGTGAATGGGCACAACGGTGTTTTTGTTTCATTGGAAACACTAATGTTACGCTCTCTTCTGAGAGACGGAAAGCAGCGTTATACCGTATTAACGGTAAATTGGCAGAGCTTGGCACGAAAGAGATTGGGCCCCAGGCACAAGGGAAATTGTTCGGTGAACCGTTCCTCAAGGAACTTAAACACGTGAACGTGTTCACTTCACTTAATAAGGCGCAGTCCTCTATGCGCAGAGTCTTCCGGAGCACTACCACCAGAGGAGTTTTTGGAAGGGCTGGCCGGCAACGGGGCCGTGCCGCCAGTCGATTCTGGCCTTCAGGCCCCCGCACTCAACCAACACCTTTCTACCCATCACGGGAGTACAGGCAACAACCTTTCTCCCGAGGCTCGGACAGAGGCCGGGGACCACGCGGACGCGGACGTTCCCGCTTTGCTACAGGTAAGCACCCGTATTCCTCCTTTGTTACCTTGCACCCGCCCCGCGGGCCGTATTTCCCATTCTTTCCAGAATTGGGCCGCTCTGTCCTCAGACAAGTGGATCCTACAAACGGTACAGGGATATGTCATAGACCTAGTAGGGACTCCCCTTCAGACACAACCTCCTCACCCCATCCACGTCATCTTCCGACCAATCCCTCGTCAACGCGGAACTACGCGAACTTCGGGACAAAGGGGCTATCCAGCCGACCTACGATGGGGGAGGTTATTTCAGCAATATTTTCCTGGTTCGGAAGAAGACGGGAGAATTCCGTCCAGTCATCAACCTACGCGGCCTCAACGCGGATGTGGCGTACCGCCACTTCAAGATGGAGGGCATCCACCTCCTGCGGGACCTCCTACAAAGCAACGACTGGTTCACCAGACTAGATCTAAAAGATGCATACCTGTCGGTCCCAGTGCATCCGGATTGCCGAACCCTCCTACGTTTCCTCTGGCACGGCCGTCCTTGGCAATTCACCTGCCTCCCTTTCGGGCTCAGCTCGGCCCCTTGGTGTTTCACCAAACTTCTGAAACCGGTGGTGGCCCACTTGAGATCCAGGGACGTCCGATGCATCATCTACCTGGACGACCTGCTTCTCTTTTGCTCCAACGAGCGCAGACTGCACCAACACACTCATCTCGCAGTAACACTGCTGGAATCTCTGGGCTTCGTGGTGAACCGCCAGAAATCGGAATTGACCCCATCCCAGACGATACAATTCCTGGGCTTCGAGATCGACTCAACTACATGCACTCTAAAGCTTCCAGCCTCGAAGATCTCGTCTATTCGCAAGGAGATTCGCAGAGCACTCCGTCGCGACTCCATCCCTCTCCGCAACCTGGCCAGGATCGTGGGACTCCTCTCCGCCTCCATTCAGGCCATATTCCCGGGTCCCCTCCACTACAGAGCCATGCAACGCCTCAAGGCGAGGTACCTACGCCACAGGCCCACGTACGATCAAATCGTCCCGGTGACGACGGAAGTTCGCGAGGAACTATCATGGTGGCTGGACAGCATGCAAGCCTGGAACGGCAGGGCCATATTCGGAGACACCCCAGACTTCGTACTGGAGTCAGACGCCAGCTTGTGGGGCTGGGGCGCCACCAACGGGTCCATATCCACAGGAGGAACATGGACAGCTCAGGAACTCTCCATGCACATAAACTGCCTGGAACTCCTGGCAGGGTCCTTCGCGATCCGCAGCCTGGCCCGAGACAGATCCAACTGCTGCATCCTCCTACGCATGGACAATGTCTCCGCAGTCCGATATATCAATCGCCTGGGGGGCGCACGTTCACGTCTACTGTCAGAATCACAAAGGACATTTTCGACTATTGCCTACCCCGCAACATCGCTCTCCAGGCCGAATACCTGCCCGGGGAAATCAACCTCACGGCCGACTGGTTCTCTCGCCACTGGAGGGACGTCAGCGATTGGAGACTGAACACGAGGATCTTCAGAGCCCTGGCGACCCGGAGGGGTCTCTTTCACCTGGATCTTTTCGCATCCCGCAACAACCATCAAACCCCGGAGTTCTTCAGCTGGCTCCCGGACCCGGAGAGCAAGGCGACGGACGCTTTTCTACAACAATGGCCAACGACCGGAGCCTATGCCTTTCCCCCATTTGCCATGATCACGAGAACATTACACCAGATGCGGACGCAACAGGTCACTCTGGTCCTCATAACACCCTTGTGGCAGAGCCAACCGTGGTTTCCGGACCTCCTGGCCACCTCCTGCAGGGATCCTCTTCTCCTTCCATCCTTTCCGGAGCTGCTCACGGATCCCAAAGGGAATCTTCACCCGCTTCTCTTGGAAGATCGACTACCCCTGGTGGCTTGGACTCTTTCCGGGGTTCCTGGCAAGTCAGCGGACTATCGCAGGCTACCAGGGACCTCTTATGGGATTCCTGGGCCCCAGGAACTAGACGCTGCTACCTTTCAGCTTGGACCTCCTGGTCTACTTGGTGCATGGAACGGGACGCCGATCCATTTACAGCACCTATTCCCATGATTCTCAATTTCCTTTCATCCTTGTTTTCGTCGGGCCGCTCCTATCGGTCTGTTAACGTTTTTCGCTCCGCGATTTCGGCGGCCCATACCCCCGTAGGGGACCTCCCGGTCGGCAAAGACCCTCTCGTCTGCCGCCTGCTCCGTGGTATGCGGCTCCGCCGCCCCCCAGCTCCCAGGTACTCCCACCTATGGGATGTTGGGCTGGTCCTCCGTTTTTTCAGGGATTGGCTCCCTAATGACCGCCTCTCCCTACGCCAATTGTCGGCTAAGTGCGCTTTCCTGCTCTGTCTCGTGTCCTTTCGACGGGTATCAGACGTTCGAGCCTTCGACGTTGACGCCTTCGAGATTGCCCCGGAGGGGGTCACTTTCCATGTTTCCTGTCGCACTAAGTCGGGTTCGACCTCGGTATTCTACCCTTTTTTCCCCAGACGATCTGCAACTCTGCGTCGTGTCCACCCTGCGCAGATACGTTTCGGCTACCTCCTCGCTCCGGAACTCGGCGTCGGGCCAACTCCTAGTCTCCTATGTTCGCCCCCACGCGCCGGTCTCGGTCACCACACTGGCCCGGTGGATTCGATGGATCCTCTCCCTCGCCGGTATAGACCCTACTTTCGGCGCCCACTCCGTTCGAGGGGCGGCGGCTTCCTCAGCCTTCCTAGTGGGGGCGTCACTGTCAGACATCCTCCGAGCGGCGGATTGGTCTCGGGAATCCACTTTCCGTACCTTTTATTTTCGCACTCCCCCTTCTGCTGGGACATCTCTCCTTCAGCGTTAAAATTGCAAAATAGGAAGCCTCCTGTCATGTTATAAAATTGAAGATTATGCTAGCTTTAGTGTACTAATAATCTTAATTTTAATAAGGACAGGAGGCGAGTATTTTCCCTCCCTTTTGTTCCCTACCCTGACTCCTCGGGGGAGTGGATCTCAAGGTGACGGACCTTTTTCTTTTGGCTTGTCAGTGCTTGCTACTTTCCTTGGGGTGCCTGCAGTTTCTATCCCGTCTCTCATCCCAGATCTAGGCCTTAGTCTACCAGGTTACGTTGCACCACATGTTACACATAACACGTATTACCTTACATTACACTCACTCCTGTGTATATCATCACTTAGGTTGACACACTCTGATATGGCTCTCATGTGTGACCAGTTACGGTTCAGTACCTAACCTATTTCATACTCTTCTTTCAGTGTAATCCTCTTCAGGACCTCCACTGGTTGTTGGTTTGGTTACCCTCACGACTCCGCTTACGAGGATAAAGGCTTTGTTTCGTCTTCTCCCGAACTCGTTTACCAGGAGTCTCATCAGGTTCTGCTCACCAGAGACCGTTGTTGATTGTTTCGTTGGTTTCTATCGTTTCGAGCTCAGTCTGGACTTGGATGTCGCTTAAAGAAAGAGGAAGTGTACAGGCAGCATGACCCTTATATATACTATGCTGCTCAGTGATTTAATGTTACTTTTTATGTTTTTCTTTACTGCTGTGGAGTTTAGTAAAGAGAGTTAATGCAAAATACTCGCCTCCTGTCCTTATTAAAATTAAGATTATTAGTACACTAAAGCTAGCATAATCTTCAATTTAGTTGCATGATGATGCTCTTTTAGCTTCTGACTCGAATTCCCACTGAAGACAACAGGGACCTAACATGAACCAGGCAGTACTGTGAATGGATTATGCGTTCTGGTTAATTAAAGGGGAAATACAGACTGGAATGTACACACATTCATCATACATTTAAAACATAGCAAAAATAAACAGAAAAAATAAATAAAAAATGATACATTTGAAGTTGCAGTGCTGGAGTAAATACTGAGGCTTTAGGTTTCTAGTATTTGGCACTAAGCAGATAAATTTATCGGCCAATAGTAATGCTTCCATAACTTTATATGGCACATTGACTTTATACTTTAAATTTTCGCACAGTAGGATTCATGGGCAGCATAGGGGTTTCTGGAAATTGTAATTCAATCTTAGCTCAAACACTAAGAAATGTATTCTGTCCTTCGTGACGGCATGAGCAACTGTGTTATTGGAGAAACAATGTAATTTTTGGGGAGAAAAGAAGGTGTGATATCGCCTATGCAGACAGGTAACTAACCAGAAGGAAATGTTTAAGATTGAATGATTTAAGTCAGAGACAGCAAGGTTAAAATGCACAATGACAACATTTATTTTTTCAAAACATAAGCACACCTGAGCATGCTAGAATGCAATTTATTTGAGCCTAACCTACACAATTTGTTGTTGTATCTGGATTACCGCTTTAACAAAAATCTCCAATGTAGATACTGTGATATTTCCACTAGCAGAGCTTACTAGTAAATAGGTGTAAAAACTCATCATTGTGAAAAAAATAGTAATTTGATTTTGAATCCTAAAACACTTTCAAGGTTTAAGACCATGTGATCTACCTAATGGAACTAAATTTTAAGTTAAAGGGAAACGGTTATTTAAAAAAAAAAATTAAAAAAATTGTTATAATATACCATATTTTTATGCATTCATGTCAATTTGGAAGAAACCCGTTGCCTAAGGTGCAAATTGTGAGCACTGGCTGTGATAACAGACAATCTGACCCAAATTGCATAACAATGGCTGTCACAAATGGGAAGTGGGAAAGATAGGCAAGGGATTACATGGAAAAATTCAATACACACTAATTTAAAAAAATAAAGAGATGGTACAACATATTGATTATGTTAAGATATTTAAAAATAATGATGGTGTTCCTTTAAGAGTCAAGTAGATCCAAATAACGCTTGCATTGTTAAGGATCTTGGGATCTCCCCCCTCCTCATGGTACTTATAATGTTTAGAGTCATGGGATTCCCGCCAAATGGCACAAATAGCGTTAAAGCGACACCGTAGGCATTGTATCTGCTTCATCTCATTAAACTGGTTATAGTGTATGGAGTCCCCTGGTGCCATCATTTCTTTCAGCATTAAACAGTTTTTAATGTTGTAATGTTTTAATGTTAAACAAAAGACCACGGCAGTCCATCCCCTCTGTGCTGCTTCGGCTAATAAGGAAGTATTACCCTGAGCAGCTGTGATTGGCTGAGAGCGTCAGCTGACTGCTTTTAACCTGTCAGAGCTCCAACTGACAGTATGAATGGGTATGACAACAAGGAAGTGTGTAAGCTCTGCCTTAGCTACACATACAGAAGGGGCCGGACTGTGGGTGGCCAGGGACTCTTAATTTGTGGCACACAGCACAAACATGGTGCAACACTGAATGGAGGGACAGTGCCAGGGCACTCCGGGCACTATAACCAATTCAAAGAGACAAAGTGGTTATAGTGACTACAATATCCCTTTAAGGACAACATGACATGCTATGAGAATGAGCCCTTCCATTCAGAGCAGTTACTCTGGGAAACCTCTGGCAGCTATCTTTCCACTTCACACAGATTGGTGATTACTGTGTATAGTGCGCAAACAAATGTAATTGAGTTAAAAATAAGCAGCTACACACTCTAGTGGATACTCTCTTATCCCCACTAATTATAGTAATGAACCAACCTGTTCTGCCACCTTTTCATTTTTTTTTACATTTTTTTTTTTTGCTTGAGTGTATGTGCCCACAAGCAATATGGCTGTGGTGAGAGCGGAAGTGATCCTGATCACCCTGATGAAAGGAAGGCGAGGAAATTGACCTCACAAGAAGCTAAATCCAGATTGGAGGATGGGATAGGATGGGAGGACCGCCCACTGGATGAAGAAACCGGCATATTTAAAAAGCAGCATGAAGACAATGAGGATACCGATTGAAAAAGCCCCCATAGTGTGGGTGAAATGCGTCTTGGGACTGGAGCTAATTACTGGGACATTCTTTATCTTATATAGAAGCAACTGGATATTTTTATTTAATTCTATGTTTTTGTTTTTATATTTAAAGTTGCAATAAATGTTTGTATTTTAAACCAAGTCCCATCAGCTTCTAACTTCATCTTGCTGCTAAAGAAGGGCAGGTGCCCCCCTCTACAGGTACCCAGGTCTATCATCCAGAGCCAGGTTTTCATTGGCTCAGGAAAAGGTGAGCACAACCATAACCACTGTGTTTTTTATTTTGGTTGAAACTTAATACACTAGGAAGTCTCCCTTTCTCTCTCCTTTGAGGAAATCCATTCCAGGCAAAATGGTGCAGTGTCTCCATACGACACTACTGTGCAAGTGATTTGAGCCGGTCCCTTTGAGGCTCTGATCAATGTGAGTTTGACTACTTGAATTATCACCAAAATACATTATCACCTGTGGATTTACACTATATTGTGTTTTATTTTTTTGTTTCCTTTATATGTACTGATATACATCTGAGATTTAACCATATTTTAGGGTAAGTTTATACCTTTAGCGCTCCACTCATTTGATTAGTAGAGTCTGGACGTTATATCCAGATTGTACCAAGCTCACTTTGGATCTTTCCACTTCAAGCCATTGTTTGGAGTGCTCAGCAAGTCAGATTAATTACAGCTCATTTTATTTGTTTCTGTTGCTGAATAAAAGGAGCCCCGTATCTAGTATGGATAAGGCAGTCCCACAATACAGCCTTAAGAAGCCTGCTTCATATTAACTAATTGAATTGACTCTCAGGGACCAATTACAAATCATCAGGGGGAATTGCTCTTAATCAAGCAGAACGCCATTGTTTTTGCTGCAATAAAGACTGTGCGAAGGCAACGCTGGCATATTATTGGCTAAGAATTAGGAGTACCAGTAACATAACAGGCAGCCATTCAGATTTCACATGCATGTACCAGGATCATGCCCTGTCTCACCCATCTGCAGCAGGATTTCTTGCAACACAGATATTGAATCACTGTGGCCCATCAGTGTACGTTTGTCATATTTATCATGTGTTCATCCTGATGGGAAATGCATGAATAGTGATATCTTGCTATCTACATGCAGCAGGAAATTCAATAAACTTAAAAAACATTTCCTTCGGGATTCCTCCTTGAATGGTCAATTGATTTCTCGTCTTTCATGAATTGTACATACTGCAGGGCAACACTTTTCATGCGTTAACCAATGGCTTGAAATGACTTGTGTCCATAAACGTATGCTGGATCTGACAACCATAATTGTGTACCTAATGCACAGCTTACACTGGCTGTGGTCTTCAAGTGACCGGCTACAACAGTTATATTATAATGGTCATTACAATATTTAAAGACACATAATAAAAGTCTCCACACAGAAGTTGGCGAAGCACCCACATTGCTTACTATTAAGTCCGAGTTGGTATATAGAATTTCTCTGTGGAGGGCCAAACATGCATAAGTGTGCCCATGAGTGTGTCTTTAGCGACTACAACATGGGCGTTACTTCTTTTAAAAAGTGACAGCTGCTTTTTAAAAAGTCAGAAATCTCTGAACAATCAGGATAAAGAGATTGTAAGTACGCTCTGGAAAGCTTTCAGTGCTCAGAAGGGTAAAAAAAAAGCTACATAGAAAAATACAATGCTGCCACCCATCCCATGTGTGCCCTATTAATGGTTAATAAGTATGTAGGGGTTTAGAAAAATACCCCTCTCTGTCTCAGAGATTTATTGGCCTGAAGCTCGAGAAAGCAAGGTGAATTGTTAGTGAGGACCCACCTAAGAGGTTTGCCTTGACATGGCAGGTGGGCTTACATTTAATGGCCATTGGAGTAACTAAATAACCTTCATTTATTTAAATATGCATAGAGATTTGGGCTGGCGTTCAGGTAACTTTTTTTTTCTTTGCTTGTTTTGTATGTATTGGGGCTGATGTGTGCTATAATCGTTGCTGCCGCCCAGGAGCAGTGAGAGTTTAAGCACAGGATTTATTTTTGTGTAAAAAGCTACATATGCAGTGATTGTACGAAAATGTACCACTGAGGTTAAAGAGGTTGAAGAAAAATAAATAATCACAACAAAGACAAAATGAATGTGATTTTCTTAGAAGTCAAAGAACCACTGCAATGTAGGAAATGTTCCTAATACAAAGTTATCTTTCTAAAATATTTTTTTTTTTTTTTAAATCTCAGTATCAAATGTGTCTTTGACTGTCTAAATATAATTGCTAAAACTTTTCCTTAAAATGAGGATGATGCGCATTTTCCTTGATGCAGAGACTCAGCACGTGAGAATTTTTGCCTGGAAGGATCTGCATTGGGTCCATCCGTTGACATATTTCTCATGCCATATGGTCGGGAGATTTTTTTTATTTTTTTTTATAGAATCATATTTTGTTCACTTGTCAGAAAGCTGAGAAAATGAAGTGTTGCTGTTTATTGCTTCACACATTATCAGAGAATGATTCTATGATAATCCCTAACGGGTACTTCACTCACGTTTTTTTTTTTTTTTTAAATGTGCAGAGACTACACTCAGCAATGATAAAATGCAAAAACAAACACAATCGGTGCCAACAGCTACACAGGCTGTGAGGAAGATTATATTGCATACATCTAGGAGCACAGAAAACAAAGACCTCTAATGAGTGGGTAAACATAAGAGAAATTAAAGGGGAACAGTCCAATTGAAAATCACAATTCGCGATAATGCTTTTTGTTGTTTTCTTCTAAATTTATATTAAAAAAATGTGCATTTGACGTCACAATCCAGATCGGTCCAGGCACAGTCAAGGTTTATATTGCATTGCAAACATTGTATCAAAGGACAGATCATATAACAACGTTTGAGTTCCAGGATGAAGGTAAATACAGAGGTTTGGATTTCTATATTTAAAATTTTATTTCCACATTAGTAAAAAAAAAAAAAAAAAAGGAGGATAAGTAAACATAATTTTAAAAATCCTGGGAAGAGACAGCCCCCATTTAAACATATCAAATCTGGGACGCAGTGTCGAAGTCCAATAAGGAGGGCAAAGCCTGTTTTAGGAATAATTAATTGAAGCTTAAATAAGTATACATTAGTCATGCTTTTCCAGGAGTCCAAGGCATGATTAAGAACGGCTATATCACGATGATAAATAGGAAAGAATTGTGAAACGCAGTGATCCCTGGAGTATGTATGCGCAACATTTCAGTATGAAACCCATAGTGTGTGGAGGTGATTGTGGTAACTGTGCATACACGGTTTGCAGGCTATGTGCAATGTGTGTGCCGACTGTGTGTAATGTTTGTGATATTTGCGGTCTGTCTGTAATGTTTGGGTGTGTGATGTTTACTCGCTATGTTTTGCAACCCTCCTACACACTTTTCTGCAAGGGTGGCCTATGAGTCTTAGTGGTCCAGCAGGGGAGCTTATAGTCCGCACCTCCATCAGATGCAGACCACAGTAATCACTCTTTGCGTACCTGACACTCACAAAGACAGAGTGCAGCCAGGGAATCCCGGTGGATGTGCGCTTACTCATTAATGACTGTGAGGAAGTGATAACTGATCTTCATCCACCAGATATTCAGATAATGCTCTCCCTGCATTGGGCTCAACGCCCCCTGTTTCCTGTAACAAAGCTCCAACTTACCTTGTATGTATGTATGCCATACCTTGTGATAAATGCATCGGGTAAAAGGCACTCTCATTAATAACGTCACAGGGATTCTCCTGCAGACGGAGACCTGAGTGGTCTGAAAAGACTCCAATTAGTTGCTTGCTTCCCTGTAAAAGTGATCATGACTAGGTTGTGCATGAGGCATGGCATTAGAGGATGTCTGATATTTCACCCTGCAAATATTGCTGTACCGTGGCAGTATCACAATACAAATATTAAGTTATTACACATGGTTTCTGAATCTCCCTATAAATTTGGCAGAGGTTGGTGATTACATGAAAAAAAGTGTTGTTTTTGTGTAATTTTTAGATTTTGTGACTACTATTAAATATGAGGTCTCAGCATACCAAATTAGGAAATAAATTTGCTTTAATTCACTCCCTAAAATATCTGTCTTATAACTTCAAAAAATTACTTGAACCTTCGCTATATGAAGAATCTAATAATCAGGACTAATACATGAAGCTATTTCACAATGATTTATTCACAACTAAAGAAGTAACATTTCCACTTCAAGGTGACATATCCACCTTAACCTAAAGGGGAATTTAAACCACTGAAGAACAAATTTGAAAATCACCTATAATTTCTGTTAATCTTTTTTCATGAGATGCTCCTTTTCATTATAAATTTATATTAAAGATTTAGCACATAACATCACAATCCAATTGAGGCAAGGAATAGCCACGGCAAACATTGTAAATGAAGAGGGGAAACGGATATACGGTTTCGTTTCTTCAAGAGCAAAGGAAAAAGATTACATCAATGATTGACAGGGAACGAAGATGGAGGCCCCGAGTGGCAGGATAAAAAAACAGGTTTATAAATTAACAGGGTTATTTACTAAAGTAAGAATTGCCATTAATTCAAAGTGGGTTTAAAATTTTAGACCAAAATTGCTTAATTGGAAGCATAGCTGACTTTATCCAACTCAGCTATTTTGGCCTTAAATTAAAAAATGACTTTGAACTCACTACGAATTTCTGACAATTCTCAATTTAGTAAATATTTAATCACTAAACTAGAAGTTGTTTTGGTAAATCAACAGCGAACTTGCAAAGTTTAGGCCAAAACAGACAAGCTTGTGCTATTCAGACATTTTGCAAATTAATTCCAACTTCAATATTTTGCATAAATTTGGAAAAAAAATCTTAATTTGGCAAACCTTACTAGTAAAATAAGGTGCGGTACATCCATCCTTTACAGAAGACTAGCAGGTCAATCACGTGAATCATCCCCACGGCTTGTAGGAATAAGACCTTGAACAAAATTTATTTTTTTAATACAAGCAACAAAGACAAAACAGGAGATATCTTCAAGGTACAGACATATGATGAATGATCACATTTTCATATGACTTCTCTAAACACAGAAGGCTAAGGTCTTGTGTGAGCAATATATTACAGCGGATTAATCTTATAAGAGCATTTTATTAGGTAGGACTTGCCAAAAATTAGGTAGTTTGATTTGGTAGCTAGCTTAAAAGCATTGTCTAGTTGTATTAAGTGACTGGCTCTCTATCACATCTTCTGAAATTAATGTTTTAATTATTCTACATAGGATTTAGAGCTGGTGAAGCGTGTTGAATTTTATATATATTTTGTATAGGAAAAAATAGAAATAGAAGAATCATTGACAGCTCATGTGACTATGGTAAATGTGTGGTTTATTTCTAGGGAAACTAATTTCCCAGGTATTTATACCAGTTAAAAACATCTATAACTTACGTAAAAGCAGCACTGTCACACCTCCCTGGCCAAAAATGTAATTATTATTTCAAAAAGATAGAATCTTTATGGAAATGTATTTTCCCTTAAATTCCAACCCATTCAAGAGATATACTGAGACAATATACTGTATCAGTATTTCTCCTACCCCTAACATTTCTACACACTGGCCAAAGCTAGCACAATCAAGTAGTGTCAATTCCAGCAGCCATCATCAGTGACAGCTATAGCGAATTATCTTTATCTATGGAGGATCCCGCTGTCTCGAGGGATACTCTATAGACCTCAATGTTGTATGCACGAGAGTGCAGCAGTGACGTCGCCTCCTGGCTGAAGCACCAGGTTCTCAAGAGGTCTTATAAGAAGAAGATGGCGCCGGCGAGGGACAGGTTTGGGTAAGTAGAATTCACCTTTCTTTGCCCCCTTGGCCACCAGACTCCCCAGCAGCGATGTCACGGTCAGGGTTTTTTGCTAATTCTGGTTACTACAGGGAGCATGTGGTCTGACAGGCAGAGTACTTGAAATCCTCAGGGGACCACCTTACTTTGTAGCCAGACCAAGCTGCTGTCTTTCCCTCTGTCCAGCCTCTGGCTCCACTTCCTGCCAGAATCTTTGTGAAGCGGGTGGGACATATCGCAATGTCTGCTTCCTGACAGGTTGGAGATTGGGGCAATCTGGAGCAGACACACTAATTGTTGAGTTAGGGCTGAGACACTAATGGGAGGGCGACAAAGTCTGAAACCATCAGGGTTATTCACTAAACTTTTCACAAATTAAATCGGAATGGAAAAACTGATGCAAAAAGTTGTAGCTAATGCTGAGTTTTTGAATCTTTCCAAGTCAGCCGTTTTTATCTCAGTTTTTCTGTTTGGATTTAATGCACAAAAATTCAGAGTTTAGTGAATAACCCTGTCTATGTCCAGGACTCTAGTTAGGTACCCCAAATAAAAATTATTGAGCATGTCAGATAACGTAGATTGCCGTTATGGACGATTAGATGGGGGTCACCATTTAGTCCCTAGAACAAGCAGATTTATTTTTGTTTTTAAATTTCCACACTCCTGCTACATGTCATTTTGTTCTTCCCACCTTACAATTACATATTTGTTAAATACAGGGTTTGAGTAAATACAAATTATATATCCTGCAATTGACAGTTCCCCTTTAAGTCCTCTAAGCATGGCCCATTCATTCATTGGTTCTTAACCTTTTTTGACAAGGTCTCAAGTTAAATATATCATATTAGTTTAGCTACCCATACTCTGACTGTAAAATTAACAAAGTGACGCAGCTAGATTTGTGTCCAGAACCAAGGGTTAAGAAAAACTGATCTTGACCTTGCTCTTCGACTCTATTTGGATGATCAATTCAGATTAGCACCGTCCCTACTCTAGGTTTGAATGGACTTCCTTTCATACAGTAAGTGTTGATACACCAACAGATAAGCACACAGTCAGATGAACTCAATGGCACATATTTTCACACAGACTAATCAGATAAAGCGGTCTCCCCAAGAGGGTCACTAAAGGACCACAAAGTCCAAGAAGAATAGGTTCCCATTTAAACACAGCTGCCTAATCAAATAATTGAAGAAAACACAAAAAAGATTGATCATTTTGGCATAACTCCCAAAATTTCAACAGATTAAAACAGGGATACATTTTTCTAAAGGGGACTAACACGGATTTTTTGCACAAGTCAGTTTTTCAATGCAAGAATGTTGCAAACCAGAACCACACAATAATATTCTCCTTCTTATGACCATAGCACACTTTCATAGTTTTGGCTGCTTTGCATAGGATGATTTAGAGCTTTGTCCTTTAGTTGTACTCAGCAAGTTCTTTGTTTTATTTTGACCTCTGGACTACTTGAGCGGTGTTACTTACCAATTCCAAGTAGATCTAGTGCATGGACACTGGGTTGTCTGTCTGTTTGCTTGCAATCAGACACTTTCACTCCCCTCCTTCTTTGAGCCATTTTATTATGCCTGACCACTGTACTAACCAGTATTTTTCCACCAGTTCTGGCCCATACTCCTCAGGTTAGGATTGTAAAGTACACAAAATTTAAAGGGAAACAATCCCTAGAAAAAAGTCACAATTTTTTGAATTCTCCTCCTATACTAGCTTTGGGTTGGTGCAGAACTGTGTATTCTTTACAGTAATCTTACGATTTTCACACTTCTTATTGACTATTGGGGAGAAAAAGGCTTTTTAGGTTGAACTAGATTTTGCAGAAATGACAACGTGATCACGAAGAGGCGAAGTTCGGGTCCTAAGCAACATTGTGGTACTTAAAAACTAGCCAAGTGAATTCAAGTCAATTATTATTATCATCATGGTAATGCGTCAGACACTTCGACTCATGAGTAATTAGAAAGATTAGCTTGGTTCGACTACTTTTCATATATATTCTGCTCTGGGGATGTGTTACTTCATAAAGTAAAAAGTAGCTCAATGTCATTTCCTTTAATGGCTAGCTATGAAGAATGAGGAAGGAAGAACCCCATCAAAAACCAAACACATAGAATACCCCTTCCTGTTGCAATCCAGGAAAAACATAAGAGTTCTGAAGAAGGGCTCCATCCAGTGTAGAAGCTAATCACCTACTCAATTACTTTGACTGTGTTCATTTCCAGTACCCGTTTGTACGGAAGCTTTAATAAAACCAGGGAATTTCAGCATACCAACTACTTAGCCAAGCACCATTTAGAACGGGGGTGCCAATCACAACTTCATATGGACATTTGTTGCTTTGATTTTAAAGGAACACACAAAAAAAAAGACAATCAAGTCACAAACATTCACAGACTTTCCAATGAGCATTGCAAGCATTCTAGGCAGTTACTTGCCTCTTGAATTTAGCTCAATGGAGCCAACTACTAGGAAGTAACAGTACTACTTTACCTGACTAAATAAAACCGTTCAGGTGACATTTTGGCACTTTTGGTTCATGTGGAGAAGATTGCTGGATATTAATTAAAAGTAAAGGGAGGAGAATACAAATTTTTGAATGCATGATTTCACGGAACTGCAGATATTAGATGATTTTTGTTTCCACAAATGGTAAAGTGACTTTATAAACAACAAGGAAACAATGAGGCATCTCAGTCCACAGGATCGTTATTCTGTCTGACCATAATGGAGACTGATTCACCTTACTCTCCAGCCTTAAAGAGGTGTACAATATACTACCCTATGAAGAGATAGATCAATCCTTATATACTAGATTAAGAGTGCCCCCTTGCACTGTATGAACAACGATGGGTAATTAAAAAAGTGTACCGTATGACATTTTGGCTATCTTTGAGAAGGTACTTTGACGTTCACAAAAACTGCCTCGGCACAGATCCTTACTTGTAAATACAGATGTTTCAGAAACATAGTACAACAGCTTAACCTTATTAACCCATACGTAATCAGTTTTTCTGTATCTGAACCTAGTTCTGTTTTCAAACACTTCTTTTTTTGAGCAAAACTAAGACTTGGCTTCCCAGGGTATATCAGATGCAGATAGATATAAAAGGGAAAAGAAAACGGTTTTGGACTGTGATTTTATCTTTAAATAAATGCATTTTCTGCCCGCAGCCTCATTTTACTAACCAGGCATGCATTGAAATGGCTACTGCAGTCAGATTTTAAATTAACTTCATTAATACTAACATTGTCTTATTGTGCATTTCTCACAAGGCCCTTCTTGGTTATTGGCCAAACTTAAAAAAGCTTAAAAGTTCACTTCAAGTACCATGAACATGTCACTGATGTGTAGTGGTCATGGTGTCTTGAGTCTGTATGAGCAGCATTTTGCTATGAAATGATGCACATACTGAGTTTAACCCCATTGCTGCCACAGGTGTAACTCTGCCCCCGGCAATGTCATTGGACAGCTCAGAACAAGAGTTCCAGGCTGGCTAATGTCTACCCTGTAAGTAGTTCTTTGCATAGAATGTCATTCATTGGCTGACAGACATTAGATGACACTCTCAGCCAATGAACGAGCAGCAGGATTGGCTTCTGCAGCAGATGTCATTGTAAAACAGTTTGCAGCATAGTTATGGTGGTTGGAGTAACCCTTTATGGAAGTTGAACCATATTACTTACATGATTACAACAACTGCTGATGCCCAGCTCATATTTTCAAAAATCAGTATGTTAATAATTAGGTCAGTATAGTGGTGTAATTTATCACTATCCTTAAATGAGAACTTGTCATGTCAAAGATGGTTATTCAGATATTGAATCTATATTGAAAGCCAGAATACTGAATCTTTTAAAAGATTTAAAGTGGAATCATTGGTCTAAAAACACATTAATCAATAAAGCAGAAACAATCTATGTATTTCATGAAATACTATTCTGTCAACAAAAGTCATTAGAAAAAATGTAACAGATACAGAGCTAAAAAAAAATTCCATATTTGTCAGTTTATTCGCATACCTAGGCGGGTTATCCATACAACATATCAATAAAGACTGCATATTTCAGTTCCTGCTTACGATCTGTCAGCCCTTTCAGTCCCCACTGAGACACCACTACTGCACTGAATTGTGGTATAAAATGCCTGATACATCTTCATTAATCTTCTCTTTAGCATTGAAGAATCCCCTGGTTGCAAGCACAACTACACATTTATTTGTATTGGCATCCTATTTACATCCCTGTCTTCTTTACTCTTTCAATAAGGGGCGATAGGAGAAGGAAGTAGAAACTGAAACAAATAAAAGGAGGTTAATAAGAAATTTGTGTAACAAACTTTCCTGCTACTGGAGACAACGCTGCTCCATTTGTCGGGACACACAAGCTGAACACTTCACACAGCCGCACACCTCCCCTCCTCAGGTAGAGCGACCACACAACATGAACAGGGAATACTTCATAATTACCATTTGGCACAACAAACTTCTCACTCCCCTTGCTCACACGAGCCGAAAACCACATAGACATTTCTTCCCTGTAGGATCATTTATCTATTCATTCATGTATTTTAAAAAAAAAAAAAAAAAATGTGATGTCACGCCGCCCTTAAACTGACCACGTCATCTAGGTGACACCATATTCAATCAAGTTGGAGTTGCAGAGATAATGTGGACCAATCAGAAAGTGTTTTAGCCTAAATAAAAGTTAATTTGGTCACTTGTTCATTGCTCCATTGTGGTTTCTGCCTTTATCGATGTTAGTGCTTATAGTAAGTCTCTCTTGATATATTCTGATATTGTCACGTATTCATCCGCTTATGAAAATGTGATTAATGGAATTTACTGTTCAGACAGGAAAAGTTGTGCCGAGCAACATTACTGTCCTGACAGGAAAAGTTGTGCCAACCAGCAATCAATTCACAGGAGGGTTTGTGCTGAGCAGCAATCATGCAAATAGGAACCTGGTAACTGCCTTTGGGTTCAAAGGCCGGTTACAACCAATCAGATCCACAGCTGGGGTATTTAGGCCTAGTTCTCCTCTTGCTCAGTGCCCTGTCGTGGTTTCCCTTGTGGTGGTCAGTGAGCGCGTTATTGATTCTGGTAATTCTGGTTATTTGACTTATTTAGGCCTAGTTCTCCTCTTGCTCAGTGCCCTGTCGTGGTGGTGGTCAGTGAGCGCGTTATTGATTCTGGTAATTCTGGTTATTTGACTTCCCTGTTTTCTGGTATCCCTGACCCCTGGCTTTTCCTTATCGTTGTGTCTCTTTCTGTATCACTTGACCTCGGCTATTCCTGACTATTCTTTGGTACGTTAGTCCGGCCATTCTAAGGTCCGGTATACATTACCTATCAGTACTCTGTGTTACACAATTCTATGTGCTGAATCATACTGTAATCCTGACAAATATTGACCTTGGCGTGTATGTAACATTGTGTATTTCTCGTATCCTGACCCAGCTTGTTTCGGTCTTTAAGAATTTCTGGTATCCTGACCTGTCATGTTATTTTGTTTATCTGTATTTCTAGATTCCTGACCTTGGCTATTACCGTCTTTGTCTTTATTTTTCTTACGTTAAGTTCGGCCACTCCAAGGCCCGAAAATACGTTTATCTAGAACCGGTTTGTGGGATTCGCAAAGTTGGGGTAAGACCCCGTGACAGTTTCTTAATGTCTTATGGAATCAGTAATACATTTGTTTTCAGACTTACGGCAATGTTTAGGATAAGGGAAAAGGTGATCATTTCATTAAACTTTCTTTCCAGAATATCTCAGCACAATGCTTGGCATATAGAAAAACGGCACTTAACACAGCATGTTGCTGGACACCTCAAGACCACTTGCTGTAGTAGCTAAGCACAATACTAAAAGGAGAAGTTACTGTAAGGAAATGGAAGGAGGCAAATAGCCACAAATGTGACATCATTATAGATCCTGAAAATTAGATACAAGTGGTTGTAGGAACATACTGAATACCTAGCAGGAAGAGTGATAGATCCTCTGAATTCCCATTATTCCAAAATCAAAAGCCAAGTAGAAGGGATTGAAACATTTAAAGTGTTAAACATGCCGCACATAAATTAACCTTCTGTTTCCGGTTGTTTGGGTGCCATTTGGTCTATATCCAAGAAGATATAATGTGTGGATGATTTGGATAAAGACATATGGCTTCAACTTCCATTCCGTAGGCGCTGCCTTTGGCTTATTTAGAAAATCCGCTTTTCTACTGAAGTCGCAGGCAATGTGACAGGCAGAGAACACGGATACCTTCATTGCAGCCAATCTTAAAAATGAGAACACCTCAAGGACGGTTGGTTTCTCTTGTTTTTGTCCGATGATTGATGCAAGCAACAGTAGCTGTGTCGTCTGAATGAATTTTCAAATTACTTCCCTACAGGAGACTTAAAGTGAGAAATGGCCTTGAAAGCGTTTATCTGCTGAATATTAAAAGGTTATAAAGAAAAGAGTTCCATTAAGGACTATAGCATCTAAGAAAATCATTTCTTCCATACTGAGGTTCCCATTCAGGTTAACAGGTGTTTTCGAGACACCCGATCCTCCAGATTAGCTGCATTTCCTCACCAGAAAAGGGATCTACCACAGTCTTGATTCTCAATAAAATGTCTTCCGTAAAGTTCAAAGCAAATATTGATCATCTCATTTCTAAGTTGATGGACATTTAGGACTAAATTGATGTGATTTTCATTATGGATAACTGTTGTGAAGTCTTCTCCTACAGATGTGCATGTTTGTCCAATTGCTTTATCACTGAACATAGCCCTTACAAAAGGGATTTGATGACTTTGCTTTGTACTTTTAGGAACATCAGAAGTCTATATTTGACTAAATATCACCATGGTTTCCTCAAAATGTTAGAGGATATATTCAATTTAAATAGTTGGTCTTCATGAACCGAGAAGGCTGAGATTAAGGAAATCAGCCTGTGACGGACATCCCTGTACTCCGTCTGGGTACCTCCGCCAGGGGTCCGCTTCCTAGCTGTAACAGGGTAGGGGAACTAGCTCTATTCGCTCCCAGGGACTGGATGGCAGTCAGTCCTTGGAAGCTCTAGTCCTTACAAGGACTTTCCCCGCAGCATCCTCCACACGCTGGAACAGCAGGCACAGTGATTAACCCTTTCTTCCCCCCCAGTAAGTGAACGAGGACACAGTTCTGGGAGTCTAACCAACAATGCTTTATTTATTGGTACAGGCAATTTATACTCAGACCCCCACAGGGTCTTTTCAGTAAAAATCTCTCAGTCTCAGGCTGGAGGGGGATGGTTCACAGATAGCCATCTCCCGCCCTGGGAGATACCAACAGTAAAAAAGTAAAGCACATCATATACATTGGCGAACACTTAGGGGCTCCGTTCCCTGGGAAGGAAACACATGTAAAACATATCCCTGGATAGCCCTGGGTCCCAGCTAGGATCCCTGCAAATAGCGTGGCTATCGAATATACAGAGCCCGAGAAATCCTCGTCCAAAGTTTTGGTTTATGCCGGTCAATTCATACTTTGCGCCCAAACCAAGCAATGACCAATCAGGGGAAAGGCGCAAAACCAATTTGCGCCAATCAGAGCTCAGGAAGGAGAGGTATTTCGACGCCAAATAAGTAGAAAGGGCACGAAACCCGTTTGCCCCAATCGGCGCTCGGGAAGCAGAGGTGTTTCGCCGCCCATTCGGGAAAAAGTGCGCTAAATCCCTTTTGAATGGGCACAAATTTTCCTATTGGGCACCTGCGCCCCTGCTGCGACCAATCGGTGCTCATTCGTGCCGGCCTATCAGGAGAATGGTGCGAACCCAGTTTGAATGGGAGCTCCATCTCCTATTGGGCGGCACGGACTTCCAAGCTGCCAGCAGAATTCCGCGGCTTTGAAGCCGACTCACAGCTCCAGGGGTCCCCCGTCACTCTCCGGTGGATACCTCCACTTAGGTAGCACCAGAGAGAGCGCTCTCTGGGCAGCTACGAGCCTGGCCTCGCAGCTCCCGGGAAGGGAGAAGCAGTGATTATGGCTCCTTTAGGAGCATGTAGGGCGATCCCCGACACAAGGACCTGAAACCGTGAGGACAAGCACGTTCGGAATATGAAGTGGCCGCCAGTTCGTATAGTTGAGGGAGCACTCAGTGATTTCCCTTGCGGTTTCGGAACTTTCTTTTGAGCATTCTAAATGGGATATCTGGACAGTCACCGTTCGGGAGACAAATGAGTTTCTTTCGTATGAACTCTCCCAAATGGGGAACAGGGCACAATACACGAAAGGCACAGAAATAAATAGGGAAAACACGATACAAGGGAGAATAAGCGGTGGGCATGGTACTCAGTGACGGCAGTCCGTCACACAGCCTTCAATGGACTTCAACTGACAAAACGAACAAAAGTTCACCTCATCATGTAGTAAGAATCATACAAAATTATAAGGATATAATTTCATGTTTGCTACAAATACTTCCTGAAAAGATAACCATATGGACATGAAGCCATGCAAGGTGTTAAAACTGGTGATCTTTAAAATGGATTTTGGTATCGTAAGAGATTCATGACTATTAACATGCTACAAAATTTCACAGTAGAGGACTGTTACAAAGTTTCTAGTTTTTGAAGAAGTTTTTGTTTAGAGATCATGCCACTCCAGTCCCCCCCCCAAAAAAAAACCATTGCGCGCATCCACCCCCACTTAACGCCAGATACTGCTAAGGTGTTGGTCCATGCCACTGTCCTCTCGTCTTGGCTACTGCAATTCACTTCTCAGTGGTCTTACGTGCTCCCAACTTGCCCCATTGCAGTCTATAATGAATGCGGAGGCAATGCTCATCTTCCTGTCTGCCCGCACCTCCCACGCCTCATCACTCTGTCAGTCCCTGCATTGGCTTCCAGTAAGATATAAAGCTCAATATAAAATTCTGATTCTTGCTTTCAAATCTTTACATAACGCTACTCCCACCTATCTTTCCTCCCTAATACACAAGTATGTCTCGTCTAGGCCCCTATGCTTGGCCGAAGATCTGCGTCTATCCTCTGTTTACACTCCCACCTCTGATGCTCGTATCCAAGACTTCTCTAGGGCTGCACCGTTCCTGTGGAACTCCTTTCCCTTTTCCGTTAGACGCTCACCCAGTCTCCACTCCTTCAAAGCATATCAATTAAACGGTTAATGGCTCCAAAAGAAACCCACACTAACTTTTCCTTGAATATTATTCTACCAATCTACTTCCTTAATACTTCCCTTACCTTTTGTGTCATTTTACCCCACTCCCTATAGCATGTAACCTCATTGAGCAGGACCCTCAGCCCCTCTGTTTCTGTGAGTCAAACTTGTCTGGTTACAATTACATGTTTGTTAGTCCATCCATTGTAAAGCGCTACAGAATTTGTTGGCGCTATATAAATATTATAATAATAAAAATCTTAATTAAAAAAAAATCTTTGCAATTTAGGAGTTTAATCATTTTGTTTATGCAGTCCTAGTCATACTTCCCCTGGCATCCAGAGCATCCAGATTTTTTTATTTTATTTTGTAAAGCGAAGTTTGTATCTCTTTTTCTGTTAATTGAACAATAATCACACATAGGATTTTGTAGGCTCTAGTATGTAATACAAAGCAAGAATGTTTTAATGAAGCACACTGTGCAATAGCGAAGCGAAAAAAAAATTAAATTAAGACTTCATCAAGTGTGTAGGACGACTGTGTGAATCACAACAAGGGGAGGTGTGGCTAAAGCTGCATAAACAAAGTGGTTTGCCTAAATGACAGTGCATTGAGCAGTGAGACTGCAAGGTCATGATCTAAACACCAATATGACCTAATTAAGCTTAAGTTGGTTTGCTGCTTAGTGTACCTTTAGTGTCTCCCATAAAGAGTAACAGAAGAAGAGAAACGCTAAAAACTGTTTCCATGCTAGATGGTAAGAAGTAGAATCTTTATGAAATAATGACTTATGATTGGAATATTACTGTAAAGTAGGGACTAATTTGTCTCTGTATTTCTCCTCTGCCTGACTTTCTTAGACTCAGGGCAGAACAAATGTCAACCAGTGATGAATGCAGAGAATTGGCTGTGTCTATGGAGGACCTTTACAGACCTCAATTCTTGCACATATATTGAAGAGGAGCAGGTTGGGAAAGATGGTGGTGCCCACGAAGGACGGGTTCAGGTAACAAAAACTTACCTTATCTGCCCCCACCCCCGCACACCCCCCGGCCACTGGACCCCCAGTGGTGTTGTCACATTTGGGGGTCTTTGCGAATTTGGCAAAGTCCCCAGACAGTGATAGTGCCGCTTTTATAAACCCTTAATAGAAGCCTGATCAGACGATCGCAGGTAAAGTTTGCATACCCTTAGCAAACCTTTTTTGCTACTATAGGAACTTATATGGAAATCAATTGTATAACACACTTTTTTGTCTAACTGGAAAAATGGTAAACATATAATTAAATTACAGGCAGGTGACGGCAGATATGGAAATAAAAATAGCTATATAAATGCACGTTAAGAATTTTAATTTTTGGTTGTGGTATTAGAACTTATAGGAGGTAAAAGGCCCCCCAGAAGGGATATAATAGCACTAAACAAATACATACAGGCTACGTACAAACCGCTATATGCTAACTTGTTCATTAGCGGGAACATACCACAGACAAGAGGTCACCCAGAGAATGGAAGAAATGTGTTTTTCTAACAGCAGAGGAGAGGTTTCTTCACATATGTGGATTTCTCTACCTAAAGAGGTTGGTCTTATCATATTCAATAGATCGTTTTAAAAAAGGTCTGGATAGTTTTGCAAAAGGATATATTATGTGAACCAGTTGTTGATCCAAGGAGAAATCTGATTGCCATTATCTAGTCAATAATTATTTTTTCCCCCTTTTTGCGGCACAGTTGCAATCGCACACTTGTTTTTAGTTTTTTTTTGCCTTCTTTTGTGTCAACAGCATAAAGGAATAGGTTTTAAAGGATGGATTTGAGTCTTTCTTCCAACTAGATTACTGTGAAACCCATAGAGTACCCAAAATGAACTAAAAATATCTTGTATACACATGGTCACATAACTGCTTCTAAAAAGCAAGACATTGCTGCAAAATGCTGATAACTTTGTAACACCTAACCATAAACATTTTGCAAAAATGTGTGATTTATATCTTTGCTTAGGCAGTTTGCACATAGCAACAGTGTCGCACATTAACTAAGTTTTTTGTTTTGTTTTTATACAGTAAGGCTTTTATACCATTTCCAAAGTAGTGGTGTCTATAAGTATGCCAGGTCTATTGCACCAACTAGTGACAAGAATATATATTCATGGTTTATTGATGGTAGACTTCAGATAAGTAATATATAGCAGACTCTAAATGACAGCCAATTTCAGCTATGCAAGGAAAGAACAAAATGGAGATAAGTGCAATAAAATTGTATCCTCTCGGTGTCTGGATTCACTACTAAAACAAGAGGGAAGTGGAGGTGTTAGACAGAATCACATGGAAGAGAGCCAGCTCTGTTTGGAAAAAACAAAACAGGGCTTGATACTGTCGCAGTGATTTTTTTGGACCTGTTTGCAGTTATCTATAAACCAGCATATGGTCTAAAAAAATAAATAAAACTAACAAAATAAAAACGGACACCGCAAACAAAACTACACAGGTAGCGTAAGCAGGAATTAAAGAAAATAAAATATATAAAATATATATACATATATATATGTACAAACGTTTTATTTAAAAAAATATTTTAATGGATTTTTGTGTGCTGGTTCGTCTAATCTGCAGGTCTGGGGAAGTAAAACTGTATCCACAAATACAAGAGAAACAAAGCAGGTTTTAAAGTGAAAACAAAGGGATAAACTGTTTAGCAGTTATTAAACCAAAGTTGCTCCATATGAAACATCGCACTTCCCATACCTATCTTTTATTTTAGAAGAGACATTTATGAATGCATTATGAGGAAGATGAATTGTTAAAACTCATGCAAATGATTAATTGTCTTGCGATGAGAGATTGCAAGGCAGCTTCTTAAGAACAAAGAAAAGAAAAAGGAGGAAAAAAATATATATACTGCAGGAATCACCGGAGGTGAAATGACACCGCACTGTGTATGGGGTTTCCATGGCAACTGGTGCTGGGAAGATGAATGCTTTACATTCATTTGGCTGCTCTGTACAGGTTCATAAATCTAACTTGCAGAGAAAGCACAATATCTCCGCTGTTCTGCTGTACCCACAGATAATTTTCCTCTGTTTCTAATTATGGCAAAAGAAGCACAAAACAATGAGGTCATTATTAGTATAGAATGAAGTAAAATAATTGGAGGCACACCTGCCATTTGACCTTCTGTTTATCTAACAGTGTGCAGAAGCTGTTAGGGTGGATTGTGAATAGATAATAAAACAATATAATGATGCAATAAAACATTTTCGCCGACACCTCCTAAGGATGCTAATGAATTCACAATAAAATTGTGATCTCCAGTTTAGCACATTATGTTTATTGGCTGCTGCGTTTTCTCGGTACTTCTTGATCGGACTTGTTCATGTTAATTTTATACCCATTCTGCAGACTGATATTCCACTGCTTATTTACAGATATGGTGATAGCTTGAAGATCTTTTATTGTTGCTATGGTGGTTTAGATGTTGCTAGTTGGACGAGAAAAAAAAAAGAAAAGAAAAAGAAACACTATATTCTACACACACTTCCCTGTATTCCCAATTACATGCACATATGTATGCATACCTTGTGTGTCCATCATAGAGTACATTATTAATCTTAACCCTTATCATGCTGTGAGTGATATTTGTGCTAATGGACCCCTAAAGGGTTAAACAGTTGAGGAATATTTGGATAATTAAACTTGCACTGTGAAACAGGATAACAGACACTAAAGTCCTGATACAGAGATCTTTTATAGGAGTAGTTTATACAGGAGGTTATTCAATAAATACTGTATTGTAGTGAATGGAAAACACGATTGCAAAAATGTAGGTAAAGGCAGACGACTTGGAAAAACTCTTTATCCTGGCCTTTTTGCCTCAGTTTGTTGTTTTCAGTTCATACATTTTCAATGACAGTCCCGTAGCAAAGACAAAAAAAAATAGGTCATTAAAATATTTAGAAAAAAACGCATTAAAAAAAGATTTATAAAAACAGACTTTGAAATATAGTCAAGAATGTTTTCAACGTTCAATTGTTTAGAATAGTGTTGCAAGCATTTATCTGCAGCTCTCAAATGTCTGATGGAAACTGTATAATCTACGAGCAGACCCAGATGCAAGACATTTCATTCACTCGGCTTGTAAAAGTGCCACTGTAAACACTATGAAAACTTTGCACCATTGCAAAGGTTAGGATGCAGAGTAATCAATCTCCCTTACAAAAGGTGCCTTATAACTTCCTTGATTTGCAAAAACTGCTACAGATATACGTCTGCCCACTGTCACTCTCAGAACAAAGAAAGACTTTGACTTCCTGCTATAATGTCCATGATCTGTCCAGAGGAAGAGATAGCTCAAGTTGTGTGTAAGGCACACAGCTGTAGATACTATATGCTTTTAAGCTTATTCAGCAGTTCCCCTCATCTTATGTGGGATCAATTATATGCATTTTTTTTTTTATTGCATCAGCTACACAGTTTATTAAAAAGTGGTTTAAATTTCACCATGCAGTATATATTTTACTTGTGCGAGTATCTTCATGTTTTAAAACTACTAAAGGGGCATCCGCTGCTTATTCGCGTGAATGTTGTACAGTGCAGATGGAGAATGCAAAGATAGATGCACATATGCTATGAACTCCAGTACAGCAATAATCTGTGGGATATTCAGATCTTCACTGTTAAAAACTGTTGGAAGTTCAAAGTTAATTTCAAATACAAAGACAAAAGTAGCTGAACTGGAAAAATTGTCCAAGTCAACTATGATTCCATTTTGACCAGTTAAGCCTTAAAGGGAAACTTTAGGCTAGTGATACAAAATTTTATTCCTGGCCTGTACTGTCGCCCTTGTTCACACGCTCCCCCCCGTCCGCAGTGCAGAAAGGGTTCAAATCTCTATTGTCACTTACCTGAACTCAGCGCCAATGTCCCTTCGCTCCACCCTTTGACATTGGGTACCTAATGAGCATGCGCAGAGATCGCATTAAGATAACCCTGTAGGAAGGCATTGAATCAATGCTTTCTTATGGTGTTTTAGCCGACGCTGGATGTCCTCATGCATAGCTTGAGGATGTACAGTGTCAGTTAGGTGACCGTAAGTTGCCTAACAACCCAGAAGTGCCTCTAGTGGCTGTCTTGTAGAACACAGTTGTATATATCTTCTAGACATCCACTAAAGGTAGAGTTATTATTACAGGTATTATTGCAGTTCCTCAATAATTGCAATAATTATAAGCAGGAGGACAGATGCAATACACCCAGTTAGTCTGTGTGCCTATAGTGTGTCTTTAAACTTGCAATTTACAATAATTCCCACTTTGTTAAACAAGCCTGATAGTCTAGCCAGTCATCCAATCTTATTCTCGACAGATGGAAATACTTTCTCACCACAAACACAACACATTAAATGGAATATTCAAATACCATAACCACTACAGTTTAGTTTAGAGATTATGGAGGCTATGGGTGCAGCCCATCTAATGATTGTCAGACTGATAGCACTGACAGAAACTAGCAGGATCTCCAGCATCTTAAGTCTGCCTACTGTCTCTTCATTATGTGGCCAAATTACTTGTATTGTTAGCAGGATTTGGCTTTAAGGAATTTCTGCTTTCCCTTTCAGTGCTGCCAAATAGACAAAGGTTAGCCGTCTCAAACAATAACATGTAAATTAATAGCTGGTAGATTTTTACTGATCCAGTTTCAAAGCAGTTAGACGGTTTACATGATGATCACACACCATTTTCCAAAGCAATGAATCGTATGTTTTAGTTAGTGCATAATGTGCTAGATACACAATGGACCGGTAAAATCTTTATACCAAGTGGTCAAAATGTCAGTGGCCCTTAAAGGGCTATGTGTAAATAAAGAAATACTATTTTTGTTTTTACTCTTTTCTTCCAAACTATGAAAAAGTAGGCACATACAAATGTGGGTAGCTAATTCAATATGTTTCAAAGCTATTTGTTTAAAATGTTACAGTAATTAACTATGTGTGTTTTCTGGAAAAAAAATCAAAACATCTTTATTTGATAGATTTACATCATAATTTATACAGTTGACACAATAACTCAATAAACAAAGTCTAGATACTAGGGATTAGATTTTCAGCAAAGTAATAGAAATGTGAACTCATCAGCGAATTTAAACAAATCTGCCATTTTGCAGGTTTGTTTGTTTTTATTATTAGTACTGCTTTAGTTAACCCATTGTTGAGCAGAAGTATGCTCAATGCGCTGCAAGACAAAGCAATGGACACAACACTGGCACTGAATGGTGAACACTCAGCGACATCAACAAGATGTAACAATGGTCTTTTTTAGTCACCAAATCAAAGCAACTAATGATCACCCCACAAAATATATTTAGGTATATTGAGAAACATTAATAAGTAAACCAAGTATTAGATTCCTTCAATAGAGGCTAGATATGCCAATGAGTACCTACCTGTTGGCACAGTCTATGTTTCAATATCTCAGTCACAAGACACTTACCTGAATGCCTCAAGAACAGTTTGTTCACTTAAGTGAGGGGCCACATGTCTGAACGCACTTTTAAAATCTTCAATTGTTAGATACCCACGATCTGTCCAGAAAGTAAAATCATGTTTAACTTGTGGCAGATACAGAAAATATAACACACACACACTCTCTCTCTCTCTTTCTCTCTCTCTCTCTCTCTCTCCAGGCTTTTTGCTGTAAACACTGTCTTTTCAGAGAAAATGAAGTGTTTACATTACAGCCTAGTGATAACTTCACTGGCCACTCCTCAGATAGCTGTTATAGATCCTTCCTGGGTCATGGCTGACTAAAATGCATCCAAACATTCAATATCTCCTCCCTCTGCATGCAGACACTGAACTTTCCTCATAGAGATTCATTGATTTGATGAGATGCTGACTGACCAGGGCTGTATTTGAATTGTGCTGGCTCTGCCCCTTTGTCGGTCTCGGCCAATCCTATGGGGAAGCATTGTGACTGGATCAGGCTACCACTTCTGATGATGTCAGCAGGCAAGTGGGCAGCTCAAAAGGAAATAGGGACAAAGCCTGCATCTTCAGGCTTGAATACAAGTAAGATTTTACTAATTTAGGGAGGCATGAGGGGACCAGGGGGGCTAGATGGTAGTTTTAACCCTATAGGGTCAGGAATACATGTTTGTGTTCCTGACCCTATAGTGCTCCTTTAATATTTAGAACTGGGCGTACAATACAGAGCCCAGCATATAACAGGACTAATGTCTTCTTATCCCTATATTTAACCCCTTAAGGACCAAACTTCTGGAATAAAAAGTAAATCATGACATGTCACACATGTCATGTGTCCTTAAGGGATTAAGGGGTTAAAGTGACACATTAGTCAACAGAACAACTACAGCTTATTATTGTTGTTCTGGTGTCTATAGACTTTTGCTGTAAACACTGCCTTTTTACAGCCTAGGGACTCCTCCAATGGCCACTCCTCAGATGGCTACTAGAGGTGCTTCCTTGGGCAGTGCTACACATTGTGCAGCACTGATGTTCATAATTATGGAGACACTGAACCTTTTCTCCATTGATACAATGCATCTCTATGAGGAGATGCTAAGTGGTTGAGATCTTAGAATTGACGAACTCAGCCAATCAAATGCTTTCCTATGGGACAGCATTGTGATTGGCTGAGATCATCAATTCTGATTATGTCAGGCAAGGAGGCAGATCGGGGGTGGAGTCAGCATTGGCAGACCAGCACAGCACTGGAAATAAGGTGAGTTTTTACTAGCTTTAAGGCGGGTTAAATAGTGTAACACTACAGGGTCAGAAAACTCCTGATGAGGTTATAAAATGAATAATGGTAAGCTTGTTTTTTTCTTTTTTTAGTAGGGGTCACCATTCATCTGAAGATTTGTAATAAAGGAGGTGGTCGGCCTGCCCTGAAGCAGGGGTTGCTCTAAACATGTACATAGTTAATGAAAAAGGAAATAAAATACTCACAATGGGCATCAAATACTTGGAAGATCTGTCTTTCATCCCCAATACTCATCTGGGCTGCTTTCTTTGTGATCATCATTCTTACAAACTCATCCAGAGTTACCCCTGTATGTGAAAACAAAAATTATCTGAATACTGAGAATAAAATCACTGCATTTACTATTGTGTTCTGTAGCTGTTCTGCTCTTTGCTTAACAACATCATATTAACAGTGCATGGTCACAGTGCAGGGGGTTTGTATTGACGCGAATGCGCCTGACCAGTGCCGATACTCAAGATAAAAGTTCCTGATCGGCACAGCCGCACCGAAAAGGGAAAGCTTAACTTACCTGGATCGTGGCAGAGTGCCGCCCGATCCTCCCTGGTGCAGGCTCTAAGGGACGCCGGTCGCTGCGGTCCCATTCTTACTGTAAAATGGCGCATTGCCCACATTAAAGATAGCGCCGGCGTGTGAGACGTCAAGATATCGACGCTCACGCACGTTTTGGGGTCAAAGGCCATGTACTAACCAATCGCAGCACTGAGAGGCATATTTAAACCCTGTAATGCCTTTCCTCAGTGCCCTGTTGTGGTTTCCACTTTTTGGTTGTCAGAGATCGCGTTCTTGGTATATTTTTAGTTTAAGTTTTTGACTTTCCCTACTTCTGGTATCCTGACCCTTGGCTAGTTTATTCGTACTGTCTCATTCTGTATCCCCGACCTTGGCTCGTTATTTGACCATTCTCTTTTATGTTAAACCCGGCCATTCTAAGGTCCAGTATACGTTGTTTGTGTTAATATAGTTTACCATGTTGGGTCACACAACAATCGTGACATGTATACACAGAATATGATGATATCATGATACTGATGTGTGTGGTTTCACATGGAAATGAAATCAAGAGCAGTACTGGTTTATTATGGAAACAGAATGATTATGATATGACTGTGATTTATAGATGTTAAACTTCTTGCCACATACAATCATGGCAAACGTACAACTGAAGTGGTAAGGCTTGGCCAGAACTGGTTAGAGAATAACAGCTCCAAAACCACAATAAAAAATGTGTGCTCTTGATTTCAATGCAGAAAAAGCTGATTTTATTAGTGTACATCAAGATTTGGAAGAAACACCATGCATTTCCACCCACCCTTAAGAAGAGGAACATGGTTGCATCAAAACTTTGATTTGCCTTAAAAATTCTGGAGAGGCTCTTAGATCTTTGAAAATACAGAGTTAAAATGACCACATAGCTCTTGGTAGAAAGTGAGAGTGTGCAGTCAGTGACATACTATAGACTTTAATATAGCTCAGTCACTCACAATAACTGGGTGAGCCTTTTAAGAACAAAACTTGCCGGTTGCATTTGCATTATTAATATTGTAACAAAAATACATATCCAGGCCATTTAAAAATCATCCATTTCTAGCACAATGAATCTGATCAGACAATATTAAGACAACTAAACTGAAACACATACCTCTCCCAGAGTTTTCTATAAGAAATAGCAAACCACTAGTGGGGGTTTGAGATCCCAGCCCCCCCCCCTTAACGTAACCCATTGAGACCCTTGTTTACACACGAAAGCAGAGCTGTACAGGTTTCACTAACTCTTTTTAGTGGAACTCTACAGCTGTAAAAACAGGGATGGGAGAATCAAGAATGACAATATATGAAAAGACTGAAATATGTTGCAAAACAAACATTAAAACCCTTTCAGTCACTTACCTAAAACCAGCACTGGTTCAGGCTCCGCCCACGCTCCTCCCCCGCAGACGGCAGTCAGCGGGGGAGACCTAATGCGCATGCGTGCCAATGGCCATGCTAGCATTAGGAATTCCTTATAGGATTTTTGCCTGAAATAACCCTTAAATTTTTTTATGCTTGCTGTTGCTACCTGTATTAAACAAAACCAAATGACTCTCCATATACTTATGTTATCTTCTGTTAGGTAACTTGTAACAAAGAAGTTAATCTTCAATCATGCTCTGTGCAAGATGCTATCTTACTGCTGTGCCATGATTTTGTGATTTTACATGAATTACTTATTGTGTTGCATTATGGCATATCAATAAAATAAAATTTACAAAAAAACAAAACAAATGTTAAATACACTCTAGGTCACCCCTTTAAAATATGCCATTGCATTTACATCCCAGCTTCAATAATTACCGGAGGTCTTTGGTAGTAACGATATCATGGAATCCACTTCAATCTGAAAAAGGTAAAAAATATAAAGATATCAGATTAATTTAATCAGTTGGAAATATAGATTTTTGTTTACCATTATTTTTTTTTATTTTTTATACAAGGGTTCCTATTTGTCTTTTTTTCCTGGGTTATCTGATGCCATAAAGGATATTTTTCTACATCAAAAGCACAATACAGTTCACAAAGGTTATAAAATTGTATATGACAGAAAAAAACAAAACAAACAAAAAAACTGGCTTACTACACATGAGTGTCCATTTAGACACTCATCAAGTTCCATCAATCTGATAAGAGCACTAATGATACATAAGTGCATTCCTGATAAATGGAACAAAAAGTTCATGTAACCATAGTTTTGACTGTTTAGGACCACAAATAAAAGTAAAACAAAACACCATAGTGAGAAGAGAAAAAACAAAAAGCTTTTTCTCCCCCCCTCAAGTGATCATTCACTTTTTTGCTTTTTATATGCATTCTAGTTAATGCAATTTGAAATGTAAAGCTGCAGATATGTTATTAACTAATTCTGAGCACGGGTACTATGTTACTCCCATGCAACATAAACAGAAAAAAAACTAATTAGTGTTTCCCTCTTAAATAAGTCAACTACAAAAACTTAAAGCAGCTCTGTCATGTCTTTTTTACTATATTTCCTCAATTATTTTTTCCTTCCCTGTATCAGATCTCAATACCTAGGTGTAGGTATTATTGTCGGGACATCGGCGCCGGATACAGGTATGTCACTGAAGGGGTATTAACCCCTTCAGCAACTTGGGATGGGGGGGGGATTGGAGGGAGGAAGAGGGGACCTGCAGTGCCAGGAAAACGGTTTGTTTTCCTGGCACTGGAGAGTCCCATTGCAAGAAAATCACATCCCTAAAACTAGGCTCTACTTTACGTATAACTAAAATTACCAAGGGTAAAAAATAATAATAATAAAAAATAAAAAAAATACATGTACTTATTTATTTTCTAAACAAAACCTGCTAAATAAAAATAAATTTTTCTTGCGCTAATTGTCAATTTTATCCTACAGGTATGCATGCTACTACCCAACTCCATAGTCCCCAGATTATCATTGGAGATGCTAAAATATACTCAGATAATGAATGTGAATATGTATAATTACCAAGCACATGGTTGTTTTTAAAATATCACTGTCAATTTTGTGTAATCTTTACATTTTTTGCAAACGTCACACACAACAAAGATGACATGTCCACTTGCAAGGCATTGCCAGGAGCAGAGAGAACTGGAGATATAGTTACTTAAAGGTCTCTAACTTTGGCCTCTCATCTGCCAGGACCCACAACACTGGTATACTTTCACCCTGGGCGTATTGTGGAACCAAAAAGGTAGCCACAGAGCATCACGTGCAAGCACATTGAGATAATAAAAGGCATCTACTCTATAGAGCGAGGAAAGATGCCTACTTACATCAGACACCGCAAGTTATGTCTGATGGGAGATATAAGGGTGATGCTGTTTAAAGTGTCACCTTTTGCCGCAGTTTGGCAAAACTCCTTTGACAAGTTTTGACTGCACCGCAAATGCACTGAACATTCAATGCAGTCTATGTGTGTTTTCATAAGGATTCTAGCTCTATGAAAACCTTTGACGATGCTAATTTAATAATTTTTTCTACAACATGAGTTCCACATCAAGTTCCACATGCCAGCTTTGAAAAAAAAAACAGCCTTTATGAATAATTTCCTAATTTCTTATTCTTTATTTAAAATGTATTGCTCAATTCAGCAAAACATGTTGAAGGGACACTTTAAGCACCAAACTCCCATCATCTTAATTAAGTGGTTAGATTGTCTAGTCACTTTCCCCATTTGTGTGGCAATGCCGTTTCAGGTAAACAGCAATGTTTACATTTTAGCATAACCCCAATTGTGTCTGTCAGGATGACAGCTATTAGAGGCATTGCTGAGTGAAGACTTTAAAAATTTGAAAGTCTTTGCATTCAGTGTGACCACACACACCACGACACCACAGAATGTTGTGAATTCTCAAAGAGAAGCATTAGAGTTTATGCTTCTCTATGGGGAAAAAAAGTCAATATACTAATAGAGGTGATTGTCGTGCATAATATTAGATCCCTAATATTACTCTATGAAAAGTATGTGATTGGACCAGAGGACATATGATCACAGAAAAGTAGGAGCAGCTACACGGTGGAGACTGCTCAGCGCTGGTTAAAGACAAGTTAAAATGGCTAGATATGATTTTGAAAGAGGTTCCCTAATCTAAATCTACTAAAAACACGAACATTAAAAATAAATACATTTTTGATGTTAAAGTGTGTCTTTAAGAAAACAAAAAAAATATAAATACGGTAGAGAGTTATAGGCAAACAAATAAACAGAGTTCTCTAGTGACATCTTGTGGTTAAAATACATACAACACATACTACATTAACACATCCAAATACACTGATGATTAAGTGCTAGCAAGGTGTGGCAAAATATAGCTATCTTTAACTGTTTCAAACATCTCAGAATTGTATAATTTACATTAAAGGTAACATTTATTTAAAAGATCTTTTTTTTAGTTAACTCAAAACATTTTTCTTAATACCATATACTATTCATTGCTATTAATGAATGCAAAATATTACATGAGTTATAGACTTGCTGCGTAATATTTTGTAAAGCCTGTTGTAGTGGCTATGCTGCCAGGAGTGTGCCATTCCATAGTAAATGTCAAATCATTTCAGTACAGTTTGACAACTTACTTAGATCCTGTCGAGCATCAATGGCTGCATCCCATGCAGCAGGCCTTTTCCTGCAGAAGAAGCTGAACCAGAACTGCCAATACAAATCACAGCTAATGCAAGCCATCACTTGACAAAGATGCATGTGTGGGTCGAAACGGTGTCCCTGTGTGTGAATTCACCCAATAAATTGGAATGCTGATTGGTTTTGATGGGACCAGGGTTAATTCTGCATCCTCTATGTTAAGAAATTGTTTACCGCCTTCTTTTCTTCTAGACCTGTAAGGGTGTGTTTTTTCTCTCACTCTCTTTTTTTGTGCTGCTATATCGCTCTATAGAGCAATCTAGATTCTCTTACTGGAGAAGATAGTTGTGTTCTGTAATACCCAGGTAGGTTGCCAGAACTTTTAAGTATAGCTTGACATTTTACTATGGGATGGAGCTCTCCTCACATCAAAACCACAACAGCAAGCTGCAGTGATTATGGTGCCAAGAGTGTTACTTTAAAGGATCACTATAGGGTCAGGAACTCAAACATGTATTCCTGACCCTATAGTGAAAACCCACCATTTAGGTTTCTTGCCCCCTCAGAATGGGTTAAAACTCATCTTATTTTCAGCTCTCCACGGGTCTGCCGGCACTGACCCCGCCCCCTTGGTGACATCATCAAAACTGCCGATTTGTTGACAATCCAATGCTTTCCCATGGGGGCGGGGCCAAACACCACCTACTAATAGAGATGCATTGAATCAATGCATCTCTATGTGAAAGATTCAGCGTCCCCATGCTGAAAGGCAGGGCTACCTACTGTGCAGCACTGAGCCAGGAAGCCCGTTATCCCTTTAAATTTAGAAGCGAAAATAATTTGGAGATTTGTGCCAAGTAGAAAATAATTAAAAAAAATAAAATAATAATAATAATATTAAATAAAAATTCGGTGTCATCTCACTTTAAGGGATGCAACAAAACAGAGTGGACACTAAGATAGCACATAATTTACAACAAATACTGCTAAAACCACTATTGTACACATCCCCATTGAAAAGAAAAACCTTTAGGTGGGTATGCCAGTATCAGGCTACTTGTGTGACTAGAAAACTCAAAATGGGCTGGTCTGATTGGAAAGTAACTTGGGTAGCACTATGCACATTTGAATTTTCGTTTTGAGTGTTCGGGGTTACTGGTTCAGGTAAGCATTAGCTATGTACGTTGCCGAGGTATATAAGGACAGCAAGAGATTTTTTTATTAATAGGGAATTTGTAGTACCTTTATCTTTTGCAACCTCCTGGTTCCCTTTCTGGCATTTTAGGACACAGTGTACAGAGGAGGTTTGAATGAACCTATGTTAAGGATGCAGACCAACTACTTTTCTTTGTAAAGACCCTCTTCCCTACCTGTCCAGAGGTGGACACCACCCACCTCTTATACCCCTGTTTTAATACTGTTTATATTTTCTTTTTAAGTGGACCATTATTTTTTTGTATCATTGAGAATAAAGTCTAAGTTTTTTTTGGCCACTTATAATAGTTTTGTGCTTCCTCCCAGTGTATTCCAGAATTTTGGGTGACACTGGGATTTTTGTTTTCATTGTCAGTAGTTTAGCTCCAGGGTTACCCCCTAATTGGAAGCACTCTTTAGGTGTTTTTTCTTTTGGTCTGGGAGGTTCAGGGGGAGTGTCCTGAACATCTTGTTTCACCCTAGGATATCCCATTGGGGTGGGACAACACTCCATTTTGTTCCACCTGCATCAACTTTCTAATTTATAAATTGAAATGTCAGCCTGGGGTGAATGCACATCAGGCTGGCTGGCTCAACTCATGGCAGACCACCATTAAAGTTCTCTCTGCTGAAAATGAGCATGTTAAATTATGCTAGCTGGTGACTAGACTCTCACTGTGTACAGCATTGAGTGACAGTCCATAACTGAGCAGCTGTCACACCTTTATGTGAAGCACAGAGGCCAGTGTGCAGCAAATAAAATGGAATTTATATTTAATTGCAATTCCTTTACATTTTCACCATTGTTTCTACTCAAGAAGCATATTTGTTGCAGAAGCCACAGTTATCACTTACAACATAGTTACTGAAGGTAAAGGATCTAGTATCACACACCAGCTACAAACCAGGTTATGGATGTAAAACACATTACCTTGGAAGGTTTATAACCAAACAGCATTGTAATGGCCACTTTCATGTCTTCTCTGCTTAAATAACCTTTTTTACCTTCATCGCATATTTGAAATATCTGTTGGAAACAAGATCATATGAAATACAGTGGTACAAAAGCTCATTATTTTTTTCCCAAGCCTCACTGTTCTTTGCTAAATAGTAATAACAATATATAACTGATTTAACAAAACAAAGGTAGCTGAATTCTTTTCATTACATCTTTTTATGGATTTGAAAAACACATAATCAGCACCGCCGTTGCTTATCTGCACTTTTGTAAAATGACAATTCTGTTAAACTATAAGGATAATGACCACATCAGGATTAAATCCCTGCTCACAACAGGAAACCCCAAGTATTTATCGATACCTGGGGCCATTATTAGTGGCCCCAACCTTTTTGATGAGCTGCATGCAGTTCTGAAAATCAGCGCTACAAGCGGCTCTTTGAAATAGGCATTTAAAGGCATATGAATAGATTGCGGTGTGAACAGGGTTAAATCCCTGCTCACACCCGGAAACCCGAGAATATCCTGGATACCCTCTCTGTCAGCTGGGGCCATTGAGCGCTACGCAGCACTGGAAGACAGCGCTGCTTACAGTCCTTTAAATTAATTTATAACACTGCAGCTAAGCGATCGCGCTCAGTCATGGTGTTTCTGGGCTACAAGTTTGTTAAGCGAGATCCCCAATGGACTGAGTAGACCAAGGCAGGGTCTCCTTGCTTCCCAAGCCAAATGTGATCAGTGCTGGGCTTTGCAAGTTGCCCAGCACCTATCACAGTGTTATTGGCTTGGAAACAGCCTCCATTCATAATTACATAGAATGTCATTATGAAAACAGCCAGTAGATGGCAATCACAGACCACTACTTTTTTAACCCCTTAAGGACCAAACTTCTGGAATAACAGGGAATCATGACATGTCACACGTCATGTGTCCTTAAGGGGTTAAAGCAGCTCTCTCACCCCTACATCAAAAATAGATTGTTTCATAAAGATTGAATCTTCAGCATCAGTAGGAAAATAAAGCTCTTTCTATGGTGGAGCTTAATTTCCCTACAGCCATCACTGGTGATGGCTGGGGTAAATGACAAGCTTGACAAAAGTTAGTTCCCGCCTTTTGTCAAGCGTAGGATAAATACGGAGACAAAGTAGTTTCAGGATATCTTTTGACTGATTAGAATTTCAGTTAAAAAAATCCACCACAGTCAATATGAGTATTTCATAAAGAAGGGAGTGACAATGCTGTTTTTAAAGAGAACCCCATAAATTACAATGGAACAAACACATAGCACAAAATCTAAGTTTTATTTTGGTTCAGAACTTTAACAACTGCCTCTCTCTTTAGAGGGTTAATGAAGAATAGTATGGCACAGATAATATCAGAGCCATATTAAAGATGTTGCATACTACTTTACCACTAAATTGCAAATCTAGGAAACAAACAATAACTCTTTAAAGATGCAGTATATCTATACCGCTCGAAAAATCCCAGGCGCCAGCAATTGTGCCTTGGCGCCTGGGATATGTGAGCCTGTTACGTCTGAGGCAGGCATCCGGCTGGGCGATAGTGAAGGCGGGTGGCAAGCTGGGGGATTGTGGAGGTGGGCGGCTGACTGTGCGTATTGTTGCCAGACGGCGAGGTAGCTGTGGTGTCCCTGATATGCTCACTCGTGCGTGACTCAGTGGGGCTGGAATATGACGTCAAATTCCAGCCTCACTAAGCAGAGCACAAGGGAGTTGAGCAGGGACATCACATCTCCCTCGCAGCCCGCCTACTATTTGCGCAGTCAGACAGCCTCCACATTCCCGAGCCGGTTGCTCAATGGACCCCAGAGTAGGCAGATTTTCTTGAAACAAGCAATAATGTGTGAGTCTGTCTGTCATGGTACGTGTGTGTGTGTGTCTGTAATGGTGTGTGTTTCAGTGACCAGCCTCCCTCTGTTCGCAAATGAACAGTGTTTTTACTCACCATTTTTTCCCCATGCCGTGCTGGACTCCCCTTAACTGGCCCAACCTCTATGGCTGAGATTTTCAAGCTTGATGCTCTCAGCCAATCCAATGTTTTCCCATAGGAAAGCATTTGGAGGCTATTGCGAATTCTATTCAAAATACTACACCAGTCAGCATCTCTATGGGAAAAGTTCAGCGTCTCCATGCAGAGCGTGCAGAGGAACCACCTGGAATGGCCGTCTGAGTGACTGCCACTAGAGGTGTCACTAGGAAAGCCTGAAAAGCCTGCAAGGACAGGCTATAGACACCAGAACCACTACATTAAGCTTTAGTGGTTCTGGTGACTATAGTGTTCCTTTAAGAATTGTATTTTTGTCATTTAATATAAAGCGTTGTCAGTTTAAAAACAAAACAAAAAAAATGGGTTCTAACTTTTTTAGCTGGCTCCTAGATTTAAAGCAAATTTGTCAAGTCCGGTCTTATAGTAAAAATGAAATGGTATGTTGACAGAATTGATCTTACTCATTTAACCCCTTAAGGACACATGACATGTGTGACATGTCATGAGCCCCTTTTATTCCAGAAGTTTAGTCCTTAAGGGGTTAAAAGCAATCTTATCCATGTAGACATTATTTTAACAAAAGACTCCAGTGAAATCTCCAACTTGCATTCTCTCCAAAACATAAATAAAGAAGGACCTTTAAAAATAACAACGCTATCAAAATATATACAAACGACAAACTCAGGGGTACTTTGTCTCATGTAAACAAAGCAAATGCAAGAGAATTAGCACATGCAGCTGAATTAGCGGAGGAGACTGAAGCCACCAGGAGCTAAATAAAAAAATAAAATAAAAAAAATAGTAGCAAGACGATAGACATATAGTATATAGACATATATTCTAACCTACTCCTCGAGTCACCGACATAGAAACGTACTTGTCACCTGAGTTGTTTTGAAAAAAAAAAACCAAAAAACCATATGTAAAATAATAAAAATGCAAAGGCACCATGACAGTATCACTTTAAACTGTGGGACAATAAACTGGCGCTTCGTGAGATTTGTGGATTTCCATTCTTATTATTATTGTTATTTTTGTCATATATTATAGCTGTGGAATGGTTGACATAATTAATTCCAGCTAATTTAGGTTGTTTTAGGTAAATTAGGTTAAAAAAACAAAAAACACACTGATAAAGCAAGATAAATGAGAATTTTGTTGTAAATACATTGAAGATAGTTATATAAACTCCAGTATACACACACACACACACACATTGATATGGTGGATTATGCCATATTTAGCCCCATTCTCAGCACACTTTCTATGGTCACAATCCATTAGAGGATAATGGGCGATTTATCACTTGGCTGACTGCTCGCTGAGGGATTTAACCCATGATCTCCTGCTTTATTCACGAGCTGAGGGTAGAGAGAAACTCACTTTAATGAACTTGGTCCGCTCACACTCGGGCACGCCGCGCTCTTGCCGCAGAGACAGTCCCCGAGCTCTGAACATGGTGACGGGTTACCTTACTCTGCTCACCTCGGGGCTGCTGGGGCCTAGCTGGGCCGCGTTACCATGGCAACTGTACTCTCTCCAAACTACCCGCCGGAAAGGAACACAAGCTCTGATTGGACATTGGATCGTGATGTCAAACCGTCCTGGAATTCTATTGGCTGCAGAATTGACAGCCTGGGAAATAGATATAAACAGCACAGACACCTAAACCCCATTATATCCCTCTCCAACACAGACACCATGAGAGAGAGCTAAACCCCCATTATATCCCTCTCCAACACAGACACCATGAGAGAGAGCTAAACCCCCATTATATCCCTCTCAAACACAGACACCATGAGAGAGAGAGCTAAACCCCATTATATCCCTCTCCAACACAGACACCATGAGAGAGAGCTAAACCCCCATTATATCCCTCTCCAACACAGACACCATGAGAGAGCTAAACCCCATTATATCCCTCTCCAACACAGACACCATGAGAGAGAGCTAAACCCCATTATATCCCTCTCCAACACAGACACCATGAGAGAGAGAGCTAAACCCCATTATATCCCTCTCCAACACAGACACCATCAGAGAGAGCTAAACCCCATTATATCCCTCTCCAACACAGACACCATGAGAGAGCTAAACCCCATTATATCCCTCTCCAACACAGACACCATGAGAGAGCTAAACCCCATTATATCCCTCTCCAACACAGACACCATGAGAGAGAGCTAAACCCCATTATATCCCTCTCCAACACAGACACCATGAGAGAGCTAAACCCCCATTATATCCCTCTCCAACACAGACACCATGAGAGAGCTAAACCCCATTATATCCCTCTCCAACACAGACACCATGAGAGAGAGCTAAACCCCATTGTCCCTCCAACACAGACACTATGAGAGAGAGAGAGCTAAACCCATTATATCCCTCTCCAACACAGACACCATGAGAGAGAGAGCTAAACCCCCATTATATCCCTCTCCAACACAGACACCATGAGAGAGCTAAACCCCCATTATATCCCTCTCCAACACAGACACCATGAGAGAGAGCTAAACCCCATTATATCCCTCTCCAACACAGACACCATGAGAGAGAGAGCTAAACCCCATTATATCCCTCTCCAACACAGACACCATGAGAGAGAGCTAAACCCCATTATATCCCTCTCCAACACAGACACCATGAGAGAGAGCTAAACCCCCATTATATCCCTCTCCAACACAGACACCATGAGAGAGAGCTAAACCCCATTATATCCCTCTCCAACACAGACACCATGAGAGAGAGCTAAACCCCATTATATCCCTCTCCAACACAGACACCATGAGAGAGAGAGCTAAACCCCCATTATATCCCTCTCCAACACAGACACCATGAGAGAGAGCTAAACCCCCATTATATCCCTCTCCAACACAGACACCATGAGAGAGAGAGCTAAACCCCATTATATCCCTCTCCAACACAGACACCATGAGAGAGAGCTAAACCCCCATTATATCCCTCTCCAACACAGACACCATGAGAGAGAGCTAAACCCCATTATATCCCTCTCCAACACAGACACCATGAGAGAGCTAAACCCCATTATATCCCTCTCCAACACAGACACCATGAGAGAGCTAAACCCCATTATATCCCTCTCCAACACAGACACCATGAGAGAGAGCTAAACCCCATTATATCCCTCTCCAACACAGACACCATGAGAGAGAGCTAAACCCCATTATATCCCTCTCCAACACAGACACCATGAGAGAGAGCTAAACCCCATTATATCCCTCTCCAACACAGACACCATGAGAGAGAGCTAAACCCCCATTATATCCCTCTCCAACACAGACACCATGAGAGAGAGAGCTAAACCCCCATTATATCCCTCTCCAACACAGACACCATGAGAGAGAGAGCTAAACCCCCATTACAACCCTCTGCAGCAGACAGAATGTGAGAGCTAAACCTCAATCACCCCCAGCAATGACAACATGGGGATTGGTATTATACTCCATCCAGGACTGACAGCTAAAGCTTATTACTTCATGTAGTCCAGACCTGGAGTGCTGACGTTTGCCTACCATTGTTTATATCCATCATGCTGGACACAGTATTAATATTTCGCCCAGTGAAGCTCAGTGCTACATTAGTAATGCTATACACAGTGTTAATATTTCACTCAGTGTAGCTCAGTGCTACATTAGTAATGCTATACACAGTGTCAATATTTCACTCAGTGTAGCTCAGTGCTACATTAGTAATGCTATACACAGTGTCAATATTTCGCCCAGTGTAGCTCAGTGCTACATTAGTAATGCTATACACAGTGTTAATATTTCGCCCAGTGTAGCTCAGTGCTACATTAGTAATGCTATACACAGTGTTAATATTTCGCCCAGTGAAGTTCAGTGCTACATTGGTAATGCTATACACAGTGTTAATATTTCGCCCAGTGTAGTTCAGTGGTACATTGGTAATGCTATACACAGTGTTAATATTTCATCCAGTGTAGCTCAGTGCTACATTGGTAATGCCATATATACAGTGTTAATATTTCACCCAGTGCAGCTCAGTGCTACATTAGTAATGCTATACACAGTGTTAATATTTCGCCCAGTGCAGCTCAGTGCTACATTAGTAATGCTATACACAGTGTTAATATTTCGCCCAGTGCAGCTCAGTGCTACATTAGTAATGCTATACACAGAGTTAATATTTCGCCCAGTGCAGCTCAGTGCTACATTAGTAATGCTATACACAGTGTTAATATTTCGCCCAGTGCAGCTCAGTGCTACATTAGTAATGCTATACACAGTGTCAATATTTCGCCCAGTGTAGCTCAGTGCTACATTAGTAATGCTATACACAGTGTCAATATTTCGCCCAGTGCAGCTCAGTGCTACATTAGTAATGCTATACACAGTGTCAATATTTCGCCCAGTGTAGCTCAGTGCTACATTAAGCTCAGTGCTACATTAGTAATGCTATACACAGTGTCAATATTTCGCCCAGTGTAGCTCAGTGCTACATTAGTAATGCTATACACAGTGTCAATATTTCGCCCAGTGTAGCTCAGTGCTACATTAGTAATGCTATACACAGTGTCAATATTTCGCCCAGTGTAGCTCAGTGCTACATTAGTAATGCTATACACAGTGTTAATATTTTACCCAGTGCAGCTCAGTGCTACATTAGTAATGCTATACACAGTGTTAATATTTTACCCAGTGCAGCTCAGTGCTACATTAGTAATGCTATACACAGTGTTAATATTTCGCCCAGTGTAGTTCAGTGCTACATTAGTAATGCTATACACAGTGTTAATATTTCGCCCAGTGTAGTTCAGTGCTACATTAGTAATGCTATACACAGTGTCAATATTTCGCCCAGTGTAGCTCAGTGCTACATTAGTAATGCTATACACAGTGTTAATATTTCACCCAGTGCAGCTCAGTGCTACATTAGTAATGCTATACACAGTGTTAATATTTTACCCAGTGCAGCTCAGTGCTACATTAGTAATGCTACACACAGTGTTAATATTTTACCCAGTGTATCTCAGTGCTACATTAGTAATGCTATACACAGGGTTAATATTTCACTCAGTGTATCTCAGTGCTACATTAGTAATGCTATACACAGGGTTAATATTTCACTCAGTGTAGCTCAGTGCTACATTAGTAATGCTATACACAGTGTCAATATTTCACTCAGTGTATCTCAGTGCTACATTAGTAATGCTATACACTGTGTCAATATTTCGCCCAGTGTAGCTCAGTGCTACATTAGTAATGCTACACACAGTGTTAATATTTCGTCCAGTGTAGCTCAGTGCTACATTAGTAATGCTATACACAGTGTCAATATTTCACCCAGTGCAGCTCAGTGCTACATTAGTAATGCTACACACAGTGTTAATATTTCGTCCAGTGTAGCTCAGTGCTACATTAGTAATGCTACACACAGTGTCAATATTTCACCCAGTGCAGCTCAGTGCTACATTAGTAATGCTATACACAGTGTTAATATTTCACCCAGTGCAGCTCAGTGCTACATTAGTAATGCTATACACAGTGTTAATATTTTACCCAGTGCAGCTCAGTGCTACATTAGTAATGCTACACACAGTGTCAATATTTCGCCCAGTGTAGCTCAGTGCTACATTAGTAATGCTACACACAGTGTTAATATTTCGTCCAGTGTAGCTCAGTGCTACATTAGTAATGCTATACACAGTGTCAATATTTCACCCAGTGCAGCTCAGTGCTACATTAGTAATGCTATACACAGTGTTAATATTTCACCCAGTGTAGCTCAGTGCTACATTAGTAATGCTATACACAGTGTTAATATTTTACCCAGTGCAGCTCAGTGCTACATTAGTAATGCTACACACAGTGTTAATATTTTACCCAGTGTATCTCAGTGCTACATTAGTAATGCTATACACAGGGTTAATATTTCACTCAGTGTATCTCAGTGCTACATTAGTAATGCTATACACAGGGTTAATATTTCACTCAGTGTAGCTCAGTGCTACATTAGTAATGCTATACACAGTGTCAATATTTCACTCAGTGTAGCTCAGTGCTACATTAGTAATGCTATACACAGTGTCAATATTTCGCCCAGTGTAGCTCAGTGCTACATTAGTAATGCTATACACAGGGTTAATATTTCACTCAGTGTAGCTCAGTGCTACATTAGTAATGCTATACACAGTGTCAATATTTCACCCAGTGCAGCTCAGTGCTACATTAGTAATGCTACACACAGTGTTAATATTTCGCCCAGTGTAGCTCAGTGCTACATTAGTAATGCTACACACAGTGTTAATATTTCGCCCAGTGTAGCTCAGTGCTACATTAGTAATGCTATACACAGTGTCAATATTTCGCCCAGTGTAGCTCAGTGCTACATTAGTAATGCTATACACAGGGTTAATATTTCACTCAGTGTAGCTCAGTGCTACATTAGTAATGCTATACACAGGGTTAATATTTCACCCAGTGTAGCTCAGTGCTACATTAGTAATGCTATACACAGTGTTAATATTTCACTCAGTGTAGCTCAGTGCTACATTAGTAATGCTATACACAGGGTTAATATTTCACTCAGTGTAGCTCAGTGCTACATTAGTAATGCTATACACAGTGTTAATATTTCACTCAGTGTAGCTCAGTGCTACATTAGTAATGCTATACACAGTGTTAATATTTCGCCCAGTACTCCATTGTTTACAGTAGTAATGCTGTTTATATACAATATTTATAGTTTCCCTAAAACAAGTCAGGCTGAGTACCCAGTTATTGCAGGGGAGGTGTTGGGTCAGATCTAGACTAGAAATCTAAATAATTGTCGATTTGCATTGTAACAAACACGAGTTAGTAAGCTCTGCAGAAAAGAAACCAGCACACTGCCAGCTCTCCCCATTCACGCTCACAGCACTCGGTGACGTATATTATATGCGCCGGCTGATGACGTCATCATTCCACGCGTGTTGCGCTGAGCTGCAGACAATGCACAGGTGAAAGGGGGGTAGTGTCTGTAATGTGTCATCACCGTGACCGTGCAAGGACATTACAATCATGTATGTGTGACAGCATGGGGTGATATGAGCTGACCACCATCAGTGTGACAGCAGCATGGTGACATGAACTGACCACCATCAGTGTGACAGCAGCATGGTGACATCAGTGTGACGGCAGCATGGTGACATCAGTGTGACGGCAGCATGGTGACATGAGCTGACCACCATCAGTGTGACGGCAGCATGGTGACGGCAGCATGGTGACATCAGTGTGACGGCAGCATGGTGACATGAGCTGACCACCATCAGTGTGACGGCAGCATGGTGACATGAACTGACCACCATCAGTGTGACGGCAGCATGGTGACATGAACTGACCACCATCAGTGTGACGGCAGCATGGTGACATGAGCTGACCACCATCAGTGTGACGGCAGCATGGTGACATGAGCTGACCACCATCAGTGTGACGGCAGCATGGTGACATGAGCTGACCACCATCAGTGTGACGGCAGCATGGTGACATGAGCTGACCACCATCAGTGTGACGGCAGCATGGTGACATGAACTGACCACCATCAGTGTGACGGCAGCATGGTGACATGAGCTGACCACCATCAGTGTGACAGCAGCATGGTGACATGAGCTGACCACCATCAGTGTGACGGCAGCATGGTGACATGAGCTGACCACCATCAGTGTGACAGCAGCATGGTGACATGAACTGACCACCATCAGTGTGACGGCAGCATGGTGACATGAGCTGACCACCATCAGTGTGACCGCAGGATGGTGACATGAACTGACCACCATCAGTGTGACGGGAGCATGGTGACATGAGCTGACCACCATCAGTGTGACCGCAGGATGGTGACATGAACTGACCACCATCAGTGTGATGGGAGCATGGTTACATGATCTGGGCATCGTTAATGCGACATAAGCTGGCCATCTAAAGATGCCCAGCACTTGGCTCACTAAAGGAGTTTTAGGAGCATTGTGACATGAGTTGGGCATCCTCACTGTGACAGAGGCACTGTTTAATCAGTGTGGTAGGAGCTGGGCATCTTCAGAGTGACTGGAGCAAAACATCATTGTAACAGGAGCATGGGGACAGGAACACGATATCATCAGAGTGAGCATGCTTTCATGAGCTAGGCATCATTAGTATGACAGAGCCACGCGCGCATTCAAACAGTCCATATGAAAGCCTGGTAGACAGCCACTAGAGGAAGACTTAATCCTGCAAGGTAATTATTGCAGTTTATAAAAACTGCAATAATTACACTTGCAGGGTTAAGGATGATGGGAGTTGGCACCCAGACCACTTCAATGAGCTGAAGTAGTCTGGGTGCCTACAGTGTCCTTTTAAATGCTGAATTTACTTTGAATTTCTGGCATTTGAGTGAATAACTTTCTAACAATGTTCACTGCATTTAATTGACACTCTACTGCCCATTTACATAATGGGGGGAAAAAACAACTGTTTAGTAGATATACCCCAATGACAACTTGCATGTATTTAATTATGTTGTTTTTCATAGGGGATATATCTTAAAAACAGATTGCAAAACATGCAAATCTTTTTGCTGCTTTCTGAGTTTAGCTCAGGGGTCTGGAGTGTTCCAGTATTAATCATTCTTCTTTGGGACAATCATCCAGAAAGATCTGCCAAACACAGTGAGATTTAGGGTCACATTTAGCTAAATGAGATCTTCTAAGTGCCCCTATAAACACACAGACAGATTTGTTCAGAAATGTCCACGTTATGGAAGCAGCATGGGAATCGAGGCTTCCATAATCAGTGTTTTTGTCAATTGCTCGGAAATAGTTCAACAAATATCAGGTCTGCACTAGACACAATTACCTGTAGTGGGTACATTACTCAATGTCCTTTTAATTATGCAGTATGGTTTGCAGATTTTTTTCCCCCATGTAGAAAACGTTGTTTTTTTTTGTATTGCTCAGACTGCTGAGACCAATTATAAACTAACGCAAATTCTGTGTGGATCACCAGCAGATGCTTCAGATTGTACTGGTTCCCGAGGTCTTGCAAGCACCTCACCGACTAGCTTTGCTTATCCGTGTATGCAAATCCATGCAGAAACAGATGTTAGTGATTAAAACGACAGATTCACCCCTAGGTATAATATGTTACCTTGGTTAGTTTGGGATCTCAAATGCAAATGTAAACTCTGATTGCAGAGAACCTTATTAATTGTTTTAGTTCTTAACAACCCGTCATTAAAGAGACATTTACTGAAACACTGCTAAATTAAATAATCTTGGTACCTATCAGCATCTGGGAGAACAATGTGTAACTACATCAAGAGTCAAATAGCTGTGTATAAAAAGCGCTACAGTAGAATTCATAAAAAGGTCTACTACTTGTAGTGGTTACTGTTGTATTTTTGTGCCCCTGGGGTGGGATTTGCTGACATACATTAGTCAGCAGCTTATTTCTGGTGATATAATTAAATGTAGAAACGCTCACTGCTGTGTTTAATTCTATTCTGGAACTGTAAGCCTCCATCTTGGCTCCCTGTGAATCATTGTTATGAAAACAGCCTTACACCTATCAGCCTAGTGATAAGAAGGGAAAGAGAAACAATGTTTGTTTATCATTCCAAGGAACGTGTGCCTTGGCTGTGCCAGGACTGAAGTGGATTGTGATGTCAATTAGTAACTCTAGAAAATACATATAAAAGAAAATAAAGCATCACATAAAAAATACTCTACAGGAATTTCTGTGTTTTATTCAATGATATTACATTCTATAGTGACAGTTAAACAATTGTATCAGTTTTGAATAATTTTTTTTTAAAACTTTTTTGTTTTTTGGTTCGTCTTCAGTTTATCCAAATCCTACAAACTGGTCCATATTGTAGATCAAGTAAACCGTGAATGACACTGTTCCTTTATTTATTTCCTTAGTCCAGGCTTCCCCAAACTCCGGCCCCCCAGATGTTGCTGAGCTACAACTCCCATGATTCTATGAATGAAATAGGCTGAGAATCATTGGAGTTGTAGTTCAGCAACATCTGGAGAAGCCGGAGTTTGGGGAAGCCTGCCTTAGTTGACCAGCAAAAAAAAAAAGATTTTTTTAATGCTTTGTTATTTTGATCTAAGAAATTAAATCCTTGTCAGTTCTCCACAATTCTCCGTTTGGTAAATAAATTCTGCAAGCAAGTAACGTATATACTCGAGTGTAAGTCGACCCGAATATAAGTCGAGACCCCTAATTTTACCCCCAAAAACTGGGAAAACTTATTGACTCGAGTATAAGACTAGGGTGGGAAATGCAGCAGCTACTGGTAAATTTCTAAATAAAATTAGATCCCCAAAAAATTATATTGAATATTTATTTACAGTGTGTGTATATAATGAATGCAGTGTGTGTTTGTGTATATGATGCAGAGCCTTGGTGGGTGGTGGGCATTTTTATAATTTTTTTTTTTATATATATTTTTTAATATTATTAATATTTTTATTTTATTATTAAATTTTTTAAAATATTTTTTTGTCCCCCCCTCCCTGCTTGATACATGGTCAGGGAGGGGGGCTCTGATTCCCTGGTGGTCCAGTGGCATTTGCTGTGAAGGAGGAGGGCTGGCAGAGAGTTGTTACTTACCTTTCCTGCAGCTCCTGTCAGCTCCCTTCTCCTCCGGTCCGGTCAGCTCCCCTGTCAGCTCCACTGCAAGTCTCGTGGTCTGAGTGCCGCGCAACGCTGTGACCCCGCGGCTCTCGCGAGACTTACAGTGGGAGCTGACGGGAGAGCTGACGGACCGGAGGAGAGAGAAGGGAGCTGCAGGACAGGTAAGTTACAGCTCTCTGACAGTCCCCAACAGGACAAGCCTGGCGGTCCTGGTCTGTATTATGGCAATGTAAGTTGCCATAATACAGACAGTGACTCGAGTATAAGTCGAGTGGGGTTTTTTCAGCTTAAAAAATGTGCCGAAAAACTCGTCTTATACTCGAGTATCGATGGTAAATGAGATTTTAGATATTTATATAAAAATAAGAAGAAAGTTTCCAGGTAGCATGGGTAATTATAGTAGAATTAGGCTAACCACTCTCTCTTTGTTAACCCTTTAATAAAACCCAACCAAGCATTTCACGCCCAGCTGCTGAAATCACTGCTCAGAAAAAGTGGGATCCAGGTTTTTAAAATATATATCCACTATAGAAAAAGAAAATGCTTCTATAAGAAGATGCATCACATTCAGGGAGAATTTTTAAAGTGATAATTGCTTCCAGCTAGTTTGGCCTGAAATTTAAAATTCGCTTAGAATTACTGACAATTTTCAATTTGGTAAATAACTCTGTTATTATCATCAGCTTGGCACTGTTCCCATGTTGCCCTTTTTTCTTGTCTTTGTAATTACTGCAGCCTCATGGGGCCTTATGTCAGGTTGTAAAGGACTCTTCTCAAACTGGTATTGAGATATATATATATATATATATATATATATATATATATATATATATATATATATATATATATATATATATATATATATATATATATATAATTTTATTTTCTTAATAACTAGGGTATATTTGTAAAAAAAATTTTTTAATTTTTTTATCTAATATTTAATCTCTTGTCTGGAAGTGGTGCTAGCTCCCAACAGAGTGACCATGGAAAATGGACATTATCCAGCAGTGATGACGAAGAGGAGACGTCCATAAAACCCTCTACATCATCATCATCATCATTATCCGCAAACAGAGACAGCAAAGACTCTATGCCACAGTATCCCTGCTCTGAAGCCAGGAAAGCTTCTCACAAACGGAAGTCAAACCCAGTGAAATTCGAGGAACATGCGCACAGTAAGGGTGCCTCGCCTGCCAAAAAACTGAAATCAGACAAGGATGATTCTGGCTGGTGTCTGTCGAGTAGCGATGAGGAAACCAAGCCATCCCACAAGGTCAAGGTTAAAATCGAAAAGGATGGAGTAAAGAAACAGCCACTAGACAATCAGCAGGGTCCGAGCACACAGACACATGGGAAATATAAAACTCCAAGCGACTCCCAGGATCCCTGGGATGTACTTCAGGCTGGGGAACCATTCCGCTTCTACCTTACTAAGGTCAATGGGGTTAAACCGAAGTACAATGCTGGAGCACTCCACATTAAAGGTAAGTGACTATTACATTACTAGATCATCATTCATTGTAAGTGCCTGTGTCCTCCTTATTAGCTGTTTAATGTGCAGGTATTCCATGTTGGTGATCGCACCTTGCAGCTCTTTACCTGTTGATAAATGCCTGGGCCAGGCTTCCTCTACCCTAAAGCATGGCTTTACAAACTTGTGTGGAATCTAGAAGCCGGCTAAAAAAGTTAGGAAACAGGTTTTTTAAACTATCAAAGTTTCATTTTCAATGAGTAAAATGCAATTCTTAAATGGACACTATAATCACTACAGCTTAATAGAGTTGTTCTGGTGAATATAATCAGTCCCTGCAGACTTTTTAATGTAAACACTGCCTTTTCAGAGAAAAGGCAGTGTTTACATTGCTGCCTTGTAACAGCTCTAGTGACAGTCACTCAGACGGCCATTAGAGGTTCCTGGGTCAGTGCAGCACCTGCGTTCAGCATCTCCACGCTCTGCATGGAGGAACTGATTGCTCCCCATAGAGATGCATTCATTCAATGTGTCTCTGTGAGTGCTTTGTTTTGCTGTGCATGCGCAATATCCTCCCAATGCTTTCATATGGGATAGCATTGGCTTAGCTGAGGTCAGAAAGATTGAGGATCTCAGTCATGGAGGTGGGACCAGCCGCAGCGAAACTGGCACCACCTTTCTCATGCGATCGGAGGGGGACAGGTACCTAAAGAGAGACACACACATTCACACAAACTCTCTGACACATATTAACACACTGGCAGACAAACAGACACAAACACTTACACAGGAAGACTGATAGACACACACTTGCACACTAACATACACTAACAGAGACACAGTCTAAGTTACACACACACACACATTGAAATTGTTATTTTAATTTATGTTCAGCCACCCTACCTACCTTTGGGAAAGCTGAGTGAATCTTTCCCTGGGGTCCAGTGGGGCTGCTCTGATAATCTTCCTGCAGTTTCTCTCTGCTCCCCTTTGCACTTTCTGCAGTTTGGCTGGGGCTGGAGTGATATCATATTCCAGTTTCCAGCATCACTAAACAGCGTACAGGAGAGCAGAGAGGAACTGCAGTAACATTACTGCTCCCTCATGTGCCGTCTCCTTGCTGCCTCGGATGACCGCCTCTATGCTCCCCAGGGCGGCTGGCTCTAATGTTCTCCACGGCGACCAGTTTCAATGCTATCCTTGGTGGCCGCCTTCACTGAAGGCCCAACAAATCCCAGGCACCAGGGCAAAATGTCTAGTCGCCATGGTGATCTGGCGCCTGGGATTTGTCCAGCCCTGCCCTAGAGCAAAAACACTTATTGCAGCTTATGTCAGAATCCAAGCCTCCATTATTAGAACTACAATACCAACTATAAAACTGCAGAAAATGTTGGCACGTTATACATAACAGTGTGCCATTTGTCTACCACATAAATACAAACATTATTTGTTTTTGGATTTGGCTCCTAAAATAATAAAAAAAAAAAAATCTTTCTGTATCTGACTGTCAGTCTATAGTCATTATATCTATATTTGTATGTGTGTCTGTCACATAAACAGAGCAAGCCCTACTTTCATTTTAAAACACCTTTTCTTTTACTTAGAATGTGAAATTTTCATAATTGGTAAATTTCAAATTTAACCAAAAGAAATTGTAATTTTGGATCACTTGTGCATTATCACATAAGCACTGGTAAACTTAGATGATATGTTCTTTCAAATAATGCAATCAAATAATATGGAGTCACAAAACATTAAAGCGACACTATGGTCACCCAGACCACTTCAGCTCAATGAAGTGGTCTGGGGGTCAGGTCCCTCAGGTTTTAACCCTTCACATGTAAACATAGCAGTTTCAGAGAAGGATTAATCCAACCTCTAGTGGCTGTCTTCCTGACAGCCACTAGAGGCGCATCGGTGATGCTGGATGCGAAGAACATCCATAGGAAAGCATTGAGAAGTGTGGCGCATGCGCATTCCACTCCACTCGGGAGCTGATGGCGAGGGAGGAGAGGTCACCAGCGCAGAGGGAACCCGGCGCTGGATTAAGGTAAGCTGCTGAAAGGGTTTTACTTTAACATATTAATTATTATATCTAATATAACAGTTATTATACCCATTCTTTCCACACTTCAGAATCTCTCAGTGAAATAGTTAAACTAGTATTACATTGTAATACAGGACTCTTTCCCATAGAGAATAACTATTGGGACTTGCAAATGTAAAAGTTCTTTTTAAGGTATCGGTGTCTGATTTGTATAGTTTTAGAAATGTTGAGCTTTCATTACAGTCCCTTACTGGCTCTATTCTTTCCTACAGATATATTATCTCCTCTCTTTGGTACTCTGGAATCGTCAGCACAAGTGAGTGTGAATACAAGTGTCTTTATATTTTTTACATTTTTATTTTAAGAGATCCGGGGAAACACAGTGTTTTAAAGTCATATTTACTCTTATTTACAAACCTGAGGTACAAGAATACTACACAATTCAATGTCTGATACATAGCTCATAATTTTCCATGCTTTGTACAATGGCGCATTGATAACTCTACATTACTGAAGAGTCTTGGATGAAAAGCAGTACACAGTAAAGTGCTTGCTCCCTATATCTAAATTTTAAACATAATAACAATTCCCTCTCAAAGTGAAAGACAAGAAAAAGCAAAGAAGGGAGAGAGAGGAAAAAAAAGTGAAATATCCCCTTTGCGCACACCTACTCCCCTCCTCGGCCCCATCGTTTTTGCCTCACTCTTCGTACTCTTCCCGCATCTGCCAAACTTTACTAAAAGTTGACAAGTGTATCTTTTTAAATAAACGAACACTAACTAGTTGAATTTTTTTTTTAAACCTGTAGATGCATCCGTCTTTAATTGTTTTATCCTGACACTCCAATCATGACATAAAAACCGCACCTAAACAATGTTTTATCATAGTGATAAAGTATATTTGTAATTCCTTTAGAAGCTGTAGTTAATACTAACCACCTTTACAGCGCTGCAGCTGCTATGACAGAGGACTCCCTGTCACTCCTTCTTCCCGTCTACCTAATACATTATTAGCCCTGGTTGAATATACTTCTCCACAATGCTCCTTCCCGTATGACGACATTACTCTGGCTTCATTGCTGGTGAATTGTCTACAGAATGGAGTCAGTTTTTTACTATGTATTTGTCGAGCAAGAGTAAGATGCTCCGCCAGATGAATATCAAAGCAACGTTAAAGCACACTCACTAAATCCCTTAAAATCACACTGCAGCCCCTAGTCACACACCACAAACACAACTGAAACCAACCTGTGTACACAAAACACCACAAACAGCTCCCTGTACACACACGCAATATCACAAGCAGCCTCCAAACATATACACAACACGCTCTCCTGGACCTTTTGTCCTCTGGTATCCCAGTTAAGGAGACACCAGGGACAAGCCACAAGCAAACACAGTGCTGCACATTACAGAGGGCCTTTTCCCCATGCAAAAGCTCTTTAGCAGGGCTCTGCGCTTGGGCTGCCCTGGAAGCTCACTTTGGGGGGACGTGCTTGTCATTGGCATTGACAGCTATTGTTTGTGTCCGCTTTGTGACAAAATCTTGTAATAGAATCGAATAGAAATATGAATAAAATATTTTTACACTGTTCCATGAATACACATGTTCACCCTCTGACTCTATTTAATATTTGTTTACAGCTTGGTACAAGTTACATAGAAACATAGAAACATAGAATGTGACGGCGGATAAGAACCATTCGGCCCATCTAGTCTGCCCAATTTTATAAATACTTTCATTAGTCCCTGGCCTTATCTTATAGTTAGGATAGCCTTATACCGCTATATATTGTCATTTTTAGAGTTCATGCACTCTATGTGCTGTGACAGAGAGTAGGTGAACTGCCTGTAGGAGAATTCTAATTTCTATTTGGCTTTTTAAGATTTCTTTAAAATTTTTTTTTTTTTTTTTTTTACTATATGCTAGCAATAATAATGTGATACTTGTGTTTTTCCAATGATTAGCCAATGAAAGGTATGCTTAAATTTCATTGAATGCACCCGGAAACAAATATGTTTATAGTCCTGTTCTATCTATAGAATATAGAATGCACACCATAACAATCTCAAAAAACTTAGCTTTATTATGTACAAAAAGTACCAAAATGAAAACATACAATAAAAATAAACACAATGAGAGAAGCAAGGGCAAATACAATAAAGAAATGGTAAAATACCAAAAAGATTCTTACAAGACAGAAACACGAGTCACCAAACCCCCCAACGTTTCGGCACCAACTGGCTGCCTTTATCAAGGGTACCTGTATCCATGTTCAGATGTGCATGCTTATAAAGACCTCTTACAGCTGATGGCCATCAGCATAAGGTTACCAACTCCGGAAGTGACATCATCACTTCAAGTGCTGGCACAATATTTTAATAGTAACCTAGTAATATCATATAAGAATCAGTTGTGTGCACTAAAGACATTCAAAAGCAAAGAAAGTCATATAACCGAAATGATAAATGTTACTGCTCTGATATCGAACCTCTAGTACATATACAAACAGTAAGTATGCTCACACTATATCTGGCGTCTATAATCGCCATTTTACTCACTGGCAAGCGAACACCTTTAACAATACGCTCCACAGGCGTCATAGTCGCTGCCGCGCGCAACAATAGCCTGCGTATGACAATAAGTGCCGCGCACGCGCACAGCAACGTCTCATTCGCGCATAATGGCAAACAGTTCGTGCAGGCGAAGCGCATACTGTGAATACTGTAGCGAACCACTGAGGTACCCTATCATTCTAAAAAACCGCCCACACGCAGTGGACGGCAACTAGTATCTAAAATAGTACAATAAACCATCAACATTCTAACTAATAGTGGATACCATCCACCATGTTACAAATTATACTCCATAAATGTCAGTACCCCCCATACAGATATACAGAATATGTATTACATATGTACATGTCAAAGAGGACTAATAAAATAATAAAGAGATAAAGAATAAATAATCTTAGATCCACATTATAAATAGAATGTGATCAGTGAACCTATACATAAAATCATCTCCCACCAATATTACAAGACAAAACACAAAAGAAAACCAAAACGTGATGTGCAAAACAGATTTTTAATTCAACAAACACCCAATGTGTAATAGACTGATCGCTGCAGGTGCCAAATACGCAATAGTAATGCAATACACAGTGATTCTCCATGTAGTACATGTTAACTACTTAACTATGTAGTGTAAATCAGTAATTATTCAATATATTTACAAAAATAACTATATTGCCATAATTATTTAAACAAACAAAATAAAAAAAATATTCATATTATGCACAGGACAATATAATACAATGTGACCCGCATATTAAAAGGCTATTCATCATCAATGTTTAAAGACATAGCAACATATTTAAAGAATTCATCACAAATATATATCATTTTGAGAAAATAAAGATATATCAATGCTATTGAAGAATCCATTATAAACGTATATAGCATTAGAAAAATCATTATTACATCATCTTTGTCAACCTATACACTGACTATACCCATACCAACCGCATAAACATAGCATAGGTAAACAACATCGTACCACCCACAAAAAAACACTACTCATGGCAAAAAGCTCTCATAGTCATGGGTACCATCGTTCAATATTGTCAGTATACTTAATGTATAAATATTCATAAATCATAATTCATATAGACAAAATTTGCTATAGTATGAGATACAAAACTATATATGCACATAATGGGTCATCATAACAAAGACGTGAATCAATTCAACGTGTATGATGATACATTCTAATCGATTCAATATCTTCCGGCACACTGCCGTCACCAGTACCATGGTCCAAATGGCCACTGTAGCTCCAATCTATAAAAGGAAATAAAAACAAAATATAAAGATACAGACAAAACGCAGGCAGAGTAAAATATTGTCAGGATTATAGAAATGGTGATAGATCCTTATCCTCATTCAGACCCTTAGGATACAAAGTCTGCAGCTCGTAAATCCAGTATACCTCACGTTGTCCTGTTCTATGCAATATTTATCTTTCTTGCCATCAGACTGGATTTATTTATCTGTTTATTCTAGTTCAACTATTGCATACACATACCATGGCTGGTGAAGCAGTATCCAGAGGAATTTCGGTAAGTTCTTTTTTTTTTTTTTTTTAAAGCGATTATATTGCCTTATTCTAGAGCTGATAATACGCAGTGTTTTCCCAGTACTGATGTTTATACGTGAGATAATAATACAGGCTTAGTTTCCAGCAGTTTCTGGTTAACATTTGGGTGTCTCAAGATACTTATTTATTGTACTGCTGAGCAACAGTCATATTAATGACCCAACTCCCTGCTTTATATGTGTGACCAAATCAGAGTGTTCGTTCCTGAAGCAGCATTATGTCGCCTTAAAGGGACATGCATCACTTGATAATTATTGATTATCCAGGAGGTCCAGGAAACTTACCTCCACCGCGAAATCCGCTTCTCAGGGACTGCCTTACAGCCCAGGCATTTCCCTCACGGCAAATTAGACCCCCGTCATGTGATCACTCAAATAATTTTATACTTAAAGGACCACTATAGGGACCCAGACCACTTCAGCTCAATGAAGTGGTTTGGGTGCCAGGCCCCCCTAGTTTTAACCCTGCAGCTGAAAGCATAGGTTAATCCAGCCTCTAGTGGCTGTCTCCCTGACAGCCACTAGATACCACTTCCGCAATTCTCAGTGTGAAAATCGCATTGAACTCACGCAGCATGAGTTCAGATCCCCATAGGAAAGCAATGAGTAATGCTTTCCTATGGGCGGTTGGAATGTGCACGTGGCTCTGGCCACTCAGGAGCTGACGTCGGCAGGGGGAGGAGAGGTCACCGGCGCCAAGGGAGCCCGGCGCTGGATTAGGGTAAGTGGCTGAAGGGGTTTTACCCCTTCAGCCCAGCGGGAGGGGGGCCATGAGGCAGGGGGGGGCCTAATTTGAATTTGCGTTTGAATGCAAGCATGTGTGGTGTTGTTTTTTGAATGCCAGGGTGTGTTTATATATAATTTTGATGTTTAACAGAGAAGTATGTTTATATGTAGTGTTGATGTTTCAACGCAGGAGTGTGTTTGTATGTAGTGTTGAAGTTTGAATGCAGGGGTGTATTTGTGTGTTGTGGTGGCGTGTGAATGCTGAGATGTATGCACATATATACATACACACACACACTGAAACACAGGCAGATATACACACTGACACACATGCAGTTATATAGATACACAACCTGACACATATGCAGATACACAGACACACACCGGTATACACACACAGATACACATACTGATAACATACAGATACACAGAAATACACAATGACAACATACAGACGCACAGATACACACACAAACATATACACACACTGACACACTTGCAGATACACAGATACACACACAGACTACATACAGATACACACTAACACATACACACAGATACACACACATATAGTGACAGACATGCTGACACACAGATACGCTGACAGACATACTTATACAGACACATACTAACACACACAGACATACTGAAAGACATGCTTTATTATATAGCATCAAGATATTCCAGATAGCTTTACAATGGAACTCCTGTAGTGTTTAGAGAAAGGATTCTGTTCTTCTCTTCATTGTCTGAAATCTGTCTGTCTGTTTAATAAAAGGAAGAAGCCGTTACTGATTGTCCATGGCGAGAAACGGGAATCGAAAGCAAAACTACACGAGGACGCACATCCGTATGAAAATGTTCGTCTGTGTCAGGTACATGAAAATACAGTTATTGTGTTTAGCTCTGAATACCATATATGTTAGTAATACTTCAAAATCAATACCTAGATGTACTTTACTGTATCTCAGCTTACTCTACTCTAAAAATACTATATTGGACAAAGCATTGAAGCCATTATAAGGTCCTGCAAGTTCACAAAGTGTGTTTTAAAGTGACGCTCTCACTTCCAGAGAAACGACCTCTTTCTTTCACCACGGTGAACATTATTATAGTGTTTGTTGCGTTGAACAAAGCAGCAAAGTTAAATAAAAAGCTTATTTACCTTTGCAGCATTTTGGGATCTTCACTGTCCAAATGATGGCTTGGGCATCCAAGCTCGAGTATCTAACAAAGACATTTTGTACACATGCATGAGTGCTTCTCTGTATATGCACATATATGCATATATGCTGGTCAAAGAATGTAAGTAGAAAGAAAGTAAAAAAAAAAACAACAACAAGAAGAAAGAATTCTGTCCATCGGGAGATACAAAAACACTGGGGATTGTTCATAATTATGAGGAATGGCAGTGAACTGAAATCCAGATGCAAAATTAAGGCTAAACATGATTAAGCTAGAGAATTATACCCGATTAAAAAAAAAAATTTTGTTTACAGTTTGACTTTTAGATTTTTTTTTTTTTACTGGATAAACCCGATATTCAGTTTCTCCTCCTTTGCAATCTATTCGCTGGCTGTGCAAGGCCAGACTTAGATTGTGATCTCAATATTTACTTTGCATTTCAAAGAAAATGCAGCGTCATATGGAGAAAAAAAAGGGTAATAAAAGTTATTGGTAACGTTTAATGTTTTATTCAGTGGTGTTATTAACAGAACAGTAACAGCCCCCCCCCCAAAAATAGAAATTAGTGAGAAATGAGTGTTTATAGAGAATTTATTTGCTCTTTGGTAAGCTGGGAGGAAGTAACGTGTATTCCCAGCACTGCACTATGGCATTACACAAACTAAAGGGCCTGGTTGTGCTGCTAGAGGGCCGTGGCGCCTGACCGGGCCCCTGGTCAATGTTGCCCATCGAGTGTCCCTAAGTGCATGTGTCGCCCAATGAGCCCCCTAAGCCGGTTGGGCCTAGGTGCAGCCACACTGGCTGCACCGACGGTAGTTCCGCCACTGGTATACACATTGTTAGTGAGTCAATGCTAGTCTCCTGTTTATCTAAAAGCTCAATCTAACTTGGTACTCTAAATCTGTGCTCCTCACCCCTCTCGTCAAGGCACACCTAACTGTCCACGATTTAGAGATTACTATGGCTAGTCTAAGGTGTTTAAAAAAATAAATAAATGGCAACAAGTAGCAGATCTTGCAACCAAGTGTACTAACATGCAACTGCCCTTCCGTCCCGAGACTTATCTGCTCCTCCTGCTGCCACATGCACCACAAAAACCCCAGAGTTAGCTTGCCTACCACATCATCGTTGCCGTACTCACCATCATTAGCAGGAAATGGAAGCAAACCTCTCCCCCACAATTACCCAATGCATCACTGCTGTAGACACAAACAGGATCTATGAAACCATGGCAAGAAGTACACAACAAACAGCTCCACACTGGCCCTTAGCGTGGGAACTCTGGGAAAAACATAAACCACTTTAGGTGCGAAACACATGCAAACACCACTGACATATACCACAGACCTCCCTGACTGGAGGCAAAAACCTCTCCACCTCAGGATGCTTGAATCGAAACAAAACCATACGGAAACTTGCCTCATCCGCAGAAGTTCCCTACACCCCTACCCTTCCCGCCCTGTCAAGATTTGACAATGACAACAACACAAATAACCAGCCACAAGCTACAGCCCTAAGAGCACCCTCTCAAGTGGGTAACATAAAAAGACAACGCTAGCACCCTACTATACCCCTCCCTATGCGATACCTAAAGTTATAATAACATACTTAATGTAAACAATGAGCTACAAGTAGTGACTCTCCAGGATGTTATATAATTTGATGAGAATGTCACTTAATCACTGTACCAAAGCAGGGCTCCCCTTCCCTCCCTCTCCCCTTGTTTTTTCTTCTGTACCCTCACCCCATACACAAGTGCACTAGAGTCATAACGAATGTACTCCCCCCCTTTTCTCTTCTGTACTCCCATGTTCTAAGTTTTAAGTTCTGAAATTTAAAAATTGTTAAATTAAAAAAAAAACGCCTTAAAACGCCTTAGTCACACTTAATCCCTAAATCCTGGACTGTTATGTGTGCCTTGAGGAGAGGGTTCAGAAGCACTGCTCTAGATAGCTTTCTGCAAATACGACATATTTTTGCTTTTCTTGCATATGTTCGCACCCATCTCCTATTTTGAATGATCCTTTCTCACAAAATATATATATATCTGTTTTACAAATCACTCTTAGTTTCTCCAATACAGTTGTGGGTACAATACTGCGATATACAACTGCCAGATATAAACTGAAATAATACCAGGCAAAACGTAGCAATATAACAGAAAATGGTCATGTTTAAATTTAATTCAAGTGCTCTCTTCTTCTAGATCAGGCATAGGCAACCTTCGGGATTCCAGATGTTTTGGACTACACCTCCCATGATGCTTTGATGGCATTATGGGTGTAATAGCATTATAGGGGATGTATTCCACAACATCTGGAGTGTCAAAGGTTGCTTATCCCTGTTCTAGATCTTCTTTTTTTTCTTTATTAAATTCCGTGATATGGAAAGACGCATCTAAGAATAAGAAGTGTGAATAGTTCTACGATTCTGATAATGAGATAAACGATGGAAAGCAATCTGCATTCTTTGATGTATGCTGTAGGGGGCAGCCTTTATCACTTTAAAAACAGAAATGACTGACAATGAGCTATGCTCAGCAGACTTAAAGTAAAACAGTCATCTAGTGAATGTATAAACTGATCCCTATCTTATTGCCGTAGGCCAAGTTGGATATCGCCTTTGGGACCCACCACACGTAAGTTTTGATGACTACAAGAAATGAGCCAGAGGCTTCTGGAATGCATAAACTATATGGGAATGATGACGAAATGTATTACAGCTTGTATGGTATCTAGAATGAATAAAATATATTTTCGCGACGTAGGTTGAGATCGAGGTGGCAGGATAGTATGAAATATTGAAATTAAGGGGTGCAAATATGGTACATGGGTGTCATGATAGAGATCTGATGGGTTTTAAAGGTGGACTTTAAAATCTTAGAAATTACATTTCAGTTGTTTATCTTTTATCTGCTGTTGCTTCTTAAATGGGAAATGCCTTAAGAGGGCAATGTGGTGTCATCAGAAAAGCACAGCAGGTTTTCATTGGTCTGATAATCCATTATAAAACAGAGCTTTCGAATAGTTATTTTCTAACCCCTGTAAATATTATTTAAATTATTACTAGGGTAGAGTAGTGCAGCAGAGGTAAGTACACTTAACTACAGTATTTCCGTGCCCAAGGTGACATCATTCATGCAAAATAATGCCCACTGCACAGAAATACCACAAGGGCCATACACATGCCAACCCAACACTTTGTGAATTTATAAGAAGGAAAAAAAGGCAACCCATAACCACGCACCATAAGCAGTGCATCCTTGGGACCATTAGCACTATTGTTGTTATTGTGCTTGAAGTGTTCAGCTTAAACAAGCTAACCATAAAGGAACACTTGAAGCACAATAACCACTACAGTGAGCTATAGTGACTACAGCGCAAAAAGTGTCCTAGTGCCCCCAAATGTAAATAGTCCAGCCATTTGCTAGCAATGTAATAACTTACCTGGGTTCCACTGTGTGCCAGTCACTTCCGAGAGTCGGGAGCCGTTCATTGCAAGCTCATTGGCTGATTGCTCATTGGCTGATTGCTCATTGGCTGATTGCTCACTGGCTGATTGCTCACTGGCTGATTGCTTTCAGCCAGTGAGCTAAGCTCTGCATTGTTGGAGGAAGTGGCAGGTGCCTGGCTCCCCCAGGTAAGCTGTTAAATCATTAGCAGAAGGTTTGATTACTTACATTGGGAGGAGATATCAGGGCACTCCTGGCACCATAACCACTACAAATCACTCTACTGGTTGTGGTGCTTGAAGTGTTCCTTTAAGTTAGTTATAAATAACTCAGATGTGACATTTTATTTTACTTTGGCGTTTGAAATGGGAGAAAAGGATTAAAAACAATAAAAAAAAGTCTTCATAATTCTAATTGGAGGGGGGGGGGTGAGCCTGATACAAACTGTAGGTACATTTTTTTTTCCTTATTTAAAGGGAAACTATTGTGCCAGGAAAACAAACTTGTTTTTCTGGCACTATAGCTTCCCTCTCTGTCAAGGCCTCCTCCCGCAGCGCTGAAAGGGTTAATAACCTATTCTGTTACTTACCTCTGATTTAGCTCCGCCCATGCTCCTCGTCCACCCGTGTCCACCGGCGGGTGAGACCTAATGCACATGCGCGGCAATGGCCACGCTTGCATTAGGATCTCCCCATATGAAAGCATTATTTAATGCCTTCCTATGGGAATTCTGGTGACGCTGGAAGTCCTCATGCATAGCATGAGAACCTCCAGCGTTGTTTAAGAAGCCGGAAGTCCCTCTTGTGGCTGTCTGGTAGACAGCCACTTGAGGAGGACTTAACCCTAGGAGGTAAATATTGCAGTTTATAAAAACCGCAATAATTACCACTCTAGGGTTAAGGGCGATGGGAGTTGGCACCAAGACCACTTCAATGAGATGAAGTGGCCTGGGTGCCTACAGTGTCCCTTTAATGTAGAACGTACTAGATGGCTACTATTCTCCATTAAAAAGAGAATTTTAGATTCTGACTCAGATTGTCCCTCTCCTGTGATGCCATTGTATGTCTCACTATAGACATGATGATCTGGGTTTTATATTTAAGCTGCTTTGTACATTGCAGTAGTGTCATTACTGATTTGCTACTGATAAACATCTACAACATCTGTCAGAAGACATGGAATGCAGTTCAGTCTTATCTGTCTATCTAAGCGAAACATTGTCCCTGACTGCCGTCAGGCTCTGCATCATTCCAATGTTTGGTGCTGTCCTCCAGCATTTCGTACTGAAACGTTGTATTAGGTTACCATGTGCCCTCAAGTGCAATTAGAGTAACAATGGCAAGTTCACTGTGATCTGGTTGCTCAGTAGTACATTTCTTGTCCCTTATTAAAGGAAAATGATGCTGCTATTGTACAAAGAAGGTCTCCGTGTTGTGATCCATACAAGCAATCTTATTCATGAAGACTGGCACCAGAAAACTCAGGGGTAAGCACCATCCAGGATAAAATAAATGACCGGAGGAACCTGCTAGGCAAAACACAACACATTTCTCCAAAATAGGCACCAAACAGACCTATAGGGTTATAGAATCTTAACTAAATGTCACCATGTTAGTAAGAAAGAAAAAAAAAAAGTAATGTGCTTAATGAAAACCAGTGCTAGCCAGATGATTAGCACATACATATATTATTGCCATAGTTGGCTGATACTGCTTCTGTTGTGGTCTATGCATGCTCCCACATTTCCAAGCCATTGCATGCAATGCATTCTGGGAATTTGCAGATGTGTGTGCAAACAATATGTCTGAAAAATGTATAGCAAAATCAACTTAATGTGTGTGGTTGCTCTATATATAGATGATATTGTCTTACTGTGCTATATCAGGTGCATTTTAATGGATAGAGTCCTTCTCTATTCTTTTAAAGGACCACTATAGGCACCCAGACCACTTCAGCTCAATGAATTGGTCTAGGTGCAATGGCCATTAAAAAAAAACTGCTATGTTTACATCAGGGTTAATCCAGCCTCTAGTGGCTGTCTCATTGAGAGCCGCTAGAGGCGCTTCTGACTGTGAAAATCACAGTGAGAAGACGCTGGCGTCCATAGGAAAGGATTAAGAAATGCTTTCCCATGGACTGATTAAATGCGCGCGCAGCTCTTGCTGCGCATGCGCATTCAGCACTGACATCGGAAGAGGGAGGAGAGTTCCCCGGCACTGGAGAAAGGTAAGTGTTTAACCCCTTCCTCCCCCTTCAGCCCGGTGAGAGTGGGGCCCTATAGTGTCAGGAAAACGAGTTTGTTTGCATGGCACTATAGTGGTCCTTTAATTTTCATTACTAGCCCCCAAAACTGGAATAAGCTTCCTCCCCACATTCCATCTTTTCGCAGATTCCTGAAGTCATTCCATTTGATAAAAGCCCAACTCATCCAATCTCACCCCGTTCACACCTCCCCTCTGATGAGCCAGATTGGCGAAACGTGCGTCATGGGTTCTGCCAATCACACTTCATAGCCACTGTATCACGAGTGAGCTCACGTTCGGCTTTTAATGGCGTTAACAGAAATTCACTAATACCTCTCCCCATATATTGGAGGAAAAAACGTCCATCATTACAATCTCCAGCTTTCTTTCATTATATCTATTCTAGAGGTGGGAGGAATTTCTTATCCATCCATCCAGGGGTAACAGGCATTTTGGGTTAGGGGGTGCCCTCGAAGGCACAGAATTAGTATTTACTTTACCTCTCCCTGCTATCACTCCGATTGCTACAGACCTGTATTGGCTACAACATTGTTTGACAGCGACTATTAGCTAATACAATGTTGCTTTTTTGTTCCCACTACATTGCTGGACTTTTTTATTTGCACTATCTCTAGCCAGACCATTTAGCCTGTATTACAAGCATTTTCTGCTATCTTAGTATTCCTATTGCAGCACAGCACATTGTTATATACTACTTTTTTTTCAAAAGGAAGGGATACGTCTCCTTACCCCTTTGTTTGGAGTTTAGATTTAGATTTTTTCTATTCTCCTAATACCGCTGGTCTGCTACAGATGTTCTTTTTATTATCCTGAACTCACAAAGCTCCAGCCTGTACTACCTTACTCTGAATTAATTATCCCTATATTTGGGTAGAACTACCAGATTTTCATATACAGACGTTATAGCTACACCCAGGATAATTGTTTTGTAAATATGTACATTATTATTTCTGTTTGAATTTTCTTTTACTTTTCTTTTTGTCGTGGTGACTAATTTCACCTCTTGATCGCTATATTAAAAGTTACGTTTTATTTTTAGAAATACCTAGCCTAATTGGTCGATACAGTTATTATTTCTCGCTGTCTCCTGGCAGTTTTTTTTTTTTTCTAACCCACTTCACATTATTATACCTCGCTGTTCACCTATGTAACCGCTAACTTTCTCCCCAAATTGCAACTCCACCTGCTCAGTTTTTATGTTTCCACTTGACCTTTGACACGTGTAAATTCTCTTGTTCTTTGTGCCCTTAAGGATTTATAAAGTACACTGTATTATAACTTAATTATTGACGACTGCCTCCTTTGTAACCAGTGTTAAAGTCTCTGGATAAGTGTCCCACATTAGAATTGTTAAATAAAACAAACAGGTGTATTATTGTGTGAATGCTTAACCATCCCGAATACCACATCTACCATGATTCTACATTTTTTGTTTAATTATGCTAAAATACTATATAGATGATTTTAAGCTTCACGTCCACACAGTTAGTACTGTGTAACATTGCCCACATTTGCAATATTAACATAATGAAGTTATTCATTACAAAAGAGTGTGCCTGATCGCAAGACTGTTGTCTCCTAACAGTCGCTGTTGAGATCATTCCTTCCTGAAAGCACACGTGTTGGTATAAATGGCTTTCCTTTACATCCTTTCATCGGATCCCCTCCTCCAGAAATCTGAAATGCTTCTTCCGTAGCTTGTATCATTTTCCTCATTTAATGCAATCTAACCTCCTCGGCAGGGTGTCTGTACTGGTTCAATACTTGTGACCTCCCTACAGAGCTGCATGCTCCACTACTCCTCCGTCCTCCCACGTGTCCCATTGTCCAGTTTGCAATTCAGTCTGAATGCTGTTGTTGTGATATGTCTGCTCTAAAAAGCATTCTCCTTCACTATCTGCAACCTGTGGCTATTCCTTTCAGTACCCTCTAGAAAAACATTCTCTATAGCTCTGTGCATAATACAACTCACAGCATTTTCTTCTCAGCCTGTATGAGCCTCATCCTCTTCCCCCTACTCTTGCTTTCTTACATTGTGTCGTATAGTTACATATCGTATTTTCCGGCGTATAAGACGACTGGGCGTATAAGACGACCCCCAACTTTTCCAGTTAAAATATAGAGTTTGGGATATACTCGCCGTATAAGACTACCTCTCTTCCAATGCACACCAAATAAAAATTAGCCATGATGTACAGTGAGCAGACAGAGTTACACAGCAAGACATTAAATAATGATAATCTGAAATAGCATTTAATGCCCAGGTATGTGCCAGGCTGTTTGGGCATATAATCCATGCCTACTGGTCAAGCACACAGGAGGCTAATTGCGATATATTCTTTTTAACCCCCCCCCCCTTCATTCTTTTTACTCCCCCCTCCATTCTTTTTCTCCCCCCCTCCATTCTTTTTACTCCCCCCCTCCATTCTTTTTACTCCCCCACCTCCATTTTTTTTACTCCCCCCTCCATTTTTTTTACTCACCTCCCCTTCCCTGTGCAGAGTGGGTGGCCGATCTCCTCTTCGTCCCGTCAGTCCGGCCAGGTACCGCGCGGTACAGGAGATTCAGTTACCTGTTCCCAGCCGGACTGAAAGGAAGTGAGCACTCAGTGTACCTCAATCTCCTGTACCGCGCGGTACCCGGCCGGACTGACAGGATGAAGAAGAGCTCGGCCACACACTCTGCACAGGGAAGGGGAGGTGAGAAGAGAGGCAGTGCGGCAGCCGTCTGAGCGCTCTCTATAGAGCGCTCAGGCAGCTGCAGCATTAGAAGGGCCGGCGATGGGGGCGCAGGGCGCCCCCTGCAGCCATACCCGGCGTATAAGACGACCCCTGACTTTGGAGAAGATTTTCCAGGGTTAAAAAGTCGTATTATATGCCGGAAAATACGGTAGTAATATATCCTGAAAAAAAAGACTTGCGCCCATCATGTTCAACGTTTACATAGCTATACTTGTTTTTGCTAATGATTCAAAAGAAGTGATAAAAACTAGCTGAAGAGATCTCAAGTTTTAACACATAACAGACATTAAAATCCTTCTTGACTCTAAAATAGCAGTCTGATTTCTCATTGGATCACCAGATTGTTACCGCACGTATTAACTAATACATTCTTGAATATTCTGCCTTACCAAGAAAAGCATACCAATGTATTTTGAAATCTATACAAATTCTGATACACGACCTCTTTAGGCAGGGAATTCCTCATGTTTATTAATAAGATACAAAATCTTCATCTTCTAGTCTAAATGGGTGGCCTCTTGACATTTTTTGTACAGTCCTGCTAATGAACAGGTTGCTAAAGAGCTTTTTGTATTGGACCTTTGTATATTTGTGTAATGTTATCATATTCCTTTCGAGACATTTTAATCTAAGCAAATTCAAATTGTCTAGCCTTTATTCAAGTCTAACATTTTCCATTCCCCTTATTCATTTTGAAGTCCACTTCTGCACTCTTTGCAGTTCTATAATATCTTAAAGAGGCACCCAAAATTGCACTGCATATTTGCAATGGGGGTCCTACCATTGATTTGTAAAGAGGCCAAATAATTTTTTCACCCTGTGAACTAATACCAGACCTGTGCACGACTGTTTGTCTGAAATTGTCCATGTGGCATTTCTATTTGCACAAATGTTGTCCTTTCAAATGTTGTCTCTATTTAATAAATCCTATTGTCCCAGCCCTGGGCTCCCCTATGCTGTCACCTGTAGGCATCGATTGGGGGCAGAAATTAAATAATGGAGATATGACAGGTCACTGTCCACACTCCTTGCTCCCTGATTTAAATCCGAGTGGGAGCTCTATTCAAAACATACATGGGGGGACTTGCTAATGTCAGAAGTCTTATTTCATCTTAGGTCTTTTCTTCAGCCCCCAAAAAATGCTAAATACATTTTAAAAAACCCAAAACATAATAACCCACCGCTACTATTAAAAGTAAAAGAAAAATATTGAAATTGCAAATCCAAGTGATAATTCCAAGGCCCAGCACAGACTGTGCTTTCAAGGCAGGAAAAGCCTTTATTAAGGCCTATGCTTTCAAATCTCAGAGCGACTGTGAAAGGTGAGTTATCAGTATTTACCCATTCACAAACTGGAGCAAAAAAAGGTACATAACTCCCATATTTTTCTGCTAGCCCTGGTTAGTCTAGAATGATGGGAGATGCAGTCCAAAACCAGTTGGTTGAAGTCACAGTTCCACACTCCCGTACAAGGGAATTTTGTAGCCAATATGAATCTTTACTTTATATTCATCCAACTGCCAGCTAAATTCAATATGTTTACTTTATTTAACAGGATTTGGCTGAGCCCTTTATATCCACGTATAGCTGAAGGAGCCTCCATTTCTGCTGGTGAACCTGTGACAAACTTCAGGGCAGATCTCATTGCATACTTGGCATCTTACAATTCGCCAAGTCTGAAAGAATGGATGGATATCATTAAACAGCATGATCTATCACAGACCAGGTCTGTAGCCCAAGTGGTACAGTGGGTTGATTGGTGGAGAGCACTATGTGATGCGGTCATTTTATCCAGAGTAGCAGCAGTGGTATAGTAATGAATACTAATTCCTTAGCTTCATTTTAGAGAACTAGCTCACAGATCAGGATAGACATGGGTTTCCCATAGTATCTTCCACTCTATAATGGTTAGATCATACTCTAGGATCTAACTCCAGTCTTCCAAACTTCGATAAGAGTGCTTGAAATGGTAAAACACAGCCATAGCAGCTTGTTTTTAAACCTATGTGTATCAGAGAAAATGGCAGCATTTTGCAACAAGCCAGAGAATTAACTGAGCACATGATTCTTTTTGGATTTTTGACAGTTCACATGAGCCCACTTCCTGGTTTTGTTCCCAGAGATTTTGGTTTCTAATAGAACTTACTGGGGTTAATTCTGCTGATGTACACCTATCCCACCCAGTGTTTCGTATTTGGCAAAATTATCAGCTTAAGAGAACCAGTTCGATAATGTCGACGACTAATCTTGGAGCTGGTCATCTCTGTGGACTACATTTCCAGTGATCCTACGCCAGCCGTTTGACATGAAATCATGGGAAATGATTCCCAAACCTCAGTGTTCCCTGGTTTTGAAACCCACAGTAGTGCTGATGAAGCTTGCATTTTCTTAGCGTATTCAAGGTGTTCCCATACATAAAATTAATGCATGAACATTCTTTTAGATTTTGAGCTATGACTGGCATTTTCTACATAAACATGAAAATTGCTCCTCAAACACTCAGTCATTTTTCTCTTTGAGTGCTTTACATCAGGTAGAGGATATTTTAACTCTTTAAAGAGAGCTCAAAGAGATTAACTAGATTTCTCAGATAGTCTTTGTGCAACATTTTGGTTCCGCAATTAGAGAATGTTAATTGGCTGTTCGAGAATCTGTCCGCAGATGCTGCAGGGGATGTTATGATAACAATAGTGTGTTTCCCGCTGACCAGTTGTGTGCTGGTCTGCATTTGAAAGACAGGATTGGAGTACACTGATATTTATTCCATAGACTAACACATTATTATATGGGTGCAACAGGGGGAAAAGTCTTGCTTTTTCAGTTTATGATGAAGCTTCCTTTAGGTGAAACGCATTCATGTAGTTTGGTGTCGCTCGTATCACAGATCAATACAAATGTTTGCTTTAACACTGATTTTGAGTGCTGGGTTCCATTTAGGCTTTTAGATTGGTTTTGAGAAATGGTGAGAAACCTAAGGGGTATCAGAGAGAAAATAAAAGGGAGTGAATTTAAATTTTTGTTATGTTTGTTTCTTAACTTTGTGCCCAGTAGTTGCATAGGCATTTTATTGACTACAGTTTATAGCTAGTTCATGGGTGTATTCTAAGCTTTTTGGCTCTGGATTTATTGAGTGAGTGTTGAATTTCTAATGATTTTAAGGATCTGAACAAAGCTACTTTTTTACATAACCCTCTATGATTCTCGCAGGGCACTGATCCCATTACCTATATCTGTAATTACAGGGTTTATCTGGTTGGATCAACCCCTGGAAGGTACCAAGGGAATGACAAAGAGAAATGGGGTCATTTGCGTCTGCGAAAGGTAAGCAAAGAGTTTATTGCTTTGGCGCAGAGTTTAGAGACCATTTTCGCTGCAATCTTGCTTGCTGCCTAGTTACAGACTGAATACTGATCCTGACCTTGTAGACTAACTATGCTTGAGTGTAATTTGAATTGTAGCGTATCAAAAAGTAACAGACAATTATAATATAATTATTATATTATTATTGCAACTAGCCTGTATTACGAATTGCAGCTAGGTAGACCTTACTGGAAATCTTTCCTTTATCTCATCACATATAGAGCACAACTACGCTATGTATATATCTTGTTTTTAATACGCATTGTGTCGACCTCACCTAACATGCAGCAGCCTAACGTAACGAATCCCACACCTGATATACCTGGTCTAAGATATTTATGCTAACACAATCTTTAATGTTGTGACATACCCCTGCTCGTAGGCTTGAAGCAACAGCTAAGCATGTATATGACTCTAATATAGTCACAGGTATCTCAGCACTAGCGAGTTTCCCATCATTTATATAGGCTATGATAGACCATGTTTAAACAACTCTTACAAACAAATTCTTACTTGATTCAACTCTACATAAGTTCACGCAAAAGTTCAGCATGTTTCTCATCTTCACGCATGTTTATTATAATATAAAATTGTGCATGTTCACTCTACTACCTCGATTGTAAAGCTTGGTATGAGGCCAGAGGTTTGCCGTTGGGGTACCTCAGGCTTGTATGTAACTTTCTTATGCACTGCAAAAACATACATTTAAAAAAAAAAAAAAAAGTAACAGACAAAAGCTATCATCCTACACATCTAATAAGCGACAGGTGTGAGATTAATATAAAGTGTTTTGACTCAAATGCAGAAAGTTACTAATTCATTCTATCTTGGGATTGAATAGATTTTAAGAGAAAACACTTCTGCCATTGCTGGACAGGAATCCTGGCCTGTGATTGGTCAATTTTCAAGCATAGGATCCATGGGAACTGACAAAACCAAATGGCTGCACTCAGAATTCAGGGAGAGCCTCCAGACACTTGGAAAAGGCGTTACATCTTTGGGGAAAATGGATCCTCCTCTACATTTGGTAAACCTGGAACACTGTTATTTGTGGGTCAAAAAAAATGGGGATTATTATTTCAATGTCAGACTTTGGATACATTTTGTAAACATTTTTGTTCTTTTGTTTAAACGGCTTGTAGTAAGAGGAGAGTGGGAGACTAATTTACTTAGAATCCAGATCTATTACCTGAAATCAGAGGGACACTCCAGGCTGATGACATCAAATGTTAATTCACTATGTAGATGTTTTGTTATAATTGTAAAACATAAAAAATAAATCTTACCTGTGAAGTAGTTGCATTTGAAAGTGTTCCGCTTTCACAGAGAGCTCTGTCCAGATCAGAAATAGCTCATTAAGTCAGGAGGTTTCCGTTTTACCCAAGGGAGACTGAACTTGTGGTATATGTAGTTAAAGCTACTTTCTATAGAGAATCTTTAGGAAAAGTTCCTTTTGTCTGTTTGTTTGAATCTTAAATGCAGACAAAAGATATTTACGAGACCAAGTCAGAATTTCTCATGCCGCTCCCCATCAGCCGGTATGTGCATTGGCTAATAGGATTGCTCATACACAAGATTACCTATGGAAAATCACGCTGTCTCACATGTTCCTTCATAGATCTTGTTGTGTACTCTGACGCATGTACAAGAGCACAAATAGTGACATAGTAGTGCCATTAGCTGGAAAAGTATCGGGGCAAGAAGATGGCAATTTAAGGTACATTTATTTCCCTATATGCTTCCCTCAGCCTGGAAAAGTCATCATGGAGTCTTTGCCAAAAACGTTGAGACAAACTAGTGACAGTGCCACTTTAAGCACTTTACAACAATTTACTTGATCAAAAATGATGAATAGAATGGATGCCTGAGCTGACTTTAGTTTCAGTGGAGCTGCTATCGCTGTACTGACCACACCGTTATCCGCTTTCTCAGTAAAGCTATCAGACTCAATGGCTCAGCTCAGGTTCCCTTTCAAGCTGTGACGCAAGGTGTGTTGGGATAGTGATTGGCATAGCATGCACATTCTGTGCAACTGTTTGACCAGGCAGAGTGGTATGTACACCAGTCATGTACAAACATTCGTTCTGGATGTCTAAGACAAATCAGATGCCTTTTAATTCACATATGGACAAATCAATATGTCCGAGGTTTTTAAGACTCTTCAGGTAAATATCGGATCAATTCAATTCATCTTTATATGGTTTTAAAAAGCAATTCTTATGTCCAGGATGGCCAGAACAAATATTTGCACATGTCTAATTTACAAATTTTTGCTCTGTTATCAACCACTGGTGGGACAGGCTTATAGCGGCACCATATTTTTACAAATCACTCATTAGGTGTGCACAATGAATGCTTGTAAGATACAATGATTTGACTCAAATGCATAAACATACTAATAATTTTGTGTGCACAATAAGGCACTAGATAGAGTAGATTATTTTATTTCACAGTAGTTATGTAAGTACATCTAGCATTTGAGCAACAATAAAATATCCTTCCCTTATTTATAATCTTGTTCCATTATTTTTTAGATATATCCATCAGTGGATAATGTGAGGACCAGTTTGGAAGGCTATCCCGGTAGGTGAATGACCCAGCTCATTACTAATTACAATATATATTTTTTTCCATGTATTTATAATGTTGTTATTATGCAAACTTAAAATGAATAGATCCCTTCTCCGCAGATAGACACTTTATGATAAAGCATAGAGAGGCTTGTAAGTCACAGCCAGGGGAGGTGGGGCTAGAACTGCATACACAAAGTTATTTAACTCCTGAATGGCAGAGAATTGAACAGTTAGACTGTGGGTTCATGATCCATACACCAATACTACTTCATTAAGCTAAAGTTGTTTTGATGCATAACGTGCCCCTTTTAAGTTCAATTAACCGAGAAGGAGATAAGAACTTCAGGAGTAAACACATTGTGCTGTAAAATTGAAACCAATTTTTTTCAGTGAGGTTGTCTGAGTCACAGGCAGGAACCATGTAGCTTGGAATGCATGGAATAATTTAACTTCTAAAGTGCAAATATTTGAGTAGCGGCTGCAAGGGCACAATCCATACATGAAAACTGCATTGATTCGACACTTAGATTATTCCTTAAAGATTATAATCTACCCCAGGGGTTCCCAAAAGGTAGATCCCCAGATGTTGTAGAACTACTACCATGGTACTTTGCATGCCTTTAGAATCCCTTTAGAATTACAAAGCATCATGGAAGCTGTAAAAACCATCTATAGAGCTGCCTTTTGGGCACCCCTGATCTACTGTGTCCCATGTTTAAAGGACCACTATAGGCACCCAGACTACTTCAGCTTAATGAAGTGGTCTGGGTGCCTGGTCCATCTAGGATTAACCCTTTTTGCTGTAAACATAGCAATTTCAGGGAAACTGCTATGTTTACTTTAGGGTTAATCCAGCCTCCAGTGGCTGTCTCATTGACAGCTGCTAGAGGCGCTTCTGCGCTTCTTACTGTGATTTTCACAGTGAGAAGACACCAGCGTCCATAGGAAAACATTGAGAATGCTTTCCTATGGACTGGCTGAATGTGCGCGCGGCTCTTGCCGCACATGCGCATACAGCCGATGACGGAAGAAGAGGGAGTAGATTAACCCCTTCCTCCCCCTTCAGCGCCACGGGAGGGGGACCCTGAGGGTGGGGCACACTCGGGGCACTATAGTGCCAGGAAAACAAGTTTGTTTTCCTGGCACTATAGTGGTCCTTTAAGCCAATAATGCACTGCGTGGGCTCTGTTAAGTTCCCTGCTGTAACCTGCCAGGAGGAGCACTGCCATAGTTTTCTAATGTCTTTATATGATATTACCATAATGCCCAGGTATCTGATGTAAAGATCTTGTTCTAAAAATGTTTGTTCTGCAGCTGGCGGCTCATTGCCATACAGCATCCAGACCGCACAGAAACAGCCATGGCTACATTCATTCTTCCAGTAAGTCGCCAATAAGAATTGTAAGATTTTATTTATTTTCATTACATACTTTTAGAAAATGTTTTAAATGGGAACTGTCACTGTCGACAAATTGTTACAGGAGAGCACAGTTTACATCCAATTCTGCTAGACTGGCAACCTTTATCTTTCTTTCAGCTTTTGTAATTATTGAATGTATTTTTTTCATAGTCCATTCTGTTTTTTGGGGGGAGGGGGGAGCAGTTAATCATCAATAATATTAATAGTGAAGAGTTTCTAAGATGATTATAATGTTCCTTGTCTTACATTGTTAATCAATTTCTTGTTGTTTTTGGACATATTTAAAGGGACATTTTAAGTACCATAATGGCTACATCTTACTATAGTGGTTTTGGTGCATGTTTACATTTTTCAAACAGTATTACACTTCCTAGAGAAGACTTTCAATAATTGAACGTCTTCATGTTCACTGTCATCACACCCAACATTATGACAACCTACACTGGTAATTCTTTTCCTAGAGAAGTATTGGGATAATGTTTCTCTGAGAAGCATCCAATTGACACAGCGAAGTGATTGCTGCACATGTGCTGTAGGGTCCCAATGCTTCTCTATGCGAAGAATTGAATTGGTTTGAGAGATGATCACTACTGATGACCTCATGGCAGATAGTCAGCTGCTAGGGCAAGACTGGGAAAAAGCGATGCTTTAAAAGTGAGTTTAAATTATTCTTTAGACTCCCAAAGAGGAAGAGCAATAGTCATTTTTTTAAAAAGAACTTTCTGAAATTACAAATACATTTGGAACATTAGAGTGTTCCTTTATTATAATTTTTTTTATATTCTTTATTTTTGTTGTGCACAAGAGAACAAAGAATATTGTAATGCCACAATAGCATGCACAAGAGCACCAAATAACACAAGAACACATTTTGCATAATGACACATACATTCAACAATGTTGCATTACGCTGCATTTTTAAGGAACTGAACAATTTTATAGTATAACGGATAGATCAGGGTAGGCAAACATGTCTGCGGACAAGTAAAATAGGGAATTCTAGTAATGGTGAATAAACAGTAGAAATAGAAGTAGAAATCAGGCTACTTATATGTGTCTAAATGGTACACAGAAATTAAAGGATCACTTAAGGGTCAGGAACACAAACACGTATTCCTGACCCTATAGTGTTAACACCACCATCTGGGCCCCTCATGCCTCCATAAATATAGTAAAAATCTTACTGTATTCAAACCTGAAACTGTAACTCTGTATGCTGTTAGACTCAGAAAAACAAGCACTCTGCTGACATGTGGTAGCCTGATCCAATCACAGTGCTTCCCCGTAGGATTGGCTGAGACTGACAAGGAGGTAGATCAGGGGCAGAACCAGCATGATTCAAACACAGCCCTGGCCAATCAGCATCTCTTCATAGAGATGAATTGAATCAATGAATCTCTATGAGGAAAGTTCAGTGTCTGCATGCAGTGGGATGAGATACTGAATGTTTGGAAACATTTTAGGCAGCCATGACCCAGGAAGGATCTCTAACAGCCATCTGAGGAATAAATAACTACATATACATTACAAAAAATATAAATTAATAAAGATTCAAATAAATCTAATGAAAAAAATCCGTACTAATTTATTTTAAAAAACGAGTACTCACTTTTTGAATTTCACCTCCGTTATTCTGCCTTCTGTCTCCAGCCTCCTCTCTCCAGCCAGACTCCTGTCTCCAGCCTTCTGAATCCACATTCCAATCTTCTATCTTCAGGCTGTCAGCACGAGCCAACCCACGCTGTGTTGTTGAAGATCTAATCTTCCAGACTCCCACGCGCTGCTGCTTACAGCCTCAGGGGTGACAGGATGCTCATGCACAGTGCTGCCCTGTGCTTTGTTGACAGCAGATCTGAGTGGATGGAGGCATATTATGCTTCCATCAACTCGGAAGTCCCTCTGGTGGCAGTCTGAGTGACTTCAACTGGAGGTGTTCCTAGCTTTCAATGTAAACACTGTATTTTCTCAGAAAATACAATGTTTACATGAGAAAGGCTGCAGGGAGCTATAGTTTTCACCTGAATAACCCCATTAAGCTGAAGTTGTTCAGGTGACTATAGTGTCCCTTTAAGCTAGTAAGAGAATATGTTCAAGACACGGAGATTATAGGTAGTGTAACACTTAAGTGGCCTCCAGGGCAGAAATAAAGCATTGGGCTTCAGATGCTCAACAATTCTAACTACCACTATTAGGCTGCAGAACGCTACACAAACTATAAGATACGTTATACTAAATGTAGGAAATACTCAAAGCAAAATAAAAACAATCATGTTGTGTGAAGGCATTAGAAGGTGGGGCAACACCAGCCGGCAGGAGTCCCTGGTTGGTCATCCTATGCCTCTCAGGGGCATGTCATATGTTTGTGACAGGCAGGCAGTCATAGGGTGGAAGGGCCAAAGCAGGGGCAGGAGCATCAGAGCTACGTGTGGAGATGAGCCCAGTTGTGGCCCCAAGGGCCTCTGCAATGAGTTAGTCACTCGAAATAAAGCAGGATAAGTCCCCTTCTTAAGCTGATCTGGTGAGATGAGCTCAGCTTTCCCAATGCTATGCTGGCCTGGACGTCTCCACCGTGTTTGGATGTGCCTTGGTCTTGGCGCTATGCTTCTTCTCTGAGGGTGCAGCAGGAGTCTACAGTATGGCTAAGTTCGAAACCCACAAGGGGCATTGCTCTTCTGGCACCCACTAATCCTGCTTTCCAGACAACTCCAGAAGTTGTCAAAGAGGATGTTGAGCTGGGCCTCAAAATCTTGATGATTGACTACGAGGGTATGGAGACATGTGGTCTCCTCCATGCTTGGTAAGTTGAAGCAGGGTCCCTCTGCCTGGATGGCACAGTCCCCCAGTCTTGCAATGGCCCAGGAGCCCATCAGATATAGACCAGGATCGCCCCCCACTGGTTTAACGGGGCTCTTGCATGAAATCTTCTGAGCACCTCTGAGTCAGCCATGTGTGCACTAGTTTCTAGGCCGAATAAGTCACAGTTTGGTGTGTAAGCTCCTGATAAATCGCCAGCTTGTCAGATGGGTCAGGAAGCTCACCCCGGTCTCAGTTCAGCTTTGTTGAGCCAAAGAAATTTGCAATACAATAATTTTGCCAGGATTTTGAAGGAGCTCTCTCGAAACGTGTCTCTCCACCATGACAATCAGGCCCTGCCCCCTTTTAAAATGTATAATTTGTGTATATTTCCTTTGTAGTTAGATTTCTAGTAGTTAAACATCTAGTTGTAGATTTGATTAGAGCAGGGATGCCGCTAGGCAGCAGCTAATTAAATGAAAAATTTGTTTTTAACATAACTACAGCTACCACACCAATGGTTGTTAATGTCTCAGATGGACACTGTACTTACAAAGTATAAACTGTCCTCCTGATAGTAGAACCAATAGTTGGCTGATGGTGTAAATTCTAATAACTTTTCACTGCTTCCTATGCCAGTTATTATTCTTATTATTTTTTTTATCTTCCTTTCTATAATTCATTTCTATTCTAAATGGTACCATATCCCTGTTTTGTTTTTTAAATCTGGCAACAAAAACAGCAGCTCACCAAAAGCAGAACATTAAATATTCCAAAATGTGCCTGTTTTCCTGTACAAACCTTCTGACTCAGCCCTGTCTTTTCTCCAGTAGGTGGAAAGCAGAGACCTCTGGCCGTAGCAGAGCGATGCCTCATATCAAAACGTACATGAGAGTCTCTCCCGACGTCCAGGAGTTGGCCTGGTTTATAGTAACAAGGTAATTCAATTCCCACTATGTCCTATTATAAAACTTCTTTAATAGAGGGAGACAACACAGCTGTAACATCATTTGGATGATAATAATACCAGGAGCCAGATGCACATGGGTATATTTTCACCGTTGCCAACTGCTTCATTAAGTAATGTTTCTAAGTTTTTTTTAAATGTATAATTCCTGCCTGATTTGTATTTAAATTTCTTGTACTGAGGTTGTGAGTGGGTTTGTTTACATTTTACGTTTGCTCTAGCTTGAGGTTGTATCTAAAACTGCCAGGCCCCAAAATTGCCCATAGAACATGGCATATTGCCAATTTCACTGCTTGGGGTGTTGTTTTTGTTGTTGTTGTTGGTTTTTTTTGTTCTTATTTATGTTGTTGGTGAGATAATTCAGTGAATAGATCTACAGCTGACGTATCTAAGAGGCACACGACGGAAGTTTTCCATCATGCTGGCCTATTACGTCTGACGCTGTGTCCTTAAGGGTACAAATTCTCGATGAGGACGCCCTAGGAAAATATTGACATAGATTTCTGTTTGTTTTCTTTGGTCGTCTCAGCACTGATTATCATCTTCTTCTTTCTGATTTTGTGTGTATGTAGCACCCAGTAGAGCAATGGTTAACACATCGTGTGCCTCCAGCAGATAAAATCCTCCAATCCAGTAGCCATAGCTAACTTCCTGATAAAGACATTCCTTTGTAGAAAAACTCCCTGTTTCACAGCCTGAGGTTACTGCTGAGCAGAGAGTCCCACTAGATTTCCACCAAGAACAAACAAACCGCAAGATTCATTAAGTATATCAGCAAGCATGAAGGTTAGGAGAGGGGAGATCAGAATAGAGTCTGTTACATGGAATGATATTGGGAGTTTTGGTAAAATATATGTTTTATTTTGCTTTTGAATTACTGGAAAAGTTTGGAAGAATCTTGCATTATAATGTTTTTTTTTTTTTTTACCCAAGTACATTTGTACAAATAGTTACAAAGGCCCAGGTCAAGGAGAGATATTTAATGGGAGATTCGCTCATACTGCCTTCAACCTTAATCTCAAACTGGTTTAGAACTGCACATTTCCATCCTGAAAATTGGAACCGTTTAGGCACCAAAATCACTTCATCTAATTGAAGTGGTTATGGTGCCTGAAGTCCTCTGGCACCTGCTCATGGTTCAGTGTTCAACTATTTAAGTGGTTTAACACTGACTGAAGGTGCAACCCAGCCCTCCCTGCAGCTATGGCTAAGGCAGATATTACACTCCACATACCAAGTCTTACCAGCTATGGGTGACCACGATAAACTGAGCAAGGTGAGCTGAAACTCTCAGTCAACCGCTATCGCATATCGCTGCTCAAGAGGGAACGGGTTTCGGCTGTTAGCACCCAGAGGCTTTCATTCCATGTTAAACCATTCATTCAGTTTAGCATTGAGCCTTGAGATGGCAGCCAGGAACTTCAAGGACCATAACCACTTCAGTGAAATGAATTGATTATGATGCCTAGAGTATCCCATTGATAAATAATTAACTAACGAGGTCTGTGCTTCTGAGTGCAAGTTATAAAGAGCAAATCAATAGGCCTGTAGCGTTCGTCACATATAGCCCAAAATGTGTTTGCGTTCTATTGTGATGTATCCCCCTGTTTGTACACTATAAATTTTATTATTCATTGAAATTAAAAAAAAAGATTTGCTCCTAATGTGGGTTGTTGCTGTTCTTCACTACCCTTATGGCTGCTAGCAACTACTTGGTTATTTGCAGTAGAGCAACCACAGGTTGTCACGTGACATTTACAGAATATGTAAACTTTATATTTCTAAAGCTAATCCATTTTACAGTCAGGTACAGATGATCAGTGGCTAGGTGTGATTTGAGTTGTACTTCACCACCTAGAAATTTTTATTAAAAAAACCTTTGTGAAAATGGAAGAGAAAATAATTCTGTGGTTTCCAAGGCAATGAGTACAGCTTGTGTGTGTGTTTTCTTTGTCCCCTTGATTATAGTTGTTTTTGTTTTTTCAATCTTCATTTAAAATGCCTATATTTAGAGATTTTTAATTGCAGGACTAAAAAGAAAGATGCATCCTTATTCAAATATGTGAGTTTTGTTATCCTAACATCAGCTGTGTGTGTTGCTAGGAGGCAGTGAATATAAAACTTGTTTTTAGTATGGTAGTAATTGACATCTGCACAAACACCTTTAATTTAACCTCATTGGGGCTCAGTCTTAATTACAATAAATCTGAAAACTTACTGGGGAAGTCTATGTTTAAAAAAAATAATTTCAAAAATCTCATTTTTAATTCACTTGAATAGGACCGTTAAACAAATGCGTTGATTCATTTTAAAATAATTTTCCCAAGTATCTAAAATCCTACATCTTCAGCAAGTTCTGCATCTACGCGGATCCACCCCCTTTTTGCACAGCTTTAACTTCCTTATTTTTAATGAACAATGTCCAATCAAATGCCTCTCATAGAGAAGAATTGGGGACACCATGAACACATTTAGAAACTATTAAAAAAACAAATGCATAAAAATGGATATTTGTAAAAAAATAAATAAATAAAAGATTGAATAATTACTAAATATTTTACAAATTATATGAATAAAATTAAATACTTGGTATCAAGGATAGGTACCCTAACTCGCAAACTTTTGTATTTAAAAAAAAGATTTTTTTGCCAATTTTTATTTAGAGTTTAAACTGCACTGTCTTGCCGAACTTACCTTTCCCCAATCGCTTCCTTTACTCTTCCTCACTCAGAATATGTTCTTCTTTTCTTCCTATCTGATCTAGTACATAAGTAGACATTACTTTGTCTTATGTATTTTTCCTACGCCTAACCTTTTTTGACCAAAGGTGACGGGAGAGGGGGAGATCTACTGTCTCCTCCCCCCACCTCCATCCTTGAGCAGTAGGTCCCCTTCACCTTTGGTCACTGAAGGACCTCCACCTGATTGCCACAGGCTACTCACTGTTTAGTAGACATGCCCCTACTCGCGGCATAGACATATCAACCATAACACAAACAGGGGGGCACGTAGACCCCTATACATTTTATCATATATTTTAACATAGATAGAAGAAATAGGATAGAGAATATTAAAATACAGGCCTAGATCAGGATAGGAGAAAGATCGATAAACAAGAGTAACAGAGCCAAGGGTCAGTAAATGAATAAAAAAGAAAAAAATAATTAGTTCTTGGGCTACTAACCACTATGACAGGGCTATGAAGATAGGTTACCAAAGCTTAATATAGGCCCCTGTAACCTCTGATTGGCCTGCATCAGGTGTGACACCAAAATGAACGTGACCTGCATTGTGTGGGCATGGATAACTAGCAAAAACCCTCTCTTGGCTCCGTGGATTCATGCTAAGCAGACATGGACTTTGACATAATCTGTGCAGATTGCATTTCTTTCTCATTGTTTCACTGGCTTTTCTTCATTTTGTTCCATGTTCTTATTTAAAGGGTCCTTAACTCCTTTACGGACATTAGTAGCACTAGTTGCATTCTTTGAAATTCGTATCGAAAGCTGAATATGTCTCATAAGCCGGGCACAGTTTATTTATAAAATCTGTGAATAAAGAGAAAGCTTTGGCAACATCTTCACTCCCTGGGCAGTGGGCTTCTCATTGTAAATTAAGAAATGGAAAAGGGAAACCTTAATAAGCTCTATTGTACCCCCAGTGTACTGGAAAGTAGCCTTGATGTCTATATACAACATGCTTTCCTTTTTTCCTTTGGGCAAAAAACAAAGCACCCTGTCAATCAGTACCAACCACAGAAAATTCTGAGAAGGTTCCTTAGCAACCAGCCAGCTGCTTATATCCAGGCAAAAATATTCGAAATAAGCATAAGCGCCTGTGTTGGCCGCAGGTTGGTTTGATATTATACATGATGAACCAGAAAGCCGGCAGTGCTGATTAAGAAGTCTTCTACTGTTCGCTTTTATTATTGGCCATGCTTGCCTGGAGACACGTGTAATCATAACAGGATATACGGTATTTCCCACTTCCTGTAACTATAAATACTTCTGGCATTCAGGGCTTTCATGCTTGAATTTTCTGATATAAGCCTCAATTTAATAATAAGCTTTTCAAATGATTCAATACTGTTAGAAACATTTTGCAAATAAATTATCTTCCCATGGACTGTAATGGGAAGTTCTGTAGATTCATCATTTGGAAAAATTTTCTAAAAGTATTGAATAGTCTGGAAAGCTTATTAAATCAACACCATAACCGGGAATTGTTGTTTGCACAGACGGTCCATGATATTGGCAAGTCTGATTTTTCCAGAGCTATCATCAGTGTCAGGTCCCCTGCCCTCGCACCGCTCGCGGTGACCTTGCACACCTCATCACAGCAAGCGGCGCCATCTGGTACCTGTCTCCAGACTGGCAATGTGTTTGATGCTGACCCGGCTAACAGTGATGACCTCAGAGACCACAAGGGAGGGAAGAAACTCCTCCCACATGTTGTGGTTAACACTAATTGAAGGTTAGCCAATCAGACACACCCTGTGTGCATATACGCTAACCTCTCCCTTGTCTCAGTGCCCTGTTGTGGTCTTTGGTTTACCATTGAACATTGCACTTGTTATTTGGATTTCCTGGTTACTAATGTTTGGCTTTGTCTATCGTTATTCTGTCTCTCTGTTTCCCTTGACCTCGGCTCGTGTTTTGACTATCCCCTTTTTGCATAACCCGACCAGTCTAAGGATCGGTATTGTAATTCTCTCTACTCTGTCCTGTCTGCGTGTTAGGGTTCCCTAGTGAACGTGACAACCAGTCTTGATGTTGAGATGTAATGTCCTGGAATGGACAGGTGTCTTTGACATCAAGAAAATTATCTTTTAATAAAGTATGTCTGTATTTGTGAATGTTTTCCACAGCATAGTCCTCGATTTAATATTGTTGGGTAAGCATTTCAAATATAACATTCTAAAATATATTTATATATATATATTTTTAAATAAATAAATTTAAATATTATTACTATTATTATTAGAACTGAAATATCCAAAAAGATATCTTATATAACAAATATATCCATACATAAAAAATTTAAATATTACAAAATTTAAATCTTTCATAATATTGCCTGATTTGAAAATTGTATTAAAAATCTTAACTCTTTTAAAAATCTTATCCAACAATGTTAAATTTGAGGTCGTAGTCTATAAATGACCTACCTGAAGGTCAACTTGGGCTCACCTTGATTTTTTAACAATCGGTTGACTTTATATGTAATAAAATATTGGCAATATACATGCACGTTTTGGGGTAAAAAAAGGGGGTATACTTTTGGTTTTGGAGCGCATCCTTTTTGATGAGATATGAAATATATTTCTTCTAATTGCACTTCAGTTTAGCACAAAGTTCATCGTATTCACAGCTTGAACCACTGCCATATATCTGCACTAGTGTTATGTAGCAATAAACAGTGATTGCTTGCTTGCATGCAGTGCCCAATACTATTTGCAATTCCAAAAGTTAAAAAATAAATAAAAGTATTAGGAATTTAAACTGAAATTGACAACTGATAATGTAAACTCTGTCTCCCACACACCATAAAAAAACAATTTTGCTCATACCATTAATTTCCAATAAATGCGCAGATCCCAGAACTGCCGGTTTTTACCGAACAGGTGATAATACATAACTCACAACATGCAAATTGGACAGAAAAGGTGTTAATTTCTCAACTCGCAAGTGGCGCACTCATGCATAACTTATTGAGTACATATCTTTGTATCCTAAAATGTGATATGCAAGAAAACAAACCTGATACATCGGGATAGATTTTTTTCCTCCACATCTATGACATTTTGGGGTATGCCCATGTACATTAGATGCACAAAATGTTTGCAAGAAAGATTACTGAGGATTCTATACAAAAATTTCCAGCAAGTATGATCAGTTGTTAGAGCAAAAACAGTCTCTCTTTACAACCCAGGTGTTGGCTAGGATACAAAAGGCTATAGTATGGTAGTTCTGTTCCATAATAGCTTAGCTGCATCCTTGTCTTTACACTTTGTTTTGTGCAGCAGATGACCTATTTGAAAGACAGTCACTATGATAGCGTTGCCGACCTATGTACTGTAATCCCGTTGCCTGCTTTGATGTAGCGGATGCTTTAGAAACCTTTTGACATACTTTTAATGCTTTGCTGAATTCCTTTGAACTCAGTAGTACGGCTAATGAATTGTCCATAGATACACGAACATACCCGGATAATATTCTTCATAAAAGAAGGTTGTTAAAGGGAAATTCATCAAAGAAGTATTTGAAGCATAATTATATATTTATTACAATTCAAAGTTTGAGATTTCAGTACAGTTATTTGAATTATGAGAGAGTAGCAAACAACAGTATCATGTTCTAAAAAAAAATGGGAACCATAAGGGATACCTTTCGAAAGAGAGAATCTCAAAAAGGATACAATGAAACAGAATAGAAAGGTAGGCAAACAACAAAGGAAAGAAGGAAAAGAGAATAGTCAAATTAAAGAGGAGGGAAGGGTAGGAGGAGAGGCAAATAGAAGAGGAAGGGAGGGTAGGATGTAAAGGTGTGAGAGGAGGCGAGACACGTCTTATCATTTCCTGCTACAATGTGAAGAAGATATTATGTTATTAGTATTATTATATGAACTTTTCCATGTGTTTCTTAAAGCAACAAATTACACAGACATACACACGCACTTTTCCTAACTGCCTGCTGATCCGACCCCTTTGTGACCAGTAACCATCCAAATCAAGCATAGTGGGCACAGGGAGTATAAAAGAACATGTCATGAACTCGTAATCAGATTGATGAATATCATAGAAACATAGAATGTAACGACAGATAAGAACCATTGCCCTCTGCAGACCCCAAAGGTTATCTCAGTCTGCTGGCAGGGGACAATGCTTTATGGCAGTATTACCAGGCAATTAACAGAGCTGAACACAACACAACTCTGAGCAGGGGGGTAAACATCCACCTTGCCTCACTCCCTGTAAACATTCATTCTGCATGTGGCAAAGATGCCTCTGCCATGTGCTCTTGGAGGAGCCTTCTGGCTTTACAAAGACCTGTAAAAAGAATGTGTGGCGGAATGCCGTCACTAAGTACCGTTCCCACTCGCTTGCTTGCTTATTATTTCCAAGTCTTCAGGCTGGGGATCTCCCCATCTAAGAGGCAATGTATTGTTGTGTGTTCGCAACTCATGTTGGGCTGGATTGGAAGATTGCACTCGTCCCATTCTGGATATGATATTGAAACACAAGGGGTTGTTTGTTCCTGAAAGCTGATGAGCATTAACATGTCAAAGGACTTCCTATCTAGGAGGCAATTAGGACATGTGACAAATGAAAGAGTTGATTTTTGCTACAGCCAGACTTCCAGGCCACTCATGTGTGACTTCTCACACCTGACCGAGTGGCTCTGTTGGGGGGTCCCAGCTTCAAAGATGAACTCGATTGTAAGCTCTTACCTTCTGTGCAATCAATTAACCCCTTTTGAAATATTAAAATGTGTGTGGGGGGCAATTGTAGATTATTTTTTGTTCCTGAGAGATAATTACATTAAAGAGGCTTCCTCACGCAATTATCTCTCAGGCACAGAGGATCATGGGAGGGATTACCCTGTATCTTTGTGTTGGAAAAAAGAATGGTACAGTACTCTCTAAAAGTAATGTATCTAAATAAAACAACACTATGTTGTTGTATTTTTTTTTTTTGCGAGAGTGCTCTACCTTTCTTTTTTTTAATTTAAAATACAATTTTCAGCTCAGATTTGCTGTTTGAATTTCCTAGATGCATTGCCTGAAACAGCCCGCAAATCATATTTTTTGGATCAGTCTAACAGAGCTATATTGTCAATTAAAAATTAAAGTGACGGGTGGCGGGCCCTGACCACAGACTGAGTCAGTCGCATTGTGCTACAGCTCCTCCAGGAAAATCACTAAAATGCATTAAAGTGGGGCGATTCTGCTCTATTTTTGGCTGGAATCCTGCTCTTACTCCTGGGGAGCACACGGTTACCTATCGGAGTCAATTTAACCTGAATCCTGTAGACACAGCGTGTGTTAGACTCCACTACGACCTACAGCTCCAGTTGAGGGCAGGCAGGTGGCCGATCCGCTGCCTCTAATTGGAGCCTATTAATCCTGAGCTCTGTGGGGGATATCCCGGTGCCCTCTGGCATATCATGGTGGTCAGCCTGATGCAACCTCGAGCAACCTGGTGCTATTCCCTTGCAACACACTGCAGATTCTTTACCTAAGATGGCGGCCAGACAAGGCCTGAAGTTACCTCAGGAGCCTCCTCACAGCCCTGCAACAACCATCCTATGTCGCCTGGACAAAATATTTCAGGCCTTCTGGGAAAGGATTTGTGCAAGATCCCAAGCTGGAATACCACAGCATCAGGGGGTCTGAGCTGAAAGCGAACAGTCAGGGAACATTGAACACCCTCAAGGTGATCCTGCTACCACTGCGCCCCTCAGCACAACCGCTCACCTAACTAGGCCGAGAGCCTCACTACATCAACCTCGTGTAAGGAGCATGGCACGGCGCCAGAAGCTTGCACCAACCAGATCACTCACCTATCACAGACTGGGAAAGGACAAGGTGTCTGAGAAGTCCAGAACCCGATGACTATTGATGCAGGCACTCACACAAGCCTGGGGCCAGAAGAGCGTGGATTGTTTGGGCGTGGATACGCCGGCCACCAGCCGAACACTCTGGGCCATGTTACCACACCACAAGACTTTCCAGGATTCACTCAGAGGTTCCCACCTCTAGAAGTCGGCTGATCCTACCTCTCAACCTACAGCTTTGGGTCAGATTCCTCCCCGATTTAAAGCGGACGCTGTCTACCATACTTACTTCCTGCAACTTGATTTCTCTTTATTCATTATTTTCTCTGTTATGCACTAATGAATCGGTTCACTCAGCTCCAGTGACCTTACTTCTCCCTAGCTATATAGCATGTTTAAAGGCAATACTAGTAGTATTGTGGCCTGGACTGCGCTATTATTGCCACCCTTTATATTTCATTTTAATTTCATTTCCTTGTACAGCACGAGGAGCTGTACACTGTTAATGATGCCAGAGGTTAAATCACCTGCTAGTTCCGCTTGTTAGCCTGTTTACGCTAATGCTGATGATGTTTCTAGTAGACAGTAAATAACATGTCTGACTTTCCCTCTCCATTCACAAGTTCATCACCAGCTTAATGTAGACATGTCTGCCTGCTTCTGCCTGTTCTTAAAATACAAAAAATGAGGTATTGCCAATCGTTTCTGAATTGCTATACACTAATTGTTACGGTTACCTCCAAGCTAGCTGAAGGCTGGACCGCTTGGATGTCCTGGTTCCCGATTGTGGAGAGAGAGAAGCGCTGTTACGCAAACCACGAGAATACTGTGAATGTAAAGCAATCCCACTAGCTTGTTCCCACAAAACGAGTTGAGGCTGCGATTTGATGGTCAAAATGAGTTTAATGGCACACAGGCATCGCTATTGATGCAAAACCTCTGGACCTGATGGTATACAGGGACAATACAAACAGTTGACCAATGGCATTACAGTGTATCATTCGAAATGGTCACCGCCCAGCTTGGAGATAATGACTCTAACGGTTATAGCAATTTAATTATCTCCAAGCGCCCAAAATCCCATATTTATTTGTAACAAAAAACAGTATAAAAATATATAACTATGGGGCAGGGCTTAGCGCCAACGGAACAGACAGAGCTTTTTAGAGCTCCGGACACCGACCGTCAAAACCACCACAAAGAGGGGTACCCCACGGCCATCGGATCCCCTAACACAAACCAACACCCTCTGGAAGGGGTGAGCTATGGGCACATGCCTTTTATGTACCCGAAATCGGGCAAGAAAGCTTGACGCAAATCCGGGGCCTACCTCGGATACCCTACCACGCGGGCTGCCGCACAGGACCTCAAGGCTGAGATGGAAGAGCTGTGCAGCTCCCCCTGGAGGCCTGTTGAATCCCTACAGCACACAGACATCATGGGACGTAGAACCCAGAAACAGCAGCCTGACCCCTGCAAACACTCCCAGGATATAGGGGAGATGCTGCAGCACCCAATGGCCCCTAAAATGGCGGCCTAGCCGGACACGGGAACACAAAGTGCTAAACTCACTGGAGAATTACATCCCACCGTAAATGCCAGTACACCCACAACGTCCCAAGAGGAACTGACAGACCCACTAGCTCCTGCTACCAAGCAGGACATTGTCAGCCTCCTCAGGGAGCTGCGACAAGTGTCGGCGGCAGAAATAGCTGTGGTCCGCACCGATGTGCAGGCGGTAAAGGCTCGTACACAAGCCACAGAGGACGCAGTGCTGGAGCTCAGGAGAGAGGTACGGGACTTGAGGGATCAAATGCAAGGCCTCCAACACTCGCATACATCCCTGACACAGAGGGTAGATGTTACAGAGGACCATAACAGACTCCCCAACATCAAAGTCCGAGGTGTCCCAGACTCAATTAGCCAGTTGGAATTGCCACAATACCTACGGTGTCTGGTGGAAACACTCCTACCACACTCCCAGGCTAAAAAAATCCAGTTTGACGGCTGCTACAGAATAAATAAATCAAGACAGGCCCCAACTGAGGCCACCCACAACATAATTATACGCTGCCACTCGGTGTCAGACTGGAACCGCCTCCTGGCTGCGCTGAAGGGCAAAACACCCATGGACTTTGACCTTTCTAGAAACACACTACAATGGCGGAAATCACTAGGAGCGGTCACAAGCCGACTAAGGAAAGCCAAAGTGGAATACCGATGGCTACTACCGAGGGCACTGACGACTACCACAGCAGATGGCAGAACTCTCAGGCTCACTTCTATAACTGATGCCGCAGCATTCCTTCAGGCACTGGGACTGAACACACCCCCGGATGAGCCTAACATATGTATCTCACTCCAGCGCACTCGCTTATCTACTAAACAGTCATTTTAATGATGAACAATTTTCAGTTTTATTAAAAACACCTAATCTAGGCTAAAAATATATAAAAATTTATATTTTTTTGCCTAGATTAGGTGTTTTTAATAAAACTGAAAATTGTTCATCATTAAAATGACTGTTTAGTAGATAAGCGAGTGCGCTGGATTTTCATTTTTACTGTACTTATTGGCCCCCAGCAGCACCCTAATTTAGCATGTGTAGGTGAGTGCAGCCAAACCCTTATTTTCTCGTACTCCACTAATATAAACATTCCTGCATTAGCAGTATCTATCCCCTTTCAATCAGCATCACCGCTAATCCTCCGCATTAATGGGAGCCTCCTACCGTTCAGACTGAGCTGTTACCAGATGAGTAGCTACCCATATATATATTATAGCAGGAGGCTTTGCAGCAAAATGATGTTCAATAAATTGACTTCAAACAGCAGGGACGTCAAACCTTGTAAAGTAATTACATTTCCTCAGTGATTTGCTGATTATTTTGTAAAATGTGAGTCATTAGCTGTGACTGTGCCACAGTTCAGTGTGTGGATTCTGCTATGTGCATTAACCAATAAAACGGTAGCCCAGTCTACTTGTCCTGACACAAAATCATTTCAGATTGGGGCACCTGGCTAGAGCCTTGGACAGTGGCAATGTTATTCAATTAAAGGGACACTCCAGGCACCCAGACCACTTCTGCCCATTGGAGTGGTCTGGGTGCCAACTCCCACTACCCTCAACCCTTGAATTTTTAGAAAATATTTTGATAATTTTTATATATTTGTTTATATCAATTTTACTTAATCGTATTAAAAAGTTTTTCAAAAATAATGAAGGCACACTATAGGCACCTGCACCATTTCATCTCATCTCATTGAAGTGTGTGTATTTGGCATTGCCCCTGTCTTTTTAGCCCTGCAATGTAAAACAATGAAGTTTATCTGCTACATCATTATTTCCATTGCAGGGCTAAACACACCTTTAGTAGCTGTCTTCCTGGCCGCCACTAGGGGAGCTTCTGCTGTGAAAACAGAGCCAGACTGGGGTATCACATGCTTCTTATAGAGAGCACTTGATCAGAGGAGAGCGGCTCTGGCCGCAAATGCGCTTCTTATCAACTCTCTTCGATGAGGAGAATGACATTGGATGACAGGGACGAATTACATAATAAATCTTGACACTCAGTGAGATGTTTACTGGCTGTGTGTAATGTTTGTTGTTTTCTCCCCTCCCTCCCCCACGCATACCTTTCTGGAGTGCGTAGGTCTATTGTCCTTTTATGGTCCATTGGTGGTTAAAGTACCTTGTGGTGTGCACCTCCTGTGGCAGAGCTAAAATTAAAATTAAACCTTGCCTATCCAGGGGATCAGAATTTCCCATCTCTGTGCGTGCACAGTGTAGTTGAGAATTAATAGTGCTTAAGGGTAAAAAAACATAATATGATTATATGAATACATTTCTAAAACCAAGTATTCGTAATGGAATACTCACATATAGGATAGCCATTTAGCTTTTATCTAGAACAGGGTTGAAAAATGTCAAGTCTTGTGCAACTAGACAGGCCTAAAAGTTATTTGCCACTGCAAGCCTAGGGGATCCATGGCACATTTACCAGCAGTGAATTTTCAGTCAATGGCTAGTGAGCAAGTAGGTATTTTTAGCCCTGATCTACAATCTTTCCACTGGTGCCCTTAAAGAAGGCAACCTTCTCTTTATTTATAAAGTAATTACTCCCCAGTGATTTTCTCTAAAATGTGTCACTACATATAAAGCTAAAGGATAGATGCAGATAATAGTGCAGTATGCTGGACTTAACCAAGCATTAATAGATATTTATAATACACTGATCAGCCACAACATTAACACTATCTTCCTAATATCATGTGGTTCCCTCTCGTACTGCCAAAACAGCTTTGATGAGTAGAGTCATGGACTCCATAAGACCTCTGAATGTGTCGTGTGGTATCTGGCACCAATACATTAGTAGCAGATCTTTTAAGTCCTGCACGTTGCGAGGTGGGACATCCATGCATCGGATTTGTTGTTTCAGCACGTCCCACAGATGCTCAGATGGATTGAGAGGACTTTGGAGGCCAAAGCAACACCTTGAACTCTCTGTAACTCTCCTTAAACCATTCCTGAACAATTTTTGCAGTGTTGCGGGGTGCATTATCCTGCTGAAAGAGGCCACTGCCATCAGGGTATACTATTGCCATGAGGTTGTGTACGTGATCTGCAACAATCTCTAGTTGGGTGGTTTGTGTCAAAGTAACATCCACATGAATGCCAGGACAGGTTTCCCAGAAGAAATATGCAGAGAACATAACACTGCCTAAACCGGCCTGCTTTGTTCCATCTCTTCCTCAGGTAAACCATGTACACATCCTGCAATCCACCTTCGCTAAAAGAAAAAGTGACTTGTTAAACCAGGCAACCTTCTTCCATTGCTCCGTTGTCCAGTTCTGATGCCCATGTCCCCATCGAAGGCGCTTTTGGCGGTGGACAGGGGTCATTATGGGCACTCTGATCGGTCTTCGACTACGCAACTCCATACGCAGCAAACTATGAATCACTGTGTGTTCAGACAGCTTTGTATTATGGCCAGCAAGATGGGTTGTTGGTTATAGTAGCTCTTGTGTATGATCGGACCAGACGGGCTAGCCTTCGCTCCCCACATGCATCAGTGAGCCTTGGGTGCCCATGGCCTTGACACCGGTTCATTAGTTGTCCTTCCCTGCACCAGTTTTGGTAGGTACTAACCACTGCATAAATGGAACACACAGCAAGAATTTTTTGGAGATGCACTGACACAGTCCTTTAGCCATCACTTATTTGGTCTTTTTCAAAGTCACTCAGATCTTTTCGCTTGTTTATTTTTTTCTGCTTCCAACACATTCAAGAACTGACTGTTCACTTGCTGCCTAATATATCCCACCCCTTGACAGGTGTCATAACAATTTAATCAATGTTATTCACTTCATCTGTCAGTGGTTTTAATGTTATGGCTGATCAGTATATGTTCACTGGCACTGGGTTAAATAGTAAGTGTATTCTTGAACGCGTTGTACCAGACTATATATACATACACAATATAATGCCAAATAAAATTAAATGTAAAAAAAATATATAAACTGTGAAATATTAAAGAGTGAAAGACAGGCAGGCAAGGGTGTCTTGGAAAAGTATTAATATGCTTTATGTATATATATGTCTATATGTATATTACAAGAAGGCAGTAAAATATTTCCCATATTGCATTGTGTCTTAGAAGGATGAGAGGTGACATATGCCAAGGACACCACTCTATCATGTTTGTGTGTTCTGAGCTCTTGAATAGCGGGGAATAATTATGGATCATCTGGTAGCTCTATGTCCATGCATATTTTGTATTTTAACTCTTTCAGAGTTGGAGATTCTAACCACACAATGTACATTGGCAGACACAACATGAACAGATGCCAACCTTCCAGTCCTGCTTTATCAACGAAGTAGAAGATCAGGTTTCAGTGTGCACCTCTCCGTCGCATACATATTTAACAGAGTGCCTAGCTTGTGATAGGTACTTCGTATCCAAACTTGCCAGCTTGCAGTAGGGATATAATAGTCCGCAAATATAAGATCAGTTTGCGGTATATTAATTACATATTTGCTGTTGTGTGTCTTTCCTTAATTTAGCTGTGTGCAGGGTGTTTTTAATCCTGAAAATAGCATATTTATACCATTTATAATCTCACATTATAGAAGACACACCAACAGTTAATATTGTTTTAGGAAGATAAAACTGTCATGTATCGAGAAAGGTCAAGCAGTCAATTAAATTTGCGTCCTAGTTTGGCGGGCAGAAAATGGCAACTAGCCATAGAAACTGCAAAACTATTTTTTTTTTCATAATTTCGTGTTCCTTTTATTTAGAAGCAATTTGTCGTTTAAAAAGCTTTCTGGTTGAAGATCAGTGGAGAAATAAACGAATCTGTAACTTTGGGATCTGTGAACAAGAGCTATGTGTTGCTTTGGGTTTCACTTTGGCACTCGTTGGGTTAAAGATGATCTCAGCGATTGTCCTGGTAACATAACTGAGGTCCTTATGTAATTGTCTTTAATTCTAGTCAGCGATCAAAGCTTCCTAATAAGAGCATGATATTCAATATGTAAATTGCATCAACTTGACTATTTTTCCACAGAGTGGCTAGAATTTCCATGATGTTATATAGTGAAACGTGCAGGTTTAGAACCCAAATAGATCCTTTTAATGCCCTGGCAGACTCAGTTGGGTATATCTGTGTCATGCATTGTACTACTATCGCCTATTATTAGTTACCTTGGCACATAGTATTATTTAGGCTTTGCTGGGTACAAACAGTAGAGGAATAACTGATAATAAATATCTGATGGGAACAAAGTGCAGTCCTTTTGCAAAGAAAGGGTTAACCTTCATAAAACCATTGTATACCCCATATGGGTGTCTGACTTGTATAAGTAAGTATATTCAGGTTATTTTGTAAAGTTGTAACCTGTCCACGTACACCCCCAATGTAAAACATAATGTTATGCAATCAAACTATTCTCTGAAGCTGTATTCATTGGCTAGTGTACTGCTGAGTTTAAAGGGACACTCCAGATCCTTTAAGCACTTTAGCTTTGTGTGAAGAGTGTGTCCTCTTTTTTAAAATGGTAACACCCCCTTGGCTTTCAAGTAGACAGCAGTTAATATCACTTCCTGGTTTGGTTACCTCAGTGGAACTAAACTCAAGAGGCAGCAATTGCACAGAGCACCTGCCTTGCAAAGGATTCTCATTGAGAACAGGGCCAGACTGGCCTACCGGGATACTGGGAAATTTCAGGGTGACCGACAGGAGGGAATGCGCTCCCCTCCTGCCTGTCACAGAATGTAGTGTGGCCGAGCAGGCAGACCGCGGTAGAGGAGCTTCTGTTCCCCTACACGGTCTGACAGGAAGTGCTCACAGAGAGCACAGAACTGCTTCCTGTCAGACTGGGTACAAGGAGCACTATGAGTGCTTTCTTTCACGTTTGAGTGATAGTTTTCAGTTTTAAGTTTGTTTTTTTCCCCACTCCCATATCTGCACACTATGCTGGCGCGATGCATTATGGGGCAGGTATAGCATTTTTTCCAGGGCTGCTTTTCATTCCCAGTCTGGCTCTGGTTGAGAAGTCTGTGATTGGACAGCCACAGAAAGTCTGGGTGGAGTTAGAAGGGGAGGGCTTTCAAAGGACGAGAGATTTGAAATGTGTTTTTATATATACCCCCAAGGAAAAAATGCATAATTAAATGCATGCAAGTTTTCATTTGGGATATATCTACTAAATAGTGATTTTTATTTATTTTGTATTTGGGCAGTGGACTGTCCCTTTAATATTTAGTTTATGGAGAATTGCTGAGTTCAGTATTTGAAATGCCTCCTGTTCAGTGAAGAAAACCTCACAGTTTAAAGTTTGGTTTCATTGAAGAGCTGCATGGTTTAAAGGTATGTCTATGAAAAACTGTATAAGTCAATGTTTAATTTATAGAGAACAGTGGGGCCCAATGATTCATCTGTGATGATGCTAGGGATCTGCAGAGATAAGTGCTGAAATTGTGGACAGTTTATTCTTCCGTTCTTAAGGAGCTAATGGGTTCCTTGCTTAAGCTATGAAGAACTGCAGAGTTCAATGAGTTGTCTGTGAAAGGGGCAGAGTTCAATGCTTGTTCTAAGACTTCAGAGGATTTCTAACCTAATAATTTTAGCATTTATTGTATCAGGACAAAACTTTCAAATAAGAAGATATACATTTTCTATTAAACTATTAAACTAAATCAAAACTTTTACACATGAGTGAGGTGGTCATGGGCACCATGTCACGTGTGATGTCATCATTGAGGTTTGATGCAACATTTATTAAGATAACCAATTATTGATGACTCAGCCCGTTAATTGCTGGACTTCATAACTCCAGTGTTTTTGCAGCACTGTTATTGAGAGGATGTACTTCTATCACTTTTATTGCCCTATAACCTTGTCTTGCTTTTTGTTTTTTTTTTCATTCAGTGCTAATCTCTCTAAAGCGGCATGGGGATCTTTTGAGAAAAACGGGACCCAAATGTTCATCCGATCCTATGAACTGGGGGTTCTGTTCCTGCCCTCTGCATTTGTAAGTTTATATATTTAAACATGCTCAAAACTCTGCGTTTCCGACAAGAATATATCTTAAAGGAGCACTGTAGTCACCAAAACATCTTTAGTTTTATTAAGCAATTTTTGTGTGTAGATCATGCCTATGAAGTTTCACTGATCAATTCTCTGCCATTTAGGAGTTAAAACACTTTTGTTTCTATTTTTTGCCGCCCTAGCCACACCTATGGCCTGACAGTACCAGTTGCCTGGGGTCCCCAAAATTGGGGCTCTCCCACCTAAATCGGGACAGTTGTGAGGCCTGAAATTATAATGGGATCGGTAGTTCTACAATATCTAAGGATGATTAGATTTTGGTCACCAGTGCCTTAGCATGTGCAGCAAATATTACACAGTGATAATTTATAGAGCATATCTCAGCATCCATATATCATGCTAGCCAAGAATTTTAAATGCATACATAAAATTGTTTGCTTTCTTATGTTCATGTGTTGACTTCTCCTGTATATAATTCCCATGCCACCTGCCCTTTGTATTATCAGTAGTGATGTCCCGAACGGTTCGCCGAACGGTTCGCCACGGACTCATCATTGAGTAAACTTTGACCCTGTACCTCACAGTCAGCAGACATATTCCAGCCAATCAGCAGCAGACCCTCCCTCCCACCTCCAGGATAGCATCCATTTTGAAGCTGCATTCTTAGTGAGCTGTCCAGGAGGTGGGAGGGAGGGTCTGCTGCTGATTGGCTGGAATGTGTCTGCTGATTGTGAGGTACAGGGTCAAAGTTTACTCAATGATGAGTCTGTGGCGAACCATTCGGCGAACCGTTCGGGACATCACTAATTATCAGTAATGTCAACATTTAACCAGGAAGGGTATGTTTATCTTTCACTAGTTTTCACTTACACCTTGGGACCTGCTATCTATCTGAATGAAACATATTGTAAGTCTGAATGAAACCGTCTGTCAATCAACCAAGGATCAGTGATACTACTGATAATTTTATTTTTCCTTTTGTTATTTATCAGAGGTGCTTTGAACACAAAGCCAACCACATTTTTACAAATCCAGGGTTTTCCTTTTTTTTCCTTGTATTGTAGAAAGCTAGAAGCTGCCGTTTAAAAACATTTTTAAGTCGTTTTTGAAAGCCGATGCCCACAAAGATTACTGTTTTCCTATGATACGCAGCTCTTGTTTGTTTCTCAATGCAGAGAAATCACACAGTCGCATCAAGAAAATGATTAGGTTTTCACTTCCCTTACATCTTAATACGAGGTAATTCCACATTAACTTGTGTTTCATGTTATTGCCGTATGAATACATTGACCTGCTGAGTAGGTCTCCTGCTTTGTTAATAGAGCTCTGTCTCCTGATTGAAAAGGGGATTTTTGAGTGGCCAATTTTCTGGAGTCTACATCTGCTTCTAGCCACATGGTTTGTTGTCACCCTCATTGCTATGGAAACTCACCGTATTTATTCCTGTAATTACGTCTTCCACTAAATCTCACTGGAAAGATCCCGTTTTATAGCAAATCTTAGTCTGTTTATATGGGTGTCAATAGTTTGTGCAGATTATAAAGACATCTATTTCACTTAACCTCTATTTGACCCACACCCATTTACTTTTAATTAATTAACAATATTAATGTGTTGGATGACACACATTCGGCGCCATGGTATCGACACGTCTTGTGGAGGTCATGTGTGCATGGAAAATGACATATGTTAAGGATGCTGCTTAGTGCCGTAGAGGGGTAACGCTCTACGTTAAAGCTCATGCCGGGAAGGAAGTTTTGCCACATCAGTGTGAGAAGCTTGAACGTTGGGAGGAACTATTTCTTGACAAGTAAATGTTAAAAGAGAGACCAAGGTAGTCTACATTTTATTTTTTTTTAAATTTTTATTTTTATGTTTGCAGTGCTTATGCATATAACAATTGCATGTGAGGGACCCCAACGGCAATCCTCTAGCGTGTTGTAGTCATTTATAATATTGAGGTATATGAGAAAGCTTGCACAATATTTATAATTATGTAAAAGTTAAACAAGAGTAGCCTAGTCTAGTTACTATATAATACAGGTGTGATGCCGTTGCTCCAGAGGTATAATAACATAAGAAAGAAGCAGGGTTAAGGTCTGCAGCTTGTGCCACTGAGTGCCCAATCAGGACTAAGTGAGGTGACCGGTTAGCCATAGAATATGTCATATGTACAACGGCTTATTAAGAAGCGCCAGTAGATGTGTGGCTCCAGATGGGCCCCTGCAAAGTGGGAGTTTAGACAGTAATACAGGCTGAGCGTTATCTTGGTATTAGTGGTGCTGAGCCTGTGTACGTGAGTGTTCCCTGCGCCACTCTGTATGATGGTCAGATAATGGTGATTATGTCTGTCTGACCAGGCTAGGCATGACCAAGCAATCATAATACATGTTGCACTCGTTAATAGTGGCCATAAGTCTTGCTAGGTATAATAAAGGCATGTAAGTAAATTCTGGAGAACTAGTCATGGAAATAATAAGAGTAAGCAAAACATAATAATAAAACAAAACATATTGCATGGGTTCGTTACAAGATACTCCGTCCGAACTTGCGCCATTCTCCTCATGTTATTACATCCGGTCTGACGCCATCCATGAGAGGGCCTGGCAACAAATTCCTGCGTGGTGAGGGAAAATCAAGCTCACCTCCCCTTGCTGGTACTCTGGACAGTCAGCCAATGCCCCGACGTGGGTCGCCGCTTGCTTTTGGACTCAGTCTGTGCAGGGGGGTCGTGTGGCGGTGTGGGGGAGGGGCGCCCCACCAGCCCCGGGGTTGTGGGAGAGCCGGTACCCTTGTACCACGAACCTGGCGTCCTGTGAGATCCAGGGTCTTCCCGTGAGGGATGTTGCGGTGGGTTTTGCTTGTAGGTAGTGTGTGACCCCCAATGGCGTTTTGTAACCCTCCGCGTGTGTGGTCGGTAACTTCTGGTCGAGACCTTCTTAGCTCTCATCCCAGGTGGGCAGTGTTTGCTTGTAGTGGAAGCTGGGAACAAGTTTGCGCCCTTGAGAGGTTTCCCACTTCTCCCGGCATAGACCTCTTGTGCTCCCATGGGTGTCAGTTGTAGGGCTCCTGCTCACTGTGTGTGGTCCAGCAGTTTCGCCCAGAACCTGGCAAAGATTATGTCGAGTGTGTCTGGTGCTGTAGAGCTGGGCTCTGCTTTGCCTTGCTGTTGCCGGGTTATGCCGCGTGTGGTAGAGCCTTGGGCATCCGCCATTTTGGTTCCCTCCGCTCCCGATCAACTCAGGAGTAGTACAGGGCCTCTGGGACGGGTTAGGCTGCGGTAGCTTGGAGCGACGGAGACCGGGATAACCCCCACCGGTCTTACTGCAGACAGATCTTGTGATCACAGGGGGAAAGTGGCCGTCCTTCCCCCGCACTCTCTCCGGTAGGCCGCACCTTGTTGCCACAGTTCCCGGTCGCTTGGAACACTAACCCCGGTACCAAAAGATGCGGGTGAGTTATTTCTGCTTGTAGGGCTCCGTGGGTACCTTTGTCCGGCACCTGGGCCTGAAAAATCACTGGGTTTGTCGGTCTCTATCAGGAGCTCATGCAAGGCACGTCTGACTAGCTTGCCGGTCAGGCTCCGCCGCCCCTACATTTTACTTTTAAGTATAATCCCTATCACTAGTGCAAAAATAAAATTCTATCTAGACCTGTTGTAGTGAGCAGATAAATTCACATCACTTTGGAGCTAATTTTGTGAAAACTGTTTATTGAGGGAGTCCCACAGTTGAGAAAAAGTTGATTGCTGATGGTGGCTTTGAGATTAGTTAATACTTTCTTTTATATGGTTTAATTTGTGAAGGAAGGGGAATTGTGACTGCAAACAATTGAGCGGTGATTACATAGCCAAGGGAGATCATTAACAGGCAAATGAAACTAATGTCCGCCTATAGCCTTCTATCCTAAAGAGATACGTTTGCTTGGACATATCTTGAAATTTGAAGACGTGCAAGTTTCAAATGAAAGCCTGGATATAGACTGCTTTTAGCATTCCATGGAAGAGGGGAGCAAAGTGTGCATCTATATTGTGAGAGGTACCATAGTAAGCGTTTCCACATGTATGACATGACATGATTCCCTTTTATTCCAGAGGTTTGGTCCTTAAGGGGTTAAGGAGGTACTAAAGCAATGTCTGAAACATTTGTGTAACAGATAGCTTGGATTCAGGTCATGAAGTAGCCTGCAAGAGGTTACAATTGTTAATTCGTGAATCAAGTAGGTGTAGTTTTGGCTATTAAAGGTCACACCGGTGGCAAATATTTTTTTTTTTTAAAGATCAGGCTGTAGAAACCAATCTCATATGTCAGTCTTTGATTGATACTGCAGTCTATTATTCAATTAGCTGAACATTTGGATTAGATGTGTAATTAATATAGCATCTTCCCATTTATTTCACTGTAATTAGTGTATCCTTTTGTATTGTGTGCATTTTAAAGCCCTTTTTTAAGAAGAAAACCTCCCATCCACATTGTGAAGGGAAACTGAGGCATGCGAACGGTTTTCTGACAAGAGAAATTGCTGGTTTCATTACTTTCTGACTGTACTGTTTCATTTTTTTAACCACATCTTTCAAACTTGCCTTTGTGATGTTTGTGAGCAAAATAAACACTCCAGGCCCGGGAACCTGAAAGCGATTGTCAGACGTTTCTTATTCATAAGCGTCAAAGCAGCGTGACTGCTACATTGTGCGTAGGGAGATACACCGCCAACTGTGTTCTTCAATAGGAATTGCTGAAAACCCTTGTGGAAAAAATGCATTTCAGATAGGCAGATGATCCCTCAAGGCAATGCCAACATAGTTTGCTTAATGTGGGAGATGAATTGTTTGCTATTCTCTTACTCAAACATCTCCAATCAAAGCTCTTCTAGCACCAAGTTGTTGATTTTATTTTATTTTCTATACCTTTTTAGTCCACTCCAATGTATTATTATTCCCATTGAATTACTTATATACAGTTATAACTCTGTCATCGTTCTGTTGATTAATCGTGTTTCAGAGTATGGGTGGCCAAAGGTACATCTACCTATTGAAACCCCAGGTTTGATTCCAGCATCATTGATTCAGCCTTTTATTCTTCCAAGGGCAATACAATGGGTACCAGTTAGTTGGGCCTTCATAATTAAGCATAAAATATGTATATAATTATGGAGAATGAAATATGAAAGTAAAAAGCAAAAACAATTATATGTATAAATTAGGGAGTACTTTGTCTAGAACAATGTATAGGTGATGACATATGCTCTTTGTATAATACTGCTGTTTCATAGTTGCAGGAATTGCACACTTTAATGCAAGGTTGGCCACAAGTTAGATATCCTATAATCAAAGAAAATGTGCTTCATTAAGATAGGCAGTCTGTAATATAGTATTTATCTTATTAGTAGCCAAGTGATGCGTCAACTTAAAAGTGTTAAAGTTATCCTTCTTTATACCAGCATTAAAGTGGCACTGTCATCGCTGTTTAGTAGACATGCCCTTACTTGCAGCATTGCAAGTAAGGGCAGGAGGGAGATTTTAAAGTCTCTTAGTTAAGTAAGTTTTACTTATAAAGTTTGGCTGAAAGACCAACTTTGCTCCCTAATACCTGTGGGAATTAGGTGGTTATCTACTTATGGCTGCAGGAATCGGATTGGAATTTCATTTTTCAAATGAAATTCGGAACTGAACAAAATGACCAAATTTCATTTGAACACAAATGGACAAACTATGGGCATTCGGTATGAACAAAATTCGGGCATTTCGCTGGAGCCCTGTCTATATGACAGAACGTTCCGGCAATAGTGAAAGGAGGCATCGCAACACTGAGGAGGGCGAGTATTGTGGGGAAATTAATTTGACCACAGGAAATGGAGCTGACTTAAGCTCCTCCTTCGATCAAAGAAGGTCACGCGTAGGAGAAATACATAAGACAAACTAGTCCCTACTTTGTCTTATATTTTAAAGTAAACTAGATCAGATAGGAAGAAAAGAAGAACAGATTCTGAGAGCGGAAGAGAAGAGGAAACAATAGGAGAAAGGTACTTTTGGAGTAGCACTTTAAACCAGGCAAATGCACATTTTCTCACCTCCATGTCTCTACCCAGAACCTAGGCTCCAAGAGGTATTGTGATCTCTATTTCTTGTCTTCTCATTTTTGATGTATTAATACTACCACTTACTATTTTCTTGTGCTTTTTCCATAGGGCTTGGACAAATTCAGTGTGAAAACGAATATTTATTCTAGAAATGAAAGCTGTGAAAGTGCATTTCCTGTGCCATATGACTTACCTCCCGAGCATTACAGTGGGAAAGGTATGTGATTAGTGATGTATGTGTGACTATGTCTAAACCTGTAAGTTCCTCTACAGCTGGGAGGATTTAGAACAAATGATAATCATGGGCATGTGGCATGTAGAATGGATTCACGTCCCTTGGCTGTATATACAGCTCCATTTGAAACATCACTAGGTGAGGTCCAACTTTCTCACTGTATGCTAAATCCTCTGCCACCACAATCCCTGGCATGGATGCCACTGAAATTTGCAACCATTCTCTGCTTTTCAAAACATCTACACCTACTGTTACCAACTTGTTTAGTAACCCTATCCTTGGCTTCAACACCCCTGTGTTGCGGGAACAGTGCTTCCCCACCCATCCCTGGATTTAGAGATCCATCATGGATTCTGCAGACCGGGAGATCATCCCTGGCATCAGCAACCTCTGTCGGTTTGTGTTGGATGATCCCTAAAAACATGGGGGAACAGTCCTTTGTCCAAGCAGGAATCAATGCAGTTTCTACCATTTTTATTGGAACTCTGGCTTTTTTTCCTGACTCTGACTCCTTGCAGACTCCATCCCTTGGTCAGTGAACATTATGTAGACTATAGTTTCTTTGATGTTGATCCAGCCATAATGCTGTCTGAGCATCGCAAAACGAGCAGGGAACATGCCATTTATATACTACCTATGTATACATCTGTGTGAACACGTGTGTAGGTTTCAGATTGCATCTGGCAGGAGTAGAAAACTAGAATGTGTACACCGCAACTCTACTGGAAAGATACGGAAAGTTGTCTTACTATAAGAATAACCTGCCTCACACCCTGCCTCACACCCTTCTATCATACCTTAAAATACAGTACCCATTTGACTGGCGGAAAACCTCCATTTCGTACCTGGGCATAAAAATGCCAGCATCACAATCGATGATAATACGGGAAAACCACACACCGCTCATACACAGACTAGATCAACAACTCAAGTCCTGGGAGGACAAAGAGATTTCCTGGCTTGGGCGTATCCACACCATAAAAATGATGATTTTACCACATATCCTATATCTATTCCGCACCCTGCCCATTACAATCCCGAACCCCATACTAAAAAACTTTCAGGCTAAGATCAATGCACACATTTGGAAACGAAAACCCCCAAGAATAGCACAAAACTCACTTTGGCGTTCATTCACAAAAGGCAGGGGCTGGGCGTACCCAACATAAAATTATACCACAAAGCTTCAATATTGGCACAAGGCCTTACGATCCTTGAGAGGCAGTCGCCTCCGGTATGGCTAGCGTTGGAGAATGCATGCCTGCCCACTGGCACGATCCCAATGCTTCTCTGGGCAAACACAAAACTAACAAAGACCAAAAACCTGCTACCAGCCACAGAAACGTTGCTCCAAACCTGGAAGCAAACTACCCCACTATTCCTAAGAGAGAATGACCTACTCCTTGCAGCACCGCTTCAGGCCTTGGCTGCCCGAATGACTAACCTGCAGCTAGACAACTGGCTCAGTCGGGGGGTCTCTGTGGTACGCTCCTTGCTAACCCCAGAGGGTATCAAACCATTCCCCGACATAGCCAGGGAATTCCTCATTCCACCTGGGGAAATATTCTCCTACCTGAGAATAAAGAATATAATACAAGAGAGCAGGATTAGCCGGAAAGAATCCAATCTCCTACCACCATTTATCCACAAGTGTATGGGGAAACTTCCCAAGGTTAAAGCACTATCCCTTTGCTACAACACACTTCTAACCCAGTATACAGTAACAAAACCCTCCTGCATGACAAAATGGGAAATGGACCTGGGGATGCAATTCCCAGTAGCCATATAGCACCAGGCTCAGAAGCAAACAAAACAGGCCTCACATAGTCTCAATCAGTGGGAAACATACTGCAAACTAACCATGCGCTGGTACCTGGTCCCCAACAAACTGGCCCACGTATATCCAGGATCGAAACAAACTTTGCTGGAGATGCCAAAAACAAGAGGGGTCCCTCTACCATATATTTTGGACATGCACACAGATTACAACATTATGGCGAGACATTCAAACACTTCTTTGCAAAAGCCTAGGGATTGGGGTTCCTCCGAAACCAGAGTGCTTCTTATTACACATTTTCCCAGACAACCTCCACGAAGATGAAAGCTATTTAACGATCCACTGCCTAATGGCAACCAAAACTGCAATTGCCCAAAGGTAGAAATCCACACAGGCACCCACACTATCAGAGATTCTAGGTAGACTGGATTCGATATATACATACGAACGCATGGCAAGTCGTATCACTGAGAGACAGAGTAGGCATGAAACAAGGTGGCGCAGATGGGTGGATTATAGGTACGGCGAGAAGCAATAGGGACTACGAGTTACACAGCACAACACCAGGGTTCCCAAGTGAAGATGGTTACCCACTGTAACAACGTGTAACAACTTTTAACTTTTAAATTTAAATTTTAACAACAATATAATATTTGCTGCCACAGAACACCAACGCTAATCCCCCCCTCTTTCCCCTCCCTTCCAGCCCCCAACAGTTAGGGCATAAGAAACCAAATCAGTGCCTTAGAACATTTTCAGGAGTACATGTATGTAACTACCAATGTTATGGAATGTATATGGAAGCTGTTGACTTGTGACTACTATCTAATTATGTGAACAGTTGTTAAAGACGCATTTGTATACTTATGATACATTGTATATATATTGGCGCCCTCCCCCTCCCCTTTTTTCCCCTTGTACCCCGTCTTCTCATTATTTCCTTTTAATGCTATGTATGACCAATGAAAATTGAAAAATAAAATACATTGGAAAAAGAATGTGTACACCGCAATGGCCAAGACCATTCCTTTATCCATAAGTGTAAGAACAGACAAAATTCTAGTAAAATACAGTATATAACACATCTGTCTACAGAGATAAATTGAAACAAGTTGTGTTATGGAGGAGGGGTTCCTACTAATAGAGGGGTGATACCTATAGCAATGGTAACCAGTCACACGCACTGTGTTTGCATAAGGAGAGTGCATTATTGTAGCAACAATGGTTTAGCAACAATGGTTTAGTAGACCCAAACCGACCCCCTAGGGTATGAGCATATCTGAGCAGGAAACGTTTTATAGTTTTACGCATTATACTCCGGGAAGGACTCTCCAGGCTGAACGCTGGTAATTAGAGAATTTGTTGTTCTCATTCTTTTGCCACTGACTTCGCAGAAATTGTGTTTCTTCACAGTTTCGGGTCTTTACAACCTTTTTTGGACTGTGACCAGCAATAGATGCTGTATATAACTGGTACATTCTTAAAAACGCATTATGCTGTGCATTGGTTCTGAAAGACTCTGCGGAAATTGGATGTATTTTCATTCTGAACTCATTATGTGTGGCTTTGTGTTATTCAGCTCTGCGAGGCATTACAGTTCATTTTGGAAGGGTTTTTTTTGTTTTTTTTCCATCATCCTTTCTTTTCTGTTTAAAGAAAAAATAAGATTTCCATCATTTTTGCTGTTAACTGTGAAAGTGTAAGAATTATAGCAGATATGTAATAAATATTACAACCACATTGGTCAAATATGGATACATCAACAATACTGTATGTCTCTAGGTTAACCTGTCTCTTCATTATCTTACTGTCTGTGTATATCTAACTTTCTTTCCTTATGTCACTTTATTCTCTACTCTCTTGCTATCTCTCCATCTCTATCTCTCTCTTGCTATTTCTCTTTTGCTATCTCTCTCTTGCTATCTCTTTCACCCTCTCTCTCACTCTCTCTCTCTTTCTATCTCTCTCACCATCTCTCTCTCTTTCTATCTCTCACCATCTCTCTCTCTTTCTCTCTCACCATCTCTCTCTCTTTCTCTCTCACCATCTCTCTCTCTTTCTATCTATCTCTCACCATCTCTCTCTTGCTATCTCTCACCATCCCTCTCTCTTGCTATCTCTCACCATCCTTCTCTCGCTATCTCTCCATCTCTCTTGCTATCTCTCCATCTCTTGTTATCTCTCTTTAATGTGGATAAGTGCAAGATAATGCATCTTGGACGTAAAAACCCAAGAGCAGAGTACAGAATATTTGATAGAGTCCTAACCTCAACATATGAGGAAAGGGATTTAGGGGTGATTATTTCTGATGACTTAAAGGTAGGCAGACAATGTAATAGAGCAGCAGGAAATGCTAGCAGAATGCTTGGTTGTATAGGGAGAGGTATTAGCAGTAGAAAGAGGGAAGTGCTCATGCCATTGTTCAGAACACTGGTGAGACCTCACTTGGAGTATTGTACACAGTACTGGAGACCGTATCTACAGAAGGATATTGATACCTTAGAGAGGGTTCAGAGAAGGGCTACTAAACTGGTTCATGGATTGCGGGATAAAACTTACCAGGAAAGGTTAAAGGATCTTAACATGTATAGCTTGGAGGAAAGACGAGACAGGGGGGATATGATAGAAACATTTAAATATATAAAGGGAATCAACACAGTAAAGGAGGAGACTATATTTAAAAGAAGAAAAACTACCACAACAAGAGGACATAGTCTTAAATTAGAGGGACAAAGGTTTAAAAATAATATAAGGAAGTATTACTTTACTGAGAGGGTAGTGGATGCATGGAATAGCCTTCCAGCTGAAGTGGTAGAGGTTAACACAGTAAAGGAGTTTAAGCATGCGTGGGATAGGCATAAGGCTATCCTAACTATACGATAAGGCCAGGGACTAATGAAAGTATTTAGAAAATTGGGCAGACTAGATGGGCCGAATGGTTCTATTCTATGTTTCTATGTTTCTCTCCATCTCTTGTTATCTCTCAGACCATTCCTCTCTTGCATTTTCTCCATCTCTCTCTTGCTATCTCTGTTGCTATCTCTCCATCTGCCTCTTGCTATCTTTCTAACCACCTCTCTATTGCTCTCTCTCCATCTCTCTATTGCTATCTCTCTTATCCCTCGATTGCTGTCTCTCTATCTCTATATTGCTGTCTCTATATTGCTGTCTCTCCATCTCTATATATCTGTCTCTCCATCTCTCTATTGCTGTCTCTCCATCTCTCTATTGCTGTCTCCCTCTCTCTCCATGTCTCTATTGCTATCTTTCTCTCACAATTTATCTCTCACTTTCTCTCCATCTCTCGCTTGCTGTCTCTCACTATATCTCCCTCTCACTAACTTTCCATCTTTCTCTTGCTATCTCTCCACAACCCTCTTATTATCTCTCAGTTTCTCTATATGACTCTTGCTTAGTGATGTCCCGAACGGTTCGCCGAACGGTTCGCCGCGGACGGTGAACATATGCGGTAAACTTTGACCCTGTACCTCACAGTCAGCAGACACATTCCAGCCAATCAGCAGCAGACCCTCCCTCCCAGACCCTCCCACCTCTTGGACAGAATCCATTTTACATTCATTGTGAAACTGCATTCTTAGTGAGCTGTCCAGGAGGTGGGAGGGTCTGGGAGGGAGGGTCTGCTGCTGATTGGCTGGAATGTGTCTGCTGACTGTGAGGTACAGGGTCAAAGTTTACCGCATATGTTCGCCGTCCGCGGCGAACCGTTCGGGACATCACTACTCTTGCTATCTTTCTCTATCTCTCCATCACTCAGTATCTCTTCTCTCTGGCCATCCCTCCATCTTGCTCTCTCTCCATCACACAATATCTCTCACTCTTTAGCTGACACTCTAGCGATTGTGTATAAAAAGTGGGCTTGTTTCCGTTTCATGTTTGTACCAGCAGCTAACCTGTTAATTTAAAAAAAATAAAGAGGGCAAAGACACACTCATTGTTTTATTGACCAAAAAGGAAGAACAAGAAAGTTGCCAATCTGACAGTGATGGAAAGATTTGTCAGAAAGTCATACTTTTGTGCACTGTTTTATATTTTGGGGGGAACGCACCAGTAACTGAGAAAAAAAATGACAAAATAGGCAGTAAGAAATTCTGTTTATTCGATTTAATCGCGATCACTTGTTGTCTTTAATTTTACTTACCATCTTTTGATGTCTCTAACAATCTGTTGCGTTTCCTGTCTGTCTCTATTGCTATGTGTCAGTAGTCTGTCTGCTCTCTATTACTATAACTATTTGTCTTTTGATCTGATTTTCTCACACACCGTTTCGCCGATAGCATTTTATTTTTCCAGTGGGTAGCAGCAGGTAGAACATTGAGTGGTTAATGCATTCCCCACTAGATCTAAGACCATGGGAGGAGGTATCACAATTCGCATGAAGTGTAACAATGTGTAGATCTTACAGGCTTTCAGCACTACAAGATGTCCATTCACAATAGAAAAAAACACAATATAGCACTCATGTTTGTCAAATAAAGAACAACAATATTTGTGTCAACAACAGCAATACATATATCATTATGCTAGGATGTGAAGGTAATTGTGTTTCATCTACTGCCAATAAGGTAACTTTGTAAATCCAATTGTAAAATTCCAGAAAGATGTTTCCTTAACATGCCTGTATATATACTATTTTACTGTCTTTTTCCAGTTTTATTGATTGACATACATTGAGGGATTTCTTATCACGCCTCTAACTTAAAGAATTTTAGCTTTTGTGTAAATAAAACAGAACAATTCCCACATTTGACTGAAGTGAATAACATTGATTATATTGTTACAATGGCATCTTTCAATGGTTGTTGATATATCATGCAGCAAGTGAACAGTCAGTTCTTACATTTCATGTGTTGGAAGCAGGAATAATGGACAAGCAGAAAGATCTAAGTGACTTTGACAAGGTCCAAATAACTGATGGCTAGATGATTGGGTCAGAGCATCTCCAAAACAGAAAGTCTTGTAGTGTTCCCAGTATGCGGTGGCTAGTACCTACCAAAAGTGGTGCAAGAAAGGACAACCAGTAAACCTTCCTCATAGTCATGGGTGCCCAAGGCTCATTGATTCACGTGGGGAGCGAAGGCTAGCCCTTCTGGTCCGATCACACAAAAGAGCTACTGTAGCTTAAATTGCTGAAAAACCTAATGCTGACCATGATAGAAAGCTGTCAGAACACACAATGCATCACAGTTTTCTGTGTACAGGCCTTGTGTAGTTGGAGACCAGTCAGAGTGCCCATGATGACCCCTGTGCACTGCCGAAAGTATCTTCAATGGGGACATGAGCATTAGAACTGGACCATGGAGCAATGGAAGAATGTTGCCTGGTCTGATGGATCACATTTTCTTTTTGATCCGGTGGATGGCCAGGTGCATTGGCGTTGTTTACCTGTGGAAGAGATGGCAGCAGGATGCACTATGGGAAGAAGGCACCCCAGCAGAGACAGTTTTATGCTCTTGGAAATGTTCTGCTGGGAAATCTTGTGTCCTAGCATTCATGTGGATGTCACTTTGACACGTACCACCTACCTAGAGATTGTTGTCGACCACATACACCTCTTTATGGCAATGGTATTTGTAGCAGAACAGTAGTATTATCCACGGTATCTCCGCTGGTAGACAGAATCAAGCAGGTACAAAGCAGGTAAAATCCAGGTAGCGTAGTTACAATCCCTTCCTCCCAAGAACTAGACAACACATAGCTTGGAGGTCAACTGAGGTTTATTTTCAGGTCACGGTATTTATGGGATTCCCCATGCAAGGGGTTTCCCTACTGACATTTCAGGGGTTGTACAGTAGGGGACTACATGGGGAACTGCCCAACACATAAATTTTTTCCATCATGCACTGCTGGACGAGAGGGATACTTCCACTGGAATATTCCGTTAATGGGATTATCCCTCCGTGCAGCAGAACTTACATTTTACATTAAAATCCATAACTTTAACAATATTCACTGGTTTTACACGAATGGACGTTCGGTAGATAGCTGGAGGCTGAGCGCATTGTTCGTGAGAATACCGCTCAGCTCCCAGTCTAACTAACCGAATGCCATACGAAATACACATAAATTCTAATATAGGTTTTAAAATACCGATTATTGTAAGGGGAATAACCTACCGAACGGCCGGGGTTCCCGAACGGCCTGGAAGTCCAGCGGTGTTCGCGCCGTCAAGTAGCCGTTTTTAGTTCCAGGCGCTCGCCGACAAAACGCTGGGCTAACAAAAGAACCAAGATGGCCGACCGCCGCGTGGTCGGTAGTCGAACGAAGGCCACCTAGAAACACTCTTAATTACCGATTGCAACATTGTTGCAATCGGTTAATGGGTGCCACACGACCCCCTGTGTGTGTGGTCGTGCGTTAGGTATGTTATTCGTTTCACGAACAGTGTTTAAACTCACTGTTCGTGAAACTACATTATGAATGCTGGGGTTTTCATACCGCCAGCATACGAATGCCCTCATTCGCCTGAAATACAAATAGCAGTCTGCATTGATTTTTATGGCTTAGCAAAGTACACACATATTGATACATTCATAGTCTCTAGTGGCTAGTTTTGCCACAGTATTCCTTGATGGCAGTGGCCTCTTTCAGCAAGATAATGCATCTTGCCACACTGCAAAAATTGTTCAGGCATAGTTTGAGGAACATGACAAAGAGCCTCAAAATTCCTCAGATCTCAATCCAATTTGAGCTTCTGTGGGATGTGCTGGAACAACAAATTCGATCCATGGAGGCCCCATCTCGCAACTTTCAGGACTTAAAGAATCTTCTGCTAATGTCTCGGTGCCAGATAACACAGGACACATTCGGAGGTCTTGTGAAGTCTACATCTCGAAGCATCAGAGCAGGTTTGGCAAAACGAGGGGGACCTACTCAATATTAGTCAGGTGATTTTAATGTCGCTGATCAGTGTATGCCCTCTATATGTGCTGTGAGGAGTCAGTGGTTTCCCTTTGAACAGTTACAGACTTTGTAGACATCTGCAGTGTGTTCAGTTTTCACAATCGTTTTCCATATAATGTTTATCACCCTTACACACTTTTCCATTCCTCAAGTTATATCACTCTTTACAGACACTATATTCATTATATATCCCTATCCTGAATATTCTCATTGCTACTGTATCACCTCTTCAGATCATTCCTTTCTTATCTCGTTCCCCACACAGACCAGCATGGACTGGCCATCTTACTTCCATGTAAACCATGAGTCTGGAATTTCGTTTTACCTAGCCATGCCTAAGCCTGATCATAGCTGATCGTATGTAAAACCTGTGCTATTTAAGAAAGTATTGGTTCCCCACCAAAGAATTGTTTTTCACATTTTATAGAGACTCTAAAGAACTCATGTCCTCGACCTGTACATGAACCATGCTAATAGAGAAAAAGCCTATGGCTAATTGCCATTTTTGTCCAGTCAGTCTATACCTATATTTAACAGCTATTTATCTACAGTTATTCTGCCAGTAAGTCTTCAAACACAAGGAACCTATAGCTAACTGCTGTTTATCTCCACTACTTCTGCCAGTAGCAGACCGTTACTTGTCCAGGTTCAATCTTTTGAGTGCTCAAAGCCCATAGTAAAAACCTTGCATTTTAGCACATGAATTTGCAATGATTTTTATAAGATCTTGTTCCTGGGTAAGGTGTATATCTAATCGGATTCTGTGTGCACATAGCTGAACAGAAAGGCTGTCAATAAAGCACTTTCATGTAGTAATCAAGCTATTTTCCTCAAAATAAGAGCAACTTTAGGAAACATTGAAGAGTAGAAAATAGATTTGTTCAAAGTGTTTTGAACAGTTTGCTCTCAGACAGCCTCTTGCCTCTTTATTTGTATTCATTAGTGGTTTTGCCCCTGCTTTTGGACTTGAGTTGAAATTCCTTCAGTGCTGATGTACATGTTTCTATGGGAACCCATAAAAAAGATAGAAGTTAGTTTGGCTTGGGTTGGACGTGCACCATAAAACTACCAGTCAATGTCTTTCAAGGACTGGTTTACAAGTGTTGGATTTAATGGTGAATATGGAATAATTACTAATAATTATAATTGTAATAAAACTGTATAACAAGAAAGAAAACATTCTGATTTTCATCGGCTTGCATGGGTTAAGCGAAGAAGCCCTATTGAGTCTTTTTAGAGAAATAAGCTGACGGAAGTTGTGGTTAATTATATTGAAATACAGAGAGAACTGTATTGAAGGCGCTTAGGTGTATAAAGAATTTGAACAAAGGGTAATGGGGTTGCTTCAACACTCTTGTGGAGGTCCCTCACACCCACCTCAAATTATAGAAACCAAAGAAACAGGAAAAAAGCCAAAGGCAGTTCACCTATATGAGTGGAGCATGCAGTGATATAGTTGGACACCTACCCTGTAAAAAGGGGTCGTCTAGTCCTGGTATTATAATGATATCACTTTAAATTCAGCATATTTCTCTAGAATTTGCTGTGTCTTTCTAAAAACTGTGTGGCTGCTCCAAATATAAATGACCATGTTTTCCAATCGTATGCAATGTGGTAAGAATATAGATTTGATGTTTGAACAAACTATCTCCATGGAAAATATAGGTGATAATATTGACATACAAAATTGTCAACACAAACTAGAAAAAGCATTAGGGAGAGAAATGAAAATAAAATGGGAGGTGGCCACAATGAAAAAATTACCCCCAGGGGCCTCCGATTTACGAAAAATCCGTCTTTCGATCAGGACGAGGAAGAATTTGTAGAGGAATGGGTTAATATGCTGGAAAGCTTCTCTTTTGGGCTAGTGGGCCTAATTGTTAAAAGAAGAACAAGTACTCTTAAGAAAATTGATAATGAAATCAATACCTTACAGGATATACTGAATATGAATATGTCATCCGAAAGATATTCATCCATGGTGGAGGATATCCAATTAATATAAGCAAATTAGAAAAAACAGTAATAGCTACTAAAAAAAAAGGCAATATGTCAGGAATAAAAACGATTATGCCCGTAATCAGGGCATAATAAACCAATAATTAAATTCAATGTATATGTGGACCTCCAAAAATTTAAAAGAAAACTATGCCTCAAAAAGTTTTTTCTAAAAAATCCTGTAAATCATACTGATCCCCCCCCCCCCCAATATGAATTTGTCCACTCTAACCTTAAAGATCCATCCACCTTTTATCCCCACTCTCTCATCTCAGAAGAGATCATTACATTTGAAAAAATGGTAATGAAGGAAGTTATGAATCTGAAAGAGCCAAAAGCGTGGGAATATAACCTAAATTGTGAAGAAAGAAATACCTTAGAATATCTAAAGAAAGACGACACACTGGTAATTAAACCAGCTGATAAGGGAGGGGGTATAGTCCTAATTGAAAAAGAAAATAGCATCAAAGAATGTCAAAGACTACTGATGGATGTAATGATATAAAAATATCCTATAATCAGCTTATAGATCAGGGAAAATTACTGGGGATTCTGAATAACAAGGAACATAAACTCCTTAGTATTCCACATCCAAGAACACCAGTATTTTATCAACTTCCTAAAATACACAAGGATAGACTTCATCGTCCAGGAAGACCTATCGTGTCGGGCATAGGCTCTATATTTAGCCGTCTCTCCCAGTACATAGACAGGTGCCTTCAATCTGCAGTTCTACGGTGCCCAAGTCATCTTAAAGACACACTGAGCATACTTAACATCCTGAAAAATCAGGTATGGGAGGAAGACTTTCTCTTAGTAACAGCGGATGTAAGTTCACTCTATACCATCATTTCCCATGAACGAGGATGCCAGGCTACCAGATTCTTCTTGGAGAAATTTAAAGAATTCCCCAGTGACCAGATAGATTTCATCGTCGAGGGTATAAAGTCGATCCTCACAAACAACTATTTTTGGTTTGGAGGCGATTTTTTTTCTCCAAATCTGTGGTATGGCGATGGGCACCAGGTTCGTCCCCAGCTACGCCAATCTGTTCATGTCATCTTGGGAACATCAATGTATATATACCAGGCGGGACTGGGAGGCGAATCTGGTGCTCTATCGCCGTTATATAGATGATATTTTTTTAATTTGGAGGGTTGACGAATTGTTCCTACTGACCTTTCTGTCAGAACTAAACGACAACACATGGGGCATTAAATTAGAAAGCAATTACAGCCGACAGTCTGTCAATTTTTTTGGACCTTCAAATATACATAGACGAAGGAATGATTAAGACCAAAACGTACTTCATAAAGGTGGATGTAAATAGTTATATTGAGGAGACCAGCTGCCACTTTTCACTGTGGCTCACCAATGCACCAAAAGCACAACTGATGAGGATCAGACGTAATTGTACAGATAATGAAGTTTTTAATACCCAATCCTGCAAAATCCTTAATGATTTTAAACAAAAGGGCTATAATGCCCAACTATTGGATAATGCCCAACGTGAAGTTGCTTCAAAAGACAGTCACTCCTACAGTATAAGGCACCGTCCTCAGAGACAGATGAACGCAACTTAGCATTCATTTGTGATTTCAGCTGCCATAGCTACTATTAAAAAGAATTTTCCAGAAATATTGGCCAATCCTACAGAATGATACGTTTCTAAATAGGGTCCTGCCAAATAAACCCATTTTTACTTACAGAGGACTACCCAGCTTAAAGACAAATTTGGTACGTAACCATATAAAAGATCATACAGGAATTAGAAATGCTTTTAATAAAAAAAATGGCTTCTATGGATGCGGCACATGTGGTGCCTGCAGAAATAGTGGCCTAAGAAAGAGATATATAACCTCATTTCCTCCCCATGATCCTCAACTCCCAAATAAGCAACATAATAATTATAAAATAAAACAACTTATAACCTGTTACTCCAAGCGAGTTATTTAACTCATGACGTGCCAATGCGGTTTAAATTACGTAGGCAGGACCACTAGATCCCTCCATGTAAGGATACAAGAACACATCCGCAATATTAGGAAGGGATTTGACAAACATAGTCTTTCAGCGCATTTTAAACAAAATCATAACTGCGATCCGACACAACTTACGTTTAGTGGTATCCAAATTATAGATATCAACTGGAGGGGGGAAGACCATATAAGGAAGATGGGACAACATGAGATGAAATGGATTTTCAATCTCAACACCATGATCCCTAGCGGCCTTAATGGCGACTTTGAAATGTGCCATTTCTTGTAACAATTAAATACACTTTTCGAGTAGCAGATATTGGGTTTTCCATCTTCATTATCCATTTGATATTTCAATTTTATCTTTTCCATAGTGTGTCTGTTATATTTATTTACAATCAATGTTAAATTTATAAACATAATGGCAATACTGTAACTACAGGTGACTTCTAAATAGAATCACTATTCAAATATAACTAAGTCTAGGTAATTCAGATATAATGTTCCTCTATTTACCTTTATATATATTTATATAGGATTTCCCTTGGAAGAATTTGAGCTTCCTTTAAAGGACCACTATAGTGCCAGGAAAACATACTCGTTTTCTTGGCACTATAGTTCCCCTACTCTCAGGGTCCCCCTCCCGCCGGGCGGGGACTCTCCTCCTCCTCCTAGGCTGCGCGCGCATTCAGCCTGTCCATAGGAAAGCATTCTCAATGCTTTCCTATGGACGCTGGCGTCTTCTCACTTTGAAAATCACAGTGAGAAGCGCGGAAGCGCCTCTAGCGGCTGTCAATGAGACAGCCACTAGAGGCTGGATTAACCCATAGGTAAACATAGCAGTTTCTCTGAAACTGCTATGTTTATAGAAAAATGGGTTAACCCTAGCTGGACCTGGCACCCAGACCACTTCATTAAGCTGAAGTGGTCTGGGTGCCTATAGTGGTCCTTTAAGCAACAAAATGTAGATCAAAATAATCAAGTTTGTTAATATATATGTTATGTTATTGTTTTATTTTTTATTAGAAATATATGTAACTCATTGTGTACTGATATGTATATTCCCAATTTCTATTCCCTTCTTTTTTCCCCGTTTTTCTACACAAACGAGGATTAAAACTACCATTCAGGACAAAGGATACGTGCTTCCATCATGTATATATGTTTAAATGACATTGCCTCATTAATATACATTGACAGGGAAAATGGAGATGATAGGCACGATCATATGGTGCTCTACCATTCTCCCCATCTATTGCCCACATGCAAAATGGCGATCGTATTACCGGAAGTGGCGCAGCAAAGTGCCTGACGTCACTTCAAGTTACGGACATAACGAGAAGCATGTTGAAAACGGAACTAAATGAGCAATTATACACTCCCCCCAAATGAAGCATCAGATTGGTTAACGAGCAGTAAATTCCACCAGTGGGAAATAGGACCACCTTATTTGAACAGATAACGAAGGAGCAGTGAATACCAATTGAGAAAGCCCTCAAGTAGGGTGAAACGCGTCTCGGAATTGAAGGACACATTTGGGACATTCTTTATTCATTTTTATTTGTTATTTTTATAGTATTTATTTTTATTTTAACTGCTTGTTGGCAGAATAAATTTCATTTTTATTCAAGTTCGTCTTTGGTCCTCATCAAGCTGCTCCAAGAAGGGAAGGTGTCCCCTCTAATTGACACCTATCCTAACAAACTCAGAGCCGGTTACCAAGGCTCTGAATAAAGTGAGCACTTATTTTAAGTCACAGCATAATCACCTTTATTCTATAAGTACTACACTATATTACTCTCCATTGTACCATCTTTATATCTCCACACTCTGAGAAAAATCACCAACACTCTTAAAGGGGACAAGTACCACCAGACGGTACTAAAGCGCAAGTGATCTGAGCCTATCCCATTCCAGGCTCTGTACCACGTGAGTTGGCATTTTGCTTGATTATCTTACAACAACTAATCATTATACAGATTTACACTATCACCTCCTTTCATGTGTTCTTTCTCCTTATTTATGTATATGCTGAATTTAAAGTGATATCATTACAATACCAGGACTAGATGACCCCTTTTTGTCTCTCCATTCAGTGTTAAACCACGTTCAAGCCGTTTAATACTAAATAAGGGTCCCTGGCCACCCACAGTCCGGCCCTTTCTGGAGGTGTGGCTAAGGCAGAGCTAACACACTTCCTTGTTGTCATACCCATCCATACCTTCAGTTGGAGCTGTGATAGGCTAAAAGCAGTCAGCGGACACAACTTAAGGCAATTTTTTATTTTTTTGCTCCTATGCAAGGGCTGGATGACTATGCAACACTGCAAGAGCTAAACTATAGAGGACAGCAGCAAAAGGTTTAACTTGATAGATTCAATACTTTTTTTTCCTTCAACCTATAATACCATGTAACTGGAGGTTTAAAGTTTTGTACAGAATGTAGACATCTGATGGTCAGTCACCAGCCGCCACCCAACAAAGGCACTGTAAATGGAAGATCTTCAAAACCTGCGTGCTTCTAGTCAAGGCTGATAGTTATGCAAGGGGAGATATCACAATTGAGTCAGCCTTGGTGCGGGAAAATCACGGCAAGAGGGAGCTAGCCACACTGGAGCGGTACGTAGCAAGGCGAGTCTCTGACAAATGGCAGTGAATTCTAAATGATTAATTATTCCAAAAACTTTTGTGACCATGAAAGCTGTATTGTAGCTCCACATCTCACCCTGCTTACTTTTCTGAATTTCAACAGAGAGAAAAAAAATATATAACATAATATGTCTTTAGCCACACATCTGCTGACAGTTTGGCCTGAAAAGGGCAAATATTGAGCTTTTTAAACCCTAATTTTGTTTCTGTCTGTGATTAATAACTCAAACATTAGATTCAGCACCAGGCTTATGCTTCCTACTCTCTCCCCTGATGGCTGGGATCAGAATCTTGTGAAGTCGTGCCAAGCTTATCTATACATTCAGCATGAAAGCCTACCAATTCTTCAATGCTTCTTTGGGAGTTGCCAGGAATCATTTAGAATTTTTTTCCTTTTATCTCCAGAAATGCTATACAGAAATAGTGGAGATGCGTGTTGAATACATTTACAATCTACGTTCATACATGTCTAATTATGCTCTTTTATAGAAGACCAAATTAATCCACGGGTATCTATGACATTCTACACCTACCAGCCAACAGATGTTCTGTATGTTATCAAATCTGGAACTAAATTAAAGTAACCATTTACAGTGGTTATGGTGCCAGTAGTTACCAGTGTCTCTCCAGTGTAAGTAGTCAAACTGTTTAAGGATGGTTTGACATATTATCTGGGGTGAACCAGGTTACATCACCTTCTCCACTGGAACCTGGAAGCTCTTGCAAAGAGCTTCCTTTAGCTCTCCTGAATTTAGCCTTGCGGTGTAGGTATGGCTCTTCGGCTGAGAGTGTCAGTTGAGCACTCTCAGCCAATAAGCTAAGCCCTGTATTTCCAGGCTTAGCTGTTTGCCAGGATCATCTAGGCAGCAGAAGAAGAGGCGAACGAAGGACCCTATTCTTAACATTGTTACTACTTATACTGGAAGCGTGCCATGGCACTCCGTTACCATAGTCACTACAACATCTTTAGTGGCTTGGATGCTTGGAATACTCCTTTAAAGCCGATTGGCAGATGCCTTGTAAACCAAAATAAAGGGTTGGTGTGTTGCTTTGAAAACATGTCTATATTGTAATACCAGAGCTGTCACTTTGTGATGCTGTGTCCACATTCTGGCATAAAGCATCTTCCTTCTTTCTTTATATCTATTTATTGAAAATCAAATCTGAATAAGCAATACAAATATACCAGACAGTCTTGTATGACAAGACAATGGTGCATATACAATTAGAAATAAATAAGAATCGCGTAATTGTAAGACATGGATATAAAAATAATTAGGCAGAAGTATTTAAGTACCCACCAGCTTTAATTAAATGTCTGCAGCTCCTCCAACAAAGTACTGTGGAAGACTTTCCATTTTGCAATACAAAACTAAATCTGTCACTTAAATCTAGTGTACTTTCCCAGTAAAGATGCTTTGTGATGGTACTCACTGTATGTAATATTGGGCTGGTAGACATACATTAAGATTTTTATCCACTCAATTTTTCCATTAAAGGGATACTATAGGTATCAAAACAACTTTAGCTTAATAAAGCAGTTTAGGTGTATAGGCCATGCCCCTGCAGTCTCACTGCTCAATTCTTTGCCATTAAGGAGTTAAGTCACTTTTGTTTCTGTTAATGCAGCCCTAGCCCCACCTCCCCTGGCTGTGACTAAAGCCTGCATGTCAACTTTTTTTTTTTTTTTAAATTTCATTTCATATGATGTAAACTTGCTTTAGAAATTTTTGCCTCCTGCTCTGTAAATTTAAATTTACACACATATAGGAGGCTCTTGCAGATTCTAGAAGGCTATTGGTGGAGGAGATAAGAAATTCTAAATTAAGCTGTGCAATAAAGTTTAAACATTAGATGTCTCTTTACAGGAAACATTTAGGAAGGCTGTGCAAGTCACAAGCCCGTGATTAGGACTGTATTAACCAAGTGATTTAACTCCTAAATGGCAGATAATTGAGTAGTAAAACTGCAGGGGCATGATCTATACACCAAAACTGCTTCATTAAGCTAAAGTTGTTTTAGAGCCTATAAGGATATACAAATACATTAAAAATAAAACTTAAATGTGTAAATGTACATCATTTAAATTTCTAGGTGTCCCTGTCTGATCTACACACAAAACTGCTGTTTAATCCTAACTTAATGTGCTAACTATGCATATTTCAGGGAATGTTTGGGGAGAGGAGGATTGGGCTGGAGGGGTGTAACCAAAGGAGCTTGTACTCAAGGAGTTAAAGTGCTTGTCATTGAGATAAGGTTTGGCCGAATTCCAGGAACAATAGGTCATCTGGCCGCTAAACTCGAGCAGGAAATGAGCACACTTAACGAAGGCTCATAGCTACAAATATGTCACCCTATATATGTTCACATATATATAACTCGTGGTGATTCATTGATCACAGTTTCTATTTTTAATTCAGAAATATCAAAATTATATAACAAAGATATAATCCAAAAATTGTGATTTTTAGTTCAAAAATCCTTTTTATTTTGACACCCGGGATAACATTTTGATATGATCAGGTACTATAAACATTAAATGCAATGGGCCTTATAATTTTAAGTCGGAGATTTGACATTTGTATTATTGTATGGTAGATTCAGTATAAATATTTATCAGTCCATCAAGATCTACTTTACATTCGTTTTGCACAAGAGCCGTGACTGCATCACCCCGTATATTAAAAAAACTGCATACATTTTTTGGTTCTGTCTTCCAGTATCCCCTCACCCCGTCTTAGCCAGTCTTGCTTCCTCTCATAAGTATTGTGATTTCACCCAGGCAACCAACTCGCAATCTGTTATACTCTCTGTGTATGCATAAGCCTTTCCGGGACTTAGATCTGACAATGATTTTTATTTCCTTGTTTTTTGTTTTTTCCCTTTGTTAAATAATTTATTTATTTTGTGTTTCAGATAGGCCCTGGGTATGGAATATTCCCTACGTGAATGCTCCTGACACACACGGAAATATCTGGTGTCCATCATAAACATCTCTGAAAGTTCAAAAAATATTTTTGTATTCCAAACACAGGTTTTTGGAGGGGTTTTTCTTGTTTTTTTTTAAACGGGGCTCCAGGAAGAGTCCTAATTACATTACTTTTATTTTTTTTGTACTGCATTCAAAAAAATTATGGATTTAGAAAAAAGATTTTTCATGTTTATTTGTGAAAATTGTAATAAAATGCATAACTATTTTCATTTTTATTTCTGTGGGTTTTCTTAACTTAGGTGACTTGCTGTAAGAGAGCTCCGTAGCAAAGGGGAGTGAGTTTTCATTGACACACAGATTATCTTTATATTATGTTATGTCCATCTAGTTAAAGGGCCACTGTAGGCACCCAGACCACTTCAGCCCATCACCCTTAACCCTGCAATAAACGACAATAATTACCTGCTAGGGTTAAGTCCTCCTTTAGTGACTGTCTACCAAACAGCCACTAGAGGGACTTCCGGGTGCTTAGACAACTTTTGGTCACCTAAACTACGCTGGAGAACTTCCAAAGTCGCTGGAATCCCGTAAGAAAGCATTATATAATGCTTTTATTATGGGGAAATCCTAATGCCAGCGCGCCCATTCCCGCACATGCGTGTTAGGTCTCAATAGGCGGCAGGGAAGGAGTGTGGGCGGATCTGAGCCAGCACCGAAGGACATCATGATAGGCCCACATGGAGATCTATTCATTAAAGGGAAACTGTATTGCCAGGAAAACAAAGTTGTTTGCCTGGCACTAAAGCTCCCTATAGTGCTCATCTCCCCTCCTGCAGGTGTCCCTCAGCGTTGGCTGAGATCTGGCTCCGCTCCTTTCCCGCCGACATCAGCAAGCGGGGTGGGGGGGGAGACCTAATGCGCAGCAATTGCCGCGATCGCATTAAGATTTCCCCACAGGAAAGCATTGTACAATGGGTACCGCAGTGACGTGCTTAGCCCGGAAGTCCCTCTAGTGACTGTCTGGTAGACAGCCACTAGAGGTGGAGTTACCCCACAAAGCTAATTATTGCAGTTTATTAAAAAAAACTGCAATAAAAAGCTTTGCATGGTTAACGGTGCTGGGACAGTGCACCCAGTCCACTTCAATGAGCTGAAGTGGTCTGGGTGCCTACAGTGTCCCTTTAACCACTTGAGTTCATATTATGTTTGTCTAAAGATGTCACTTTGCGTACCTCACTACAATAAATGGTTTAATAGGTTTATTCAGTAAAGACTGGAATAAACTGAATTGAAAACCAAATGGTATTTATTTTTTTAAATGTGACTGTGAGTTGGAGTATTTTTCCAAATCACTTGTTTTTGTCTAAATGTTGAAGTTTGGTTTTCAATTCACTACAGTTCCACATAGTATGGATAATGTACTGACATTTTAAGGTCAAATTTTTTTATTTTATTTTTTTTGTGGCCAGGTGTATCCTGAGAAAGTTATGAAAATGTCTTGAAAAGCATCATAAGGTCACATAAAAGGGCCCATATCGACCCATACTAGGGACAGAGAGGACAATTTGGCCCTGTATTAGGATGATACCCTGGCACACTCCTGTCTATACATTGTTTGGTTTGATGTAATATCCTGAAAGAAAAGTAACTATAGATGTTGTATTTGTTGATATCTGACTCAGCCCAAATAGCCTGTATGGTTTAGATATATTTATACTCACATTTTGTTTATAGCTCCAGATTCTAAACGGAGTGTTCCATATAATCTGCAAAAAGTGCCCTTTATGGAACCACAGAAATGAATCATGCTATTCAAGGAACCCACCACGGACCATAACCACTATAGCTTGATGTAGTAGCTATGGTGCCTGGGAATCCCCCACTGTAAGTAGTCGGTTTTTGAATGGCTTGATTTCTCTTCTGAGGTCTCCTGGGCGCTGCTCCCCATCTACTGGAAAGCCGGACGTTCATTAGCTAATGGAACTTCTGTTAGATTTCCTGATCGGAGTACTACTAGGCAGGGCTTAGCTCATTGACTAAGTGTTAGCAGATCACTTATAGCCAGTGAACTAAACCCTACATTACTGGACTGAGCTAAAGAGAGCTAATGGAAGTTTAATAACGGTTTGCAGGGCTCTCTTGGCACCATAACCACTACAGTGAGCTGCATTGGTTATGGAGTTTGGAATGGCCCTTTAAGTGCAATAGACCCTTTTTTCTAAGTCTGTAATTATGTTCTCTTGCAGTTCCAGGAATAAGGGTGAGAATAAAGGGAGATGCCTAGAGAAAGCAATGTTTTATTTATGAAGATGTTAGAATCATAGCGGAGATGGCCATAAGGGGGTTATTTTTTATCAGAGTGAGTTATTGTTTCCTAACCTGTAATATTATTCAATATTACTGCTAACAGAGGATAATACCTCCCTTTCTTTCAGATGTGAAGGATAGCGTTCATTATGTAACAAGCTGCACATATCTTCAAAGGAAACAAATACAAAAGGGAGTCGAAATAATTAAACTCAGTCTGAGCAGCCGAGAATGAATGGGTCCCCATCACACGTCAGAGGTTTTAAATGTCTTTTTCTGGTTTTAGGTAAAACCTATTTTTCAAAAACCGAACAGCTGCTCTTAAAAAATTTTTTTTTAAATCTCCCACTTGGCTATGGTCAAAGCGCTGCTTTTTAAACCTAAATATACCTAAAAATTCAGACTTTTAGTCTCAGAAGAACAAGAATCTCACGCGGTCAGCATCTAGTCGGTTCCCTCTTCCCCGTTCCTGTTTGCTACATGTACCAGTGAAATCCATTTTCTAACTTTAATTCAGTGCGATCACAATTTCACTTGGATCTTTAACCAGACATTTAAAAATGTCAGCATTCCGAGTTTTTGAGGATCTGGTCTCCACCTGGGCAAATTTAGGAATTTATGTTATTTAGTAAAATACATGAGCAGAGATAGCTTTTTATGGTGAATATGTACATAATGCAGGGAATTTTAGCAAACCACATGCACACATTTTTCAAAAGTAGATAAGGCAAGCTAATTCACGTAGATTATTATCAAGCTTTTCGTGTAACCTTTTTATCACTGTTTTTGCCAATTCACATTGCATTGTTGTTGTGAATTTCCAAAGCCCAAAGTTTACTACTCCAATAAAAAAGAAACCGTTTGTAACCAGCTGCATCCCTTTAGCACAGCAGTTACTACACCGTATATCATGAAGAATCAGCCACTTTTATTTTTTGTTTTCCTCATCAAAATTTCAGTTTGAACGTTTGACAGATTGATGTAACAGATTGTGTCTCATTTGAAGCAGTGAGGCGGCCAACCAGTTAAAATCAAAGTAGTAGAAGTGCATTTTTCAAAAGTACATAAACCATTTAAAAAAAATGTTTTTACATTTATTTATTTTTTTAATATAATTTTTAATTAAACAAAGTGTAAGGCAATCACGATATAAGTGATAAGCTGTTAAAAACACAACGCTATCCAAGTTTTCATTTACTAAATAACATTTAACAAGAAAATAGTAATACAATAAAAGAAAATGTTTTTATTTTTTTTATTTATTTTAAAAACGAAAGATTTAGGGTGCCGGGGTGTAGATGTGTGCAAGGCAGAGCAGGTGACTCCAAACACAAAATGTATCAGTGCCAAATCTCATCAAAGTGAGTGAGGATCTACAGAATTTCACAGTTTGTAAATGTCTTGCTATGCTGGCACAACAAATTTGGCTAATATGATGCCTTGCCAGTTAAGGAAGAGTTGAGTTTGCATTGAGGGATGCCACCTTCTCATCTGGCACAATATCAATACAGTATGCTCTCAGGTTATTTGGCTAATTTTAGTGGGTTTTATGTAGCGGTTTGCCTCCAATCTAATAGCAAATAATATATCAATTTGCATTTTTGCAATACATTCCTGTTTTTGTTTTTTAATAGAAAAATACTGAAAATAGGTTTCAACAAAGCTTTATTTGCATTGTAAATATTACCAAAAAAGTGCGCTAAAACTGATGATAAATCTGCAAATAAGCAAAAAATAAATAATTTAGTGCAGACTGTCTGAATGATGTAATCTGTAATGAGGAATAAGGGAAAGAACTCACATGTACCAGAGCCCTATCACCCCTGGCTCTGGGTTAGCAAGACTCCACTTGAGAGGGAAAAATCCCACACTGTGTAGATAAGGTCTGTGTGGTGTGTTCTCTGTATTCAGACGGTTCTATGTAATATAGGACAGAGAGGAAGGAACCCATAATTGTATCGCATCTTCAACAGTTTATTATAAAAAAGGGTTAAAAACTCTTACTTTGCGAATGGTGGGTCTGGCTAACAAAGCTACCCACATAAAAACATGTGTAGATAAATGAACAACGGCTGTAGCCACTCGATAACAGTCACTATCGGGTTCGTAAGTCCCGATCACGTGATCACTTCCGGGTCTGCCTTTCCAGTGATGTCTGTATGCTGCGTTTAGCCCGCTTTCCTGGGCTTCTTCTGACGTCGTGGATCTCCAGCTTCTTCTTTTAAGTTCCCAACTCCTCCCCTGCAGTTTTTTCATTGGTCCAGGGGCGTGGTTTGGGCGTAAGGGATTGTCAGTTCCTCCTCTGTGGGGATGTGTGTTGGGGCTAGTGTCCATCCTTTTATTACACACAGATACATGTACATGTGTCAGATGTGTACCTATATAGTTAAAGCAGTATATATGCAGTATAAGTCTAATTGCCCCCATGAGGCGCCCTAGGTAGCCAGTGCGCTGTCTAAGGCTGATGTCCTCAATCCCTGGGCAGGCCCTAGTATCATAGCCTCAGTGAGGCAGAGGTGCAACATTGGAGGTAAATTCTGAATTTGACACATGGGTGTTCGGGCTCCCCAGGGGCTGCCATGCACCGGTCGCTGCCCACAAGCACCAAAAGACCAGATATGGAACTTCTTTTAACATTTCCAACTTTTTTTTTTCTTTTCTCAATATTGTTTTTTCTCTACCCTGCCTCAACAAGTGAACTGCTGCCCCAGTGCCCTCCCTCCCATCAATCCCGCCCCTCCCGGCCACCTACCAACTGCATTCGTTGCCCCTCACAAGCAGATGTCCCATTGGTTTTTGTCAATCCTGTATTTAGATACCACCAGTATAGAACCAATCGTGGCAATCCTTGCCCCACAAACCAGCCCCAATAGCGCCCCCTATCGTCCCCCAATGAGAACAAGTGAATCATATAATATCCCTGGTCCTGTCAGTGGTCATAGGTGTTGCTAGAATGTCAACAGGTGAC